CTTATATTTAATAAGCATTTTTAATTAAATTTTATAATTTAATACCTATATATTAAAATTAACAATATTGCTATTTACTAACTTAATTAATAATCTTTATTTTATACCTTACTTTCCCTTTATTTAAATACCTTATTTATTAATTCTTATAATTTATTAATTTTATTTATTTAACCCTTATTTTAATAACCTATCTTTTAATTATACTTCTTAATTTCTTTATTTAATAAGCGGCATTAAATATAGCAAAGCTTAAGCTAAGTTAAATTAAGAAATTTTAATTATTTAAAAATTAAATAATTATATTAGCAATTCAAGAGTTTAATTTAATCCTTATTTAATTTAAGCGCTATAAGCAATAAAAATATAAATTTATAAAATATATTATAAATAAAATATTTATATAGCAATTACAACCTTTTAAGCTTTTTAACTTTATATAATTAAAACATTTTAATATATATATATATACTTAATTAATCTCTTTTTATTAATTATATACTTTAATAAATTAACTAACCTTCAACCCCTTAATAATAACTTAGGCCTTTTTATATACCTACCTTTTATAATAATATAACGCAACGAAATAACAGCGTACTTATAATTTACTTATATATATAATTAATTAATTACCTCTTAACTTTAAGTTTAATTTAACTTAATACCTTCCTTTCCTTTATATTTTTTTAAAAGTAATATGCACTTATAAAATAAAGATTGCTAATATAGGAATAATGAATATTATTTATATAAAGGATTATTTAGGATTAGGCAGCTTTAGCTTATTAAGATGCCTAATAGGCAGCAGCCTTAGCGCTATATATAAAATAATTAGCATAGTTAGGCCTTCTGCCTTCTTCTCTTCCATAATTAATAATAATTAACCATTATACCAATTAAACGTTATATTGCAATACGTAACCCAGCCAACATAGTTAATATTAATTAATGCTAATTAAGTAAAATTTAATATAAAGTTTATATTAATTAATGCTAAGTTATTAAAATTTTTAAAATATTTTATAATAATATTTATATTTTCTTTTGCTTTTTATAAAGGCTAAATTCATTATCCTTAAGAATTATATAATTATATAAATTCCGCGGGTTTAAGTAATTTATTAATAAATCTTATAAGTTTAAGTAATTTATTTATAAGTTTATTTATAAGTCTTATATTATTAATAAATTTTATTAATTAAGATATTAATAATACCTTTATTTTAAATAGCATATTTTTATTTAGCTAGTTAATTATTTATGCAATCTTTATTATTAAATTAAATTAAGTAATATAGCTTAATATTGTAATTATAATAACTTTTTAAAGCAATATAAATAAATAAAAAATAGTCTTGCTTTTAACCTTAAATCCTATAAAATATACCTTTTTAGCTTTATTTAATAATTTTATTTTTAATTTATAAGCCTTAATAAAGATATAAAGATATATAGGGTGAAAATATAATTAAAAATATTTAATATTAAGCCTTTATTTATAAAGTGCCTTAAATAGCATTATTTAATATAATAAGGCTAAGTATAATTTTTAATTTTATAAATATATTATATAAGAAATTGCTTTAAATTATAAAAATAAATAATCTTTATTATAAATTATTATATAAGTATTAATAATAATAATATATATAAACCTTTTAAGCATATTATTTAACTTATAATAATAAAGAAGTAATTTCTTATAAATAATTTTATATCTTTAAAATATTATAATAATTATCTTATTTATATATTTATTATTATTATTTAAACTAAATATCTTAATTTTTATATTAAATTAAGTTTTAATTATATTTAAAAATTTCTTAATAATATTTAAAATATTATTCTTTTAAGTAATAAAATAAATTTAATAAAATTAAATATAATTATTAATAAATAAAATAAAGTATTAAAAACTTTTTAATAATTTTATTAAGAATTTACTTAATAAATTAAATTAAATATATTTAAATAGCTATATAAATTATTATTTTAATAATAAATATAAATATTTCTTAATAAACCTTATAAATTAATATAATTTATATTAAAAATTTATTAATTTATTTAATATAATGTTTTTATTTTTATATAAGCATTAAGCAATTAATTTTAATAAATTGCTATAGCTAAAAGCTTTATAAAATTCGCTATATATTATAAATATTGCAAAGTTATTTTTTATTATTTAAATTTTAAAATTTCTATATTAAAACTTTACTTATAATATCTTATAAGATTTATTATCTTTTAATAATAAAAAGATATTATTTCCCTATGCATTTAATTAAAACTTTTTTTAAACTATAATTTAGCTAAATAAATAAATATTCCTTAATATATAATTATATAAAATATTAATAAAGATGCTTTTAGTAATTAACTTATTTAATAATTATAAAAAGATTTTTATAAAATTAATGCCTTTTATAGCAAGTTAATTATTACTTATAATAATAATTATACTTAAATATAATTATAAAAAGTTAAAATCTTTTATATATCTTATTATATACTTTAAAATATTAAAATTAAAAATTTATAATATTAAAATATTTATAATTATTAATAGCTTTATTATATATATTAAAATATTAATATATAATGCCATTATATATTTCTTATTATTATTAAAAATTTTAATAATTTCTTTATTTATAGCTTAATTTATAATAACTTATTTCTTACTCTTTTTTTATTCTTAATTAGCTTTATATTTAGCAAACTTTATATAATTAATATATAAATAGCTAATAAATATAAAGTTTTATATATAATATTAAATATATTCTTTATTACTTAATATAAAGTTAATACTTATTAATATAAACTTTATAGCCTTTTTTATATCTTTTAATATTAACTTTTTTTAAATAAAGATAAAATAAGCTTTAAATTATTTAATTTTTATATAAAAAATAATATTTATTATCTTAAGTTTAATTTTAAAAAACATTATAAGGTTTTAATTATTTAAGTTATTAATAATATTATTTATAATATTTAATAATATTATTAAAAAAAAGAAGCCTTTAACCTTATTACTTTTAAAAAGTAACTTTATTAACCTTTTAATTAATTATCTTAATATTAAAGTTTTAATATAAAGTTTTATTTAAAGGTTTTAAAAGGCATTTAAATAATTTTATAAGTTAAAGCCATCCTTATATTATAAATATATTAATTAATAAAAAAAATAAATAATTAAGTTGCTAATATTATAATTAAATTAATTAATTAATATTTTCTAAGTATTAAAAAATTTTCTATATAATATAATAAATATTATAAGGCTTAAATATATTAAGCTTAAGAATATAATAAAGGCTTAATTATTAAGCTTTTTCTATTTTATAAAGGCTGCATTTTTATTTAATTATTCCTTTGCTTATAATATATTTATTAAAGCTAATAAATTAAAAGCCGCGACTTTATACCGCTCTTTAATTTAAAAAGTTTTCCCTTTTTAAGTTTAACTTTAGGGAAAATAATAAGTTAAGCTTAAAGTTAAGTATATTTAATATCTTTTAAATAATATTTATATATCTTTAAGTATATTTTAAACGATATTTATATATTTATTTATTTATAATAATTAGCACTAATTAATATAAATATATAAACGAAAAGGAGCGAGTAGTTAAAATATTAAAGCAAGAATGCTAAATTATTATAAGTTACTATTAGCTGTGGCAGCTATCATAGGGTATAATAATGATATATAAGCAAAGGCTAGCAACGTTAAAATCTTAATAATTTGGGTATAAAAATAATTATAAAAATAGGGGTATTAATATTTCCCAACATTTTAAGATATCTTAAGCAACGCTAGGCTTATATCTTAATAAAGCAATAAAGCAAACAATAGTTAATTATAATTGTTAAGGAGAGAAATCTCCCCGCTATTAAACGCTTAAAAGGAGCCTATTTATAGGCTATCGCTAGCGTATGGGCATACGACCCTCGCACCTTCCAACAGATTTAACTCGTATTCCATAGGACTAACCAGGTCACAGAAAACACCAGAAATACCACAATCGACCCATACAATGTGCCCATTGTGGCTACGCAGCAGGCTATCCCCGCGACCTGCGACGGCATATGGAAGCGTGGCACCCCAAGACTTTTTCCAAGTCCTGTGCAACCTGTCCAGTGGAGTCGTGCCGGAAAGAGTTCACCCGGCCGGACAACATGAGGAGACACTTGAAAAACAAGCACGCTGTCGAGTTCCCTGAGTAACTCAATTGAAAAAAGAACAAAAAAAAGGAAAAAAAAAGGGGGGGGGGCTGTGGTTCTTTGGACGACTCTAATGAGCGTTATGATTTGCGGAATGATTGTTAGTTAGTTGTTAATCATGTTTGATTTACTACTCTAGAGCTTGCTATCATCTACCCCGGGAGACCCTCTCTTGAGAATAGGTGCCGTATCCGAGTGGCGTGTCTCTTTGAATAAATTCTGTTCTCTTGACGTATGACTCCTTGTCCATTTGAGGTGATGTTTGAGCTCCGCAGGCATATGTTTCCTTCGCTGCGTTTGCTTGAGCACTGGCCTTCCATCGGTCTGCAAGTGCATCCCAAGCAGATTCAGCGTTGGCTCCTTAGACAACTGTCAATGGTGAAACAAGTATGATCTTCGTTGGGTGAGACAGTTCCCAACTTTGAGGCGCAGGAGTCTATGCTAGGTATTCCGGTGAAATGTTGCAACGAAGCTCGCTTGGCTCTATGTTGAGACCTCTCCACCAGGAGAGGAGATCGTCAGGTAACTACGTACAGAGTCGATGAGTTAACATTAGTTCGATAATGATGCAGTGATCCATACACAATCATTTATTTACCTCAGCTTTATTGAAACTCTGCCCAGTTGGTGGTGGCAGGCAGACACTTTCCTGATTGGTCGGCTAACCCGAGGCCGCGGTGACCTCAGGAGCACAGGCAAAAGTGCCATGGAGAATTCATCATTCCAATGAAGGTGTTTCAACCAGTTGAGTAATTGGATCAACAATCCGTGGGAAGGTCGTCATTCTCGCTCAGGGTGCTGGCTGAAATCATCCTCGGGGTTGACACGAGCGGTGGAAGCGAAGTGACGTCGCCAAGCATGCGCCTCTTGTGCGTACTGAGATGGCCAAAGAAGTCAACAAATAGGCTTTACTTAATGCTTGTAGGCACAGGGCCCATGCTCACCTCATAGTGTTGAAGGCGCCCCAGGCAGCGTGGACCATCGAGCTCCGCCTATCTGCCTTGAGCAGGGACATATCGAAATCCGAAATCCTCTCTTCCACCCCGAACAGCTTCATCCTGATGGCCGTTTCAAGGACCTGTCCTAAGCAGTCGTCGGCATTGTTGGATTTCCAGCGGGCAGCGAGACAAAGATAAAGAAGGATTAAGCCGGTCAGAGCCGTCTCTGAGTCTAGGCGTGTGTCCTCTAACTGCCACAGAATACCGGCCGCCACCTCGAACTCGACACCCTTGCTTGTGGCGCTTGGACAATCATTCGCATACGTTTGCTAGTGATCTGGTGAGACAGGATTCCTCCTGAGGCTGGGAAGGTGAAAGGACAGCATACTGAAGCAAATGCCAAGAGGCAGTTGACGAGGAAAGCAGAGCAGAAGTTGGATTTCTGGGCGACGAGGTCGGAGAGAAAGGAATCAGCATCGAACAGTTCCCAGATTCGGTGGTCGCTTCTCAAGTATGATGATATGGCATCTTTAGCGAACACGTCGGTGACGGGAACCGCTGTCCAGAATGCTATATCCAGGCCTTTGAGACGTGGGTCAGAAGCTATCTTGATAGGGCCGAGACTGGCAGCAGGCGGCGAGGCTGAACCCTCATCCAGAGTGAGATGTGGCTGATCACAGCAGTCTCCTTGAACTGTTTCCGCGAGGGCCATGGGGTAAGGCTCTTCCGCTGAAGAGCCCAGGTCTTGGGCGGGACCACAGGCGTACAGAGGTGGGATGCAAGAGGCACGATCAGGCTCAGACAGAGGCGAGTTCAATCCATTAGCTGTGCTCATCGAAGATGGTACCTTTGTTTGCTGAGCCGGCGCTTCCAGGTCCGCAGACCAGTTTGTAGGTGACGATCTCAGCTGGCGAAGGGCCTCTTGGGCGCAAGCATGCGGTGCCACCCTCAGCTTAGTGACGAGCAAATCCAGGACTTCATAGCGACCGCGGAGGGTCTCGAGCTCGTCCCTCAGGGTCTCATCCGCCACGATCGATGGTATCTTCCGGTAGGTGCATAGCTGCCCGTAACGATTGCAGGAGGCACAGGAGGGTTTCTGTCCATCGCACTGCGCAGACGGGGAAAAAATGCATTAGATCGCGACCAAGCGCGTGAAAAAGTGACTCTCTCTCACTTTCTCTTCTTCTCATGGCACTCGTTGCATGCAATACGCGTGGCCTTGCGCTTCGGCACCGGGTCCAAGGCGGAGGTGGATAAAGGCAAGGCCTGGTCGCCGTGGGGCGCGGCCGGGAGCAGGGCCCGGTACTTCGGTGGGTTCCGGCCCATGGCGATGATGATGACAGGGAGGCCGCGGGGCTCCCAGAGCTCCACAGAACCGGCGGCGAGGTCGGGCGTGTGCCACGCAGGCTGGCGGGCCACTCAGCGCGTTTCGGGTGGGCAGGCGCAGCACCGGTGCAGCTGCTCATGCCAAGACAAATGCGGGTGACTGAGACGCGACAGCGGAATGCTCCCGCCTTGTCCTGCTCGATGCGTCCGTCGGGCATGGGGGTCTCTCTTCGATGGCAGTAGTGGGAATTGACAGGCAGACTGGTAAACTGGTTGATGGGTGACGGGGAGACGGGTCAGTCTGCGAGTACAATGACGAAGCTCCAACGTCGAGACATGCGTTCCCGATACTCCCACTTGTACTTTCCTAAAGATGTGCACCATGCCTCCTTCGCCACCCTAGCCATTGATGGTTTCCTAATGTCCGTCTCTGCTTCTAGAAGAAATCGAGGGTCAGATCATGCACGTGCTTATCTCCACATCTTCAAGCTGCACCTACAGAGTTGAAGGGGTCCACTGCATCAGATCTTATCACGCTTCAAGGATGCTTTTGAATGACTGAGCCATGTCGGAAGGAACCCTGGAGTCCTGTAAGGTACACGAGCTGTTCATGCACCGCTCTGCAGGAGCGATTACCCTGTATTGTGCTTTCCCTAAATTATTTCGAGAACCACGAAAGAGCACCTCAGTTCGGGCAAAAGACTGCAGTTGACCCGAAAGGTCTCTTCTCAACCTCACTGGTCAGAGTCCAGCGGATTACCTATGTTGCAGCATTTCAAGCGACCCACATAGACACGTGCCTCCCGTTCGACAGACCACACTGTCGCAGGCTTAACGTGGCCTCTAAGACGGCTCGTGTGATACCACCTCACAATGCTTTCTCATGCTTGGAAAATCACCTTGCCGACGCCCTTGAAAGGGCATTGTCCAGGAACAACGTTGACCAGTGGAACAATGCAACAATCAACGCGCGCCACTTTCTCGAGAAAAAGACCTTTGTACAATGGGCCGTAACTATGCAGCTGGTGTCAACAAGATCGAAGAGGCATAAATGGGACGTAGAGGTAGTCAGATTAGATCTTGCTTCACTCATGAACCGTCAGCTTTGACTATCCACATCTCACCTACAGACCTCCTCGTATCTATCTATTCCACCACAGCAACCATGAACACAGCTCGAGCAGGCAGAGTCGGAGTCAACAGGGTCCAGCTCTTCCAACTGGCCGGCTCACTCGACGCTGTAGTAGCCGTTGTTGGGAAATATCCCGAGACAGGTACAGGCGAGACGAAGTACGACCAATTCATCGCCCACCTAGTTGCTGACCCCGAGGCCGAGCGCGGCCAGCTAGTCGCCGACGAATACCAATTCCCGGTCGAGGAACCCCAGGAGGACGCGTATTATATCGTGGAGTGCTTCGAGAATGAGCACCAGAACCGCAAAAACTACGCGGATTGCACTTTCAAGTGCACCCATGCCCCCTTGCCCTCCCTCTTCCCAAATCTGAACTGGACTTTCGAAAAGGGGCACTCAAGCTACGACCAGCGAAGGGCAGAGTTCGGACGCAAGTCGGACCTGGACAACGCCTCTCAGGCTCCCAAGGCCGCCCCCAGGCCGGGGTACGAGGCCGCCCTCGACCGCCTGAAAGTCATGGTGAGTGAGGCCACGTCGCTCGGGCTTCGTGCCCTCCGGCTCGTCATATCGGCCACCAACCCGCTCACTCTGCCGCCTCACAAGTTTTCAGACCAGCGCGTGGGGGAGCAGCAGGCGCTGATCAACCGCTGCGCGCAGGTCTGCCATGAGATTGGCGGCCATGTCGACATGGAGTTGAGGAATGTCGACTCGCTGCGCAAGTTTATAGGCCCGACAAATGTCTCGCGGCCCTATACCATTCAGGACCACGCCATCCCCAAGTGGCAGTAAAGATGACTGACCTGAAAGGTAAGTGGGTTGGTTGATGGGAGACGGTGTTGAAGTACTCTTCTTTATCGCTAATATTCCCCCAGGCAAGCTGTGCTTGCTGGCGTTGGGAACGAGGTGGCTTTTACTCATGTCTATGGAACATCCTGAGCTCTGTTCCTGCTCGGTATCATTCTTCAATCTAATAATTGGATTACTTTTCACTGGTTATGGAAATGCTTGCCGTGATATGACATCTTCCCGTGCAGTTCTTGCGAGAGACCAGAAATCTTGGCTGAAACTGTGCTCTAAACTAATTTTGATTCTACGTGAAACTGAGAATTGGGCGTGCTTCTGTGGATGGCTCGAATATACATGCAGCACACTGACTTAGGGCCACGAAGAGGTTGCGCGATGGACTGGATGGAAGGCAAAGCAATTCTACCTATTTAGGTGCAATTCTATTTTCCTACCGCTGTGAAAAGGAATACGAATCTACGCAGTTGTAGCAAATCAAGGCGATGTCCTCCGCTCTTCAATCCTTGTTTCCATGGTCGTCGACCTCCTCCCCGGCGTCATTCTCTTCAGCGTCACGAGCGGGTTCATCGTGACCGGTCTCCTTGTCTTTCTTGTCCTCGAGATCTTGATCGTCTTCCTTTCTCTGGGTCTCTGTGTCGTCGGAGCGCTGTTGCGTCTCTTGGCTTTTGTCATGGTGGTCTTTTCGATTGTCTCCGCTCTCTTGGCCCTGTCTGCTTTCAGACGTCTTTTCGGTCTTTTCCCACCTCTCGCCGTGATACCCGCCCTTTCGCGTGTTTGTAACGTTTGAATGTGACTCGCTTCCCATGTTTTGATTTGCTTGATTGTCGCCATCTCTCTCGTCTTTGTCAGGTCTTCCGGGGTGGTTGTCTTGAAGACTGGAGCTCGATGACTTGCGCCTTTCTTTCTCAGCATTAGAAGTGGATGCCGGGAAATCCTGGCCTTGCTTTGCACCCAGGCTCTCCTCATCTGACTGATGCCTTCGAGGTGCTCTGCCGAACCTGACGAGGGTGTTATCCCACATCTCCGTCGCTCCTTTGCGAAGGTTGCTGAAGCTCCAGGCACCATTGTTGAGAGGGCTATCTCCTGTGTAAATGAATATGTCGTAGGTGAGAGCACCGAAGAAGCATGCAAAGAACGGGACAAATACTGGGATCTGTCATCCTTGTCAATGTCCGCAAGAGGTGAAGTCATCAAGTCGTTAGTGACACCGGACTTACCCAGAAGTAGTAGTTGTACGCTGACCATGCGTTCTTGTAGCCAAGTATCGCCAACCATGTCCGCCCCATGAGGTCGCGAGCTGGATTGATCGGGGATCTGTTTGACAAACGTCAGTCTTCGCACCCTGATCGTGCCCGTTTATTGACATATGCTTACCCTGTTTCCCATCCGAAGGCAGCCATAACAGCGAAGTTCAGCCAAAAGAATGCGATGACGAAGAAGCCACCGCCTTTCTACTGTCATTATTAGCCCTGGATCAAACACTTGAGGTCATAATATCAATGCTGAGTAGCAAACCTATAGCGGATCACTAACCAAGTCGGCGCCATTCTCATCTCTCACTGCGAGAATAAGGAATACAGTGAAGAAGTTGGCAATGAACTCCGAGAATATCTGGCTGCCTATCGGCACGAATGGTTGAGGAAACTGGCAGAAGATCTTTGCGCTTGTTGTTGGGCTTGGGGGAATGGTTCGGATAGCGTGCCCTTCGTATTGGTCTATAGCCGAGATGTCTGCGTAGAGTTCGATCGGATGTTAGCCATGTGCGACAATGTTGAAGGTCAAAGACGAAGGCCGGAAATAGAAGAGGAGTTGATACGTACAGTTGGCATACACAAGGCCGTGTCCGCAGAGAAAGCGCCAAGGAGCTGAGCGCCGGCATAGACAGGCCAGCGGCGCAGGGGCAACCCCCGGAAGAGACAATTAGTCAAGGTAATCGCCGGGTTGAGGTATGCTCCCGAGTCTCCAGCGACGTATATCCCGAAGATCATGGCTGCCGACCAACTGAAGTCCCAAATACTGGAGTTAGCGGTGTGATATGAACACGCATGCAAGGTAAAGAAACAGGTGTAGCATACCCAAAACAAATGGTGAGCCAATTTCCGCTCTGGTAGTTGCTGAGATACTGCGAATCATCAATTACCTACTGCTACCTTCGAGGATGTGGAGAGAAGACAATGGGACGGCATTGGAGAGTGCTGTGTGTCCAGGTATTGTCTGATGATTTAGCTGCTCACAGTGGCTGCTGTGACGGATCCTCCGAGCAGCATCATCACGAGCACGCCCCAGAACTCCAAAAGAGGCTCGCGGAATATGAGGCGCAGGCGAGGCCACCACGAAAGCTCTGGGTCAGAGTGGGTGCCTGGCCTTGTTTCGATCACAGGCTTCAGACCCATTCGATTGCGCGTGTACTCGAGAGCATCGTAGGTTTTCCGTTGGCGTCCGCTGACTGTAGATGATTGTTTCGCTAGGCTTGACGATTTGCCCCCTTTGGTCAAGCGATTCTTGAGGCGGTTTCGCGCCATTGTTGGAGTCGGACTGCGAGATCTTGCTTCGTGTCGTAACGAAAGTCGGAAGGCGACACAACAAATTTGCTTCCCTTGGTTGTTTATCTACCCAGGTGCAGCCCAGGTGACCTCGGGAGCTAGCTTGACTCACCACACGCAGCGCTACAAGATTGCGAAGACGGTGCACCAGTGAAGTCGTGCCTCCACAAGGTGCCTGCGGAGAAAAGCTTCCGCCAGCCCCTTGACTAGAGCGCAGTTGGGAAGCCCAAAGTTACACAAGTTCCAGAACTGACTGTGAGATTCGAGATGCGCGCAGCCGAATTATGGAGAAAGTGCTGGCTGATTGGCAGATCCTGCGTTGTGCTGTCGTCATTCCTCCATCGGTCCTTCCTCATCGCCCCCACAGCGATGACTGGCCCTAGACACTGCGTGGCTGCCACGACTGTACTGTACTGTATTCCAGCTGTCCAGGCCTTGTTTTACGTGTACGCAGGAAGCAAATCACAATATCAAGGTACCACCTCAGGAGGCGCTCGACTAAACATGATGAGCCCAAAGCTACACGTGTAGGATGGAGGATTGCATCCGGCGAGGTGGACATCGCCATCAAATGATGTTCAAGTCAACTCCTTGTTTGTACGCATCCCCGCCTGCTCGTTGAGGGATCCGCGCAACCCACAACTTCTTGATCCATTCTAATCACATCCAGGCATCAAACCTCTCTTCAACTCACAGAACCGCCCGATCAAGCCACGTGGTTTTGAATGTGGTCCCCTGCAGCAAGTCTGAACCCATGAAGATATCGCAGCAGCCATCTGACAGTGCTCTGGTATTTTATTCGGGACCAAAGTAAATTTTTGGGGCGGTCAAACTCATGGCAAATGTCCACTTGAGACATAGATCCGAAGATGCAGTTCTTGTCCCAGACCAACGTGTCTAAACTTGGACCGTCGTCAGCCTCAGGGAACATACGTACACTCTCGTGAAGGAGCGATTGTTTCCTATGAAAAATGGGTCTTCTCTGTCGGAGACGATCAGTCAACGTAATTACTTCACGATGACAAGGAAGTGATGAGGCTTTGGGAAAGCCGCCACGCACGTCGATAGAGGTTGAGAGGCCTGTGAAGGCACTCAAGTTATTGTATTCTACCTGAAAAGCGCCTGAAAGACTGACCAAGGCAGATAGTTGCATGTATCGCATCAGATTCCGAAAAAACCTTGGAAGGTATGGATGGCCATCTTTGGGGCTTTGCAACGAGCGCTCATCTTGCAACAAGATTGAGCAGATCTCCGAGGGGATGGGGCACTTTCCCCATCGATATGACCACATATCAAGAGATGTCTAAGTTGTTAAGTGGGTTCCGTTTCGAAGTTGGAGGGCTGAGCCAAGTTGAAAGCCGCCTCCCCGATCCAACGAGAACACGGCCAGTCACGAATGACGCTCGCTCGCGAGCTTGTGCCCGTCCACGGATCCGATGTACACCAACAGAAGCACCCATGAGGTCACAAATAGCCCTGGATGCCCAATACCCACCCCCAACGACGCCTTACTGGGCTGAGATCTCCATCGATCCTGTATATCTAAAACCTTCCTCGCAAAGCGCCAAGCAAAGTCACATAGTCAGTGACCGCAGCATCACAAAGCATGCAGATCACAGGCCCTTTCGTCCAAGGAAGATTCAGGAAGTTGACTCAGTTACTGCCTACCTTGGTAAGTGGAACAGCATCCTGTGACTTCACCAGATACAGCAGACCGCAACTCCTTTGTGTGGACCATGCCTGCGGTGTGATCAGCCTTGGTCCCGCGTCAGATCACCAAGCCTCTTCGCGCATGGCCGCGCGCCTACTGAGAATAGGCGCATATGAATCTGAGGGTATAACACTTTGGCAGACGTCAGCTGCTGCAAGACACACCTCTGATCTAAGTCTAACGCGTCCTGGAATCAGGTTTTCTCCGCCTGGGCTGCGCTCGCGCCGCTTCTGCCTACACGTCCTTCCCGGCTGCCAATTGATTGGAGAGAAGTTGTGAATATCGCTGCAGCAAAGTTTTTGGCTCGGATCCACCGGCTCAGACACTTATCTGCAGCCATGGGCGCATTCTGAGCCCGCTGAAACGCAGCTGCGATACCGATGAAAGCTTTCTGCAGCTGTTTCAGCGGTTCGAAGCTGGTTGCTTCGTTGCAACCACTTATGCAGAGTTGACGGGCAAGGGGGGAGTCGGGCTCGGTACCCTAGGTGCATAGTGGTTCGGCCGGTTGGTACCGTAGCAATCACTGCTGGATTCGAACTAGTAGCTGCTTCAAAAAGGTCCGAGCCGGTGGTTCTTGTCGTCGTCCGTGGGCTATCAACAAAGCAGGGCCTGCTTTTGATGCTCTCGCTTTATCGCCAAGCATCATGGGGTGAAAAATAAATGTTCAACCCCTGGTCGCTCATTGTAGCCGTAGCCTGTTGAGTCAAGCGTGATAGTATTTTTGGCTTGGGACTGGCGCGCCATTGCCGCTCCCGATCACCGCCACCTCCGTGATGGTGGGATGAGCTCAAGGAGCCTCTTGCGCCAGATCAGCTGGCGGACCATTCAGCCGGTATGTCATCCCTTTGTCTGCCCGCAAATCACCAAGCCACCTCCGGGGGATCCGGCGCTGCCCAATTGACCTGGGCGGACATTGTGCAGAGTCATTGGCAATGTCGTCACGATCCTGGGCGCCGGAGTCTAAAAGAGTGCTGACTAGTCCAATCTCAGCGAGTTGAGACCTCACCAGCTCCGTCCCAAGCATCAGGAGCTGCCGCGCACGGTTCGCGCCCACACCCACACCTCAGCCCTCTCCAGCGCGCGCCATGACCAGTGTCAAGCCAGGATGTTTTCGGATATTCGCTGCGAAAGTTAAGGCTGAGTCCAGGCCCCCGGCGTGCGCAAGTGGGAAAGCAACGGGTATTCTTCGTCGCACAAGGTTGTCTCAAACGGCTCGATGCGACGTCGATTCCGGGGGTGCTCGCCGATCTGCCTCGACATGCCTGCCTCTGCCATGCGTCATCCCCGACCAGTAGGCGGTTCATGCCGCGCTATTAGTCTGTAAGGCATAATGGGCCGGTCGAGGAGGGAGAGGGCTGCTTGATGGCGAGATGGTGTTCGGAACATCTTGAGGTCAGACGATTTCCTCTTCGCATTATCAGGGCTGCTAAGCATTCTTCTCTGCTCTACTTTCTCGTGCCGTCAGACTGAAGGCTAGGCTCTCTTATTCATCGTCATATTATCATCTTCTTCTGGCTATATTCGATTTCTATATTCTCCGTCACTTCTTTTCTTTGTTTCCGAAGTTGTTATAACCCCCATCGCCGGTACGCCGTCTCTTATACGAACCTCCACCCTCGTATGCTCCTCACACCTCGACCATGTACAGTTGGTTACCGGCTGCTGAACAAGGCCGTCACCGAGGAAACATGTCTTCCAAGATGGCAATCCCAATTGCGTACCAACCGACCCGCTTCACAGGAGACATGGACGATGCGCCTCTAATTATCCGAGAACAAGCAGGCCTCGAGCCGTACGACCTGGAGCCTAATGGCCCGACAGTCCACTTCTTCGCCAGGATGAAAGACACCGTGAGAGGTCACATCGTTGCCATGATATCCGAGTTCCTAGGGACATTCATGTTCCTGTTCTTCTCATATGCGGCTGCTCAGATAGGCAACGAAAAGGAGGACTCTTTGCCATTGTTCAATGCGCCAGCAGGGCTGAGCCTTCTTCAAATATCATACATCGCTTCAGTCTTTGGCCTCAGTTTGGGGGTGAACGTGTGGATCTTCTACAGGGTCAGCGGTGGAATGTTCAACCCCGCGGTAAGTTTTTCTCGGGTTCAGCCCACACTTGGCCATAGGGCACCTAAACTGAAGAACACGCAGGTCGCCATCGGACTGTGGATTGCCGGAGCCTTTGACTGGGTCCGCCTCGTGTGTGTGATTCCCGTCCAGTTTCTGGGAGCGATCACAGCGGCTGGTGTCGTTTCCGCATTGCTGCCCGGGAAACTTCAGGCAGAAAACTCCCTTTCATCGGGTACACTGCCTGTCCAAGGCTTGTTCCTCGAGGTCATCCTGACTGCAGAGCTTGTCATGACTATTATCATGCTTGCCGTTGAGAAGAGTCGCACTTCATTCATCGCGCCGCTGGCCATTGGATTTGCATTGTTCGTGGCTCATCTTATCGGTATGTCTCACATGCACTGGTCCGACACAGAACTTTGAAAGCTAACACGTATCATGAAGGCATTAACTACACCGGAACCTCCGTAAACCCAGCGCGATCCTTGGGTCCAGCAGTTGTCAATAACAACTACGTCGACGAAATCTGGATTTTTTTTGTCGGGCCTATTCTGGGTGCGGTTGTCGCAGCTGCCCTTTATCACCTGTTGAAAGCGATGGGATACGAGACTGCCAATCCTGGGCAGGACGACGACGGGCTGGGCTTCTACCGAATCGTCCATCAACCGACGCGGCCAATCCGACCAAGGAGGCGGAGCTCGGACAATCTGTACAATACGTATCTGCAGGATATGACGTCGCCAAGGACCCGGATGAAGTTCTAGATTCTTGCGTGCGTTGAAGAAGACAAAAAATCACCGAAAACTAGTGGGGCTCGCGAAGGGCGCGGTCGTTTGGTTCTAGTGCATTGTATGCATGATGCATTGTATCAAGTACGTCTTCGACTTTTGGGGAGCACGTGTTTCAATGTTAATATTAAGTAGACCCACTTTGAGGATCTAATCCAGCGGAAATAATCTGCTAGACACTTTAGCTTCTTTTTGTACATGGTGAAACAACCCCGAGCTGCCGCAAACTGCGGAACACCCGGCTCAGTGGCAAGTATCTGAAGCATTGCCTCACTAGATCCACAAATTACTATGACATCAAGGCAATTTCTCACATTGCCGCCGAGGCTGCCCAACGCCTGAAAAGGGTGACTCTCATGTGAATTAACTAGATTTAAGTGTATTGTGCTCCGAAGCTCCTGTGCCCTACCTGACACAACTTGTCATTTGAGCAAACTGATGCTTGGAAGTAGAGACGCTTCCTCCGCCTTGCACATATCGATTGTTGCCAATGTTGCAATACTCTCGAGAGTTTTGCTACTGATCGATCACAGCAACGTTCCGACTGCTGCGATGATTGTATTGGTGATTGCGTATGAGGAACAGGCATCCGGGATCCAGTGTTCCCTGTGAACATTAGAGTTCCGACGGGAGCGAAGTCGTATTCGGCAAGAATACACAACCTCAGCGGGGATTGTGAAGATCTCGAACCCAAAACGAGGGAGAGGGAAGGGGACTGGAAGCTGAGTGTAAGATAAGACTGGACCAGCCACTCTAACAGTGCTACTGTCTTTTGGGCCGCGTCGGTTGTTTTGGTGGTATGAGAGCAGTCTTGCCTTGAAGGCTTCTGTGTTTCCCCTTGGTTGGCTGCTTACGCCAGAAAAGGGATGATGTTTCCTGAAAACTCGGGAAAGATGACAGACTCTCCTGGAGCCGCAGGTACTCATGAAGTCGCTCGCTGCAATCTGATCTGACTGACGAGTTGGAGCCATTGCGTTGCAGCAGGTGCGAGGGGCGAATTTTCCGGACCAGCCGGTCTAGTGAGCGACCTCTGACTTTGGAATCACTTACCGTATTATTGCTCTTCAGCTCTGGATTGGCACTTTCAAGCAAATCACTGGCACTAAAGTCTGCTTCGACCACAATGATCAAACCATTTTCCGTGAATTTGATGGCACGTGCGTAGGCCAGGTCGAAGTACATGATTGCCTCTGAGACAAAAGAGGTCAGAGCTTTGAGACACATTTTTGCTAGACGCCGAGATGAGTTGCTTTGCCAGTTATTGTCAAGAATTCAAGAGACCAAGGTTTGAACGAGGAGGGGCTTTTGAAATAAAAAGTTGAAGTGGCTACAAAGACGACAGCGTGGTATTGTTCTGGTAAAAAACAAAGGCCTGTTGACCTGAATACAGATATATTCGCTTCGGAGACTGCGGTAATTACGTGACCCAACATCTGACTTTCTGGTTAAAGAATCAGCTGGTGTCTGCCCAAGACAAAGTCCCGTCCCCGCTGCGCTCTTTTTGTTAAACACAATGCCATTCAATACCTTTGTAAAATCCTGTGTTGAAAGAAACAATGTGCCTTTTCGGGATACCTTGCGGAGCGTCTAAATTTATCCGAACCTTGTCAGATTATCGTGCTTGTACTCTGAAGTGAGTCTCGTTCACCGCATTGTATACAGAAGCAGTTGAATGAGACAAGCGCATGTAATTTCATAGGTGCTCTGCATTTGCAACACAGCTATGTCTAAGTTTGTGGTACAGCAGTGGTTAAGTCTTGCAGGTTCATCTGAGTAGCATTGTATCCAAAGCTGAGGTGACCTGGTGCTGGACTTGGGTGCAGCACTGGAGGCAAAGAAAAGTCTTCAAGTTTATCGCGTGGGCGGCATCCGTTGCTAACAGGTCAAGACACGTGTAGATGCAAGATCGGTAGTAGGTACTCTGAAAGAATGGTGTCTGGAGTGAAGACGGTTTGGGTATGGTTGGCATCGTCAAAACTCACCCAGCTCGTCCCAACATTAGAGTAGAAACAAACCCTGCTGGATATGGAACAAGGTCCACAGAAACACCGGTTTTCTACACATTGTGTCTCTTCCGGCACGTAAGATTTTCCAAGCTAGGTAGCTTGAGCACTTCGTTCCGCATGATGGTCACATGAAATAGATGATGTAGATAGTCATTGAGAGGCTTTAGGAGTGGAGACTTATCGAAGCGACGCATGTACGCCCGTTGATGTTGTGTTCCACTCACCAGCCAGTCGACGTCCTCAATTCTCTCCCACGAGGCTTGCGGGTCCTTCTCTTGGTCCCAGGATTCTCCAGGGCTTGCATCCTGCTGCTAGCACTCGGCAATCTCCAGTGATAGTTCTGGCCCGATAACGCGGGCAGCGCGCACGGGATGCAGCGAACGAGAACAAGCGCGGCTCGAGGTAGATGCCCTTCTGACAGCGTGCCTCAGCTCGTGTTCCGAGTCGCGGCAGTCTTACGCGTGCAATGCATCCACTGGGAGCGAGGCCGCACGGTTGGTTGCGGGGGTTCAGTGGGTCTGCTTAGGCGAGCTGGGGAAAATACGGAGACATTCGGAGGCTGGGTCCACTTCCCCTCAACTCGCTCCTGGTAAAGCATGGTAAAATCGGGGTAGGATTTGGACCGCGTCTCGCGCCCACTTGACGACACTTCGGCAAGAGGAGATTCAGGCTGCATACAGACACGACACGGGTGTGGACATGTCGCTGAAGGCCATAATCGCCAGATTTGCATTTGCACAATGTGTAAATCATCTATCAACCGTTTAGTCATTCGAGATCTCTAGGTCACTCCATAACATTTATTCAATATGTGTTCACTTGAGTGATCTGTTGGCAAGCAACTGGGCAAAAGAGGAGCGGGAAAAGCAGTCTTAGACTTTCCCCCATCTAACTTATTATTCATAAATATCAGCTCTTCGCTCCTTGCTTTGCCTGAGGTTCGTTTCGACCATCAACAGAACCAGGAAATCAACGACAACAATCACTGCACAAATAAAATCCAATGTGTGTCAGGTCATGGAGGACTACGCCTTGTGCAATATGATGCGGCAACATGGGTAGCAATGGCACATAAATGCATCAGGCGAGCCCTTGAACTGCGCGGTTTTACCGATGAATTGAAGAGAAAATAGTCAAGTCTAAGGGACCATATGTTGATCCATTAACTGATGCCGCTTGTTTCAGCCCATGTTGAATCATGCAATATGACACGCTTATTCATTCCGGATACTGAATTTCTTCATACTGTCGACCTTAGCCTGTCAAGACCCATGTCCAGTCCCAGCCGTCTAAGCTGTTGCAACCGCGGGTGCGTTATTCTTGTTGTCGTAGTCTATGATGCACTGAACCTTGGCTGCAGAGGCAGATGTCTAGTTACCGTCAGTCTATTTATCGTATGAAAACGATGGGTCATGTTCCAACTTACCGGGTCAAAAGTATATCCTAACCACTCCTTGGCGAGTCTCCTGGCAAGCTCGATCCCGATAACCCTAGCACCGAGGCATAGCACCTGCGAGTCGTTGCTAAGGACCGCTCGCTCCACGCTGAAGCTGTCGTGGGCCGTAACAGCCCGGATGCCCTTGACCTTGTTGGCGGAGATTGCGACGCCCAGGCCAGTCCCGCATACTAAGACTATCGATTCCTAGACTGTCAGTCAAAAGCTCACGGAATACACACACAGAGATCTCCCAGAACTTTAGAAGGTGGAGAAAAGGGGAGTGAGAAGTCCTTACGCGCGCGGTCTGCCTTCCCCCCTGCCACCAACTCAGCAGCGGCGATTGCAAAGTGAGGATATGAGGTCTTGTCTGATGCTGAATTGGGTCCGACGTCAATGACCTCGCTTACTCGCTTATCAACGTTGAGGTCTTCGATAAGAGTCTCCTTGTACGCGAAGCCGGCGTCGTCTCCGCCGATGGCAATACGAAGGCCAGTCATGATTAAGGGACTGTAGGGATGAGGAGGAGGGTTAGAGGTTGTTCACTCAAAAGTTGCTAGGTTGAGCCTAAATGTTCGGCTTTAAGTGGCGATGGTGGGTTTCTCAGGGTCAAGTTGGTGCTGGCGGAGGTGGTTAAATATGGTCAATTTTGGGACAGCCACCGAAAAGTCCAGGATATTCTACTATATGGACGGGCCAGTCATTCGTTACCAATGATTGGGTTTCTCAGCTCGCCCAGTGTATAGCACTCGCCTCTGATTGCGTATTTGATGCGGCTAAAGACTCGGAAGTTATTGCTGGTGGGGCAATTTAGGTGTCTTGACCTCGAGACGCGGTCATCACACGCGAGTGCCAACAGTGCTTCAGTGTAGTGTGGAGCTGGCCGACGAACCCCACTGGGTAAGGAAAAACACCCTCACACTTGGAGATTATGCCTCGAATGCATTAACTTATGGGCTCTCCACCTGACATTGCAACCAACCTTCGTCATGATCATCGGAGTAGGGTGACACTGTCCCGCCGGTTGCGATCAAGACTCAGCTGTCACAGGTAGGAATGTAGAGATCTTTCAGTGACAAGCTCCGCTACGTGACTTTCCAATAAATCTCGAGTCTTATCCCCTCAGATCCTGCCTGTCGGCAACGCTCGTCTGGTCCAACCCGTATTAGCTATCCCCTCTCGGCGATACATCCTCCAACCTTGACAACGTCTTCACCATGTCAGACAAGCACTTCTTCCCCGAAACCGCAGCGAACACCCTGGTCCCTCGCTATCTCCGTTCATTAACGGCCTCAAACCTCCATCTCGCATTGATAGAGTCGGAGCGCGTAGTCTACGACCCGCACCACAACCCTTCCACCGTATCAATCATCAGCGGCGGAGGCTCAGGTCACGAGCCAGGATGGTCGGGATACGTGGGCAGTGGCGCGCTCTCCGGTGCAGCCTGCGGTGATATCTTTGCCTCACCCAGCACCAAACAGGTTCTCGCAGCAATCGAGGCCACCCCGTCTGAGCAAGGTCACATATTGATGATTACTAATTATACCGGCGACAAGCTTCACTTCGGGCTCGCAGCTGAGAGAGCCAAGGTGCAAGGATTGTCAAAGAAAGTGGCTATGATTCATCTAGCGGATGATGTGAGTATCGGGAGGAGTCGGTGTGGTGCTGTGGGAAGGAGAGGAATGCCGGGGCACATTGTTCGTAAGTTTGATGACTGTGACACAGAGCTATGAGAACAACTGCTGACTAGATTGTCTATTAAGCCATGAAAATCACGGGCGCTGCAGCTGCCAGGAAGTACGAGTTCGAGAGGACCGTGAAGTTGGGAAGGAGCGTCAACTCCCAGGTCGTCTCGATTGGATCTGCTCTAGATCACTGTCATGTGCCAGGTCGTCAGGGTAATGAGACGATCCCCAATGACGTTGCTATCGTGGGCGCTGGTATTCACAATGAGCCTGTAGGTTAAAAACCACTGGCATGGACCTCTTGCATTGGCGCGGCTGACGATGAGATTACAAAACAGGGCGCCCAGAGACTCTCGCCCTTTCCCCAGGTGGATGAGCTCATCCAGTACTGCCTCAAGCTTCTTTGCGATCCAGAGGACAAGGAGCGATACTTCGTCACATTCGAGAAGGGAGACTCGACCGTGCTTGTGATCAATAATTATGGCGGCATGTCGAACCTCGAACTTGGAGCTCTCACAGATGAGACAATTACACAACTCGGTGAGTTCATTTTTCAAGAAATATGGCTTCCATTGCCCCAATTCAAAGGCATTTATTAACAGAAGAATTTCCATTAGCCTCAAAGTGGGACATCAAGCCCGTCAGGATACTCACGGGCGCCTTCGAGACTTCTCTCAACGCGCCCGGATTTTCTATCTCACTATGCAACCTCTCTGCCGCCTCGAGGGAATCAGATACATCCGTAGACGAGCTCCTGGAACTTTTGGATGCACCAACAACAGCTGTTGGATGGCCGAATTTGACTGCACCTAACCCACATCAGAACGGGGCCAGGCAAAAGCAACTCTCTCAAACCAAAGGCAAGATCAAGTCCAATGACGGTACAGATATCACATGTAAGTACGGCCCTTCACAGTTTGCTAGGCATCGGAACGGAGCTGATCAGTTGTGTAGTGGATCCTAAGCTGCTAGACACCGTGATCCGGTCCGCGTGCGAGGCAGCAATTGCTGCAGAGCCCAATTTGACTAAATTGGATACGATCAGTGAGTTCTAATCACTTTAAGCGGACTGAACTCCGAGTTCTGACCAGAATCGTGTGTAGTGGGAGATGGAGATTGCGGCGAAGCTGTCAAGGGAGTCTCTGAGTGTAAGTCTGCCCCGAAAATAGTTCGAAGCCCACCCGATCCTAGCTTAACGATTTTCGATAGCCGTGGTAAAAATCCTCAACACCAATGGAGCAGGCAAGGGCTCAGTGCTAGACTTCCTTAACGCGACAACGGACGCAGTAGACGACATGGGTGGGACCCTGGGCGCTATCCTGGGAATCCTCCTCTCCGCCTTCGCATCCGCCCTTAAGGAGCAATCTACCTCCGCTGGGAACTCGGAAAAATTCGCAGCAGCTTTGGAACAAGCTGTCGCAGCCTTGAAGACCCACACTAGTGCGAGAGAGGGCGATCGTACGGTGATGGACGTGTTGCTCCCCTTTACTGATGAGTTTGCACGGTCGAAGGATTTCCACCAGGCTGTGGGCGTTGCAAAGGAGAAGGCTGAGGCTACGAAATTCCTCAAGGCCAAGTTCGGACGGGCTACGTATGTTGCAGAGGCGCAGGGGCAGGAGCTGCCGGATCCGGGGGCCTGGGCTTTGTATGAGTGGTTGGATGGAATGTCGAGGGCTGTCAAGACATTTTAGGTCGATTGAAGCTACACGGCCACTGTGCTATTCGAAATTCAAACAAGATCAAAGAAAAAGAAGCATCACCAGCGGTGAAATTCTTCATCTTATTACAATCAAATGTCCTGCTTACCTGGGCCCAGGCAGAAGAAAGATCCTCCTCAATTCCCTCGAAGCCATCTTCGACTATGTTCCACATGAGTTCAGAGTTTTCGTGGGTACAATCTGTGCCGTAAGAATTCTCTGTGTCGGTTACATGAAAACTCACGCAAAACCAACGGCAGGAATCTCGATTTCGATAGTAAAGTGGCCCTGCTAGGAAGAGACATCTGAAAGCGATATCTGTAGCCTTTGAAGCCTCAGGACTACTCTCACAGTTCCAGGCAAACGAAAACACTGCTGCCGTCAGAAGGCGGCCCAAAGCATCGGACCGATACTCTTGAGCAAGGGACACCGACAATTGCGCATAGACCGCGTCTCGAGGTCATGGCCCAGAGTTCCACAAGCTGCGCCTGAACTTGACCGGGGGACCCCCGGAGCTGCCCAAAGCCGCCCCTGTTACGAACGGGATGTCCACTTTGAGCTCACCCGGGCTCGTCCAATATGGGGCCACTCCAAAGCGTTCTGTGGAGACGCGGGGCCCCAGATGGAGTTTGGCTTCTCATTCTTGGGGTCGAGGCGGCATCTGACCGAGGAGTCTTAACCGGGATTGTCCGGGGCAGGCGTTCATTTGTTAGACTTGCAGATTCATGACGACGAGTTGCCCAGGGGGTTGATGCAAGGCACTGGAGGGAAGTGCGTAGTCCGTGGGATCGAACCACCTTGCACAAGTGGCAGTTTGGCGGAAGCCCAGGAAACCGGGAAGGCTTGGTATACTAGGACTTGAGCTTGAATGTGCCCCTGTACCTAGATAGTGTAGATCCATGCTTCGACGGTCTAGTATATTTAATTCACTTTTGAACACTTTTCCCTATCGTGGTCACAAGTTCGTTAGGAGCAGTGGCAGCCTCGAGTCGGTCAACGTAATTTTAAAACAAGACGTCAAGCCTCGTTCCTCCTGTTCGTGTTCTGGCCCCCTTTTTGTTTGGTTTCGTTTTGTTACTGCATCCAGCCAGTCTCGAAATCTTTGTCCTGGTTAACCTGTGAGGAACCCATTTTTTGGTATCTCTTTCTGTCCCATACGCAATGGATCCCAATACGGGCAAGGCAGACGCCCAGCATGACGAAGATGCCTATCTCGAATTGCCCAAGCCTCATCAGCTCGGAGGCGTCGACGAATACGTGCCAGACACCGCCGAGGAGCGCAAGCTCGTGCGAAAGATCGACCTCTACTTGCTTCCTGCGATATGGGGAATGTACTTGCTGTCATACATGGACCGTACAAAGTGAGTTTTCCCAACAAGATCTGAATGACACACGGCTGGTTGAGTCTCCAGAACTGACCATTCACCTCCCCTACAGCATCGGCAACGCCAAAACAGCCGGCATGACCGACGACCTAGATATGGATTCTACAAAATACAGCATTGCCCTCACAGTGTTCTTCGTGGGCTACGTCGTCTTCGAGGTCCCCTCCAACATGATCCTCGCTCGCACGAAGCCTTCTGTCTTCCTCCCGACTATAATGTTCCTATGGGGCTGTGTTACTATCGCAATGGCTTGGGTCCCCAACTATAAGGCTCTCATCGGACTGAGAATCGTCGTGGGTGTCCTTGAGGCCGGGTTTGCCCCTGGTGTGCTGCTCACACTGTCGAGTTGGTACAAGCCTAACGAGCAGGCCAAAAGGTTTGGGGTGTACATCTCAGCTGCTATCCTGTCCGGGGCCTTTGGTGGCCTCATTGCGGGGGCTATTGAGGACGGGCTTGACGGTGTCCATGGTCTGCCCGGATGGAAATGGCTGTTCATCGTGAGTCACAATGAACAGGCAATATTCTTGGATACCCACTTCACATTCTAACACAACTATCTGAACAGGTTGAAGGCGCCGCAACAGCCGGCTTTTCCATTGTATCCTCCTTCCTGCTTCTAGACTTCCCCGAGAACACCAAACGCCTCACGGACAGCGAACGCCAACTGGCGATAAAGCGCCTCGCGTACGGCCGACCAAATACCCAGGGCCACGAGGAAAAGCTCGGCCACGTCGCAGCCCTGAAACGCTCCATCGTCGACTGGCGCACCTGGGTCTTCGTCGTCGGCTATATGGCTATCGTGGGATCCTCGACCCTGTCCTACTTCTACCCGACCCTTGTCCAGGGGCTCGGCTACTCCGGCTCCGTGACACAGTACATGACCGTCCCGATCTATATCGCCGCGTTCGTGTGCACCTTCTTCAACAGCATCTTCATGGACCGCGTTCCGCAGTATCGTGGTCTCTCTCTGGCGGTGTGGATGTCCGTCGCGATGATCTGCAGTATCGTCACGTGCGCCGTGTATAATTTCCACGCGCGGTACGCACTGCTTGTCATCATGGCGAGTGCGCTGTGGGCATCTAACGCGCTGTCGCTGGCGTATGCATCCACGACTTTCGGGTCGATGAATCATGAGGTCAGAGGAATCAGTCTGGCGATTGTTAATGCAATGGGGAATCTGGCGCAGATCTATGGGGCTTATTTGTTTCCTGATGTTGATGCGCCGAAGTATCTCATGGGATTCGGTGTCATCAGCGGGATGTGTTTCACAGGTGTGGTTTCATACTTCGTTTTGCAGGTGATGCTTCGCAGACAGTCCAACTGATGGGTAGGCTATCTCTGGTACATATACATAATGCGTATGAAGACACGAACTTGTACAGTCAAACTCACATATAAGAATTATCTCACACTCTTTCAAATGGGTTCACCTATTTGTGAAAATCTCAGATCTGAGACATCTGTACTTCACTTTCTTGGCCATGGAGAACAAAAGAGGTGGCTTTTCCCGATTGAGACAGTCCTTCGTATCCATGCCAAGAACTTGTATGCCCAGTCACATCGCCATATTAAAACGTCATATGACTAATTCGTCCGGTAAGACAACTGTCAGCCGAAGCCTCATTCTCATCTCACCACCGAACCACGCTTGTGGTCCACAACACGTGAAAAGATCAGCCTGCGTTGCATCCGGCCGATAGCATACGAGACTTCTCATTGGCACCCACGATCGTCCTCGAGGAATCTAACATTTGCGGCGCATCACCCAAGCTACCGGGACAGCAAAGTAACCAGGCTTTGTTTATCTACGCCATGGCTTCGGCGTCCGCAACGGTAATCGAGGCTGCACCCACAGCCAGCATGCTGCACATGCCTCAACATAGCCAGACGGACCACGTCATGAACAGCATCAACAGCAGCAGCCAAAGCCAGCACGATGGTGCCGACAGCTGGTCCGCCGCCGGAGCAGTCGCTCAGCAAGAGACTCTCACTGCTAAACCGTCCGGAATGGCGATAGCGCTGATCATGGCGCCCCTATGCCTGTCCGTGTTACTGTCATCGCTAGACCTGACCATGGTCACGCCGGCGGTACCATCCATCGCCGCCGAGTTTCAGTCGTCTTCGGGATATATCTGGGTCGGCGGTGCATTTATCCTGGGCAGCACGGCCGTGACGCCGGTCTGGGGCTCCGTGGCTGATATATGGGGCCGCAAGCCAATCATGCTCATTGCCCAGGCCTTCTTCTTTGCCGGTAGCTTGCTGTGTGCGCTCGCGCCCAACATGGATGCCTTCATTGCTGGCCGCGGTATTCAGGGCATTGGGGCCAGCGGGATGGGCATACTGGTCAACGTGATTGTCTGCGATACTTTTTCGATGCGAGACCGCGGCCTGTATCTCGCTGTCACCTCCGTTATGTGGGCGGTTGGGACAGCGGTGGGGCCGGTCCTCGGTGGAGTGTTCACTACCAGGGCTCACTGGAGGTGGTGTTTCTGGATGAACTGTAAGTTCCGTTGCCTCAACGTAGCCGCCAACACATATCGTTTTCATTCTCCCCCAGAGTTGGCTAATGTTCCACTACACCACAGTGCCTATTGGTGCCCTAGTCTTTGTTGTCCAGCTGCTATACCTCAAGATACCTATGCCCAACACTCCTGTAGTGGCTGGTCTGAAGGCAGTTGACTGGACTGGCAGCCTCCTCATCGTCGGATCCGCTCTGATGGTCCTACTCGGGGTCCAGTTCGGAGGCGTCACCTTCCCGTGGTCGTCCGCAGCTGTCATCTGCCTCATCACGTTTGGCACAGTAGTCTTGGGACTGTTTCTCCTCAACGAGTGGAAGCTAGCAAGAAATCCGGTCGTCCCACTACGCTTGTTCTCAAACGCTTCGACAGTAGCGGCCTATCTTGTCTACGTCTGCAATTTCTCGGTCTTGATCGGCCTCTCCTATTACCTCCCCCTCTATTCGCAGTCAGTGCTTGGGGCCAACGCCTTGGAATCTGGCCTCCATCTCCTTCCCCTCATTGTGTCGAGCTCCCTTGCGGCCGCGTGTACCGGAGTATTCATACAAAAGACGGGCATCTACTTACCAATCATGTACGGAGCCCAAGTGTTGCTCACACTCGGTTCTGGGCTGTTCATCAACCTCGCATTCGAAAAGAGCATTACCAAACTTGTCATCTATGAGATCATTACAGGGGTCGGCGTCGGCTTCAACATGGAGCCGCCGCTCCTTGTTGCACAAGCGACGGCGACGGCGCTTGACACGGCTGCTGTTATTTCGACCATGAGCTTTTTGCGGTCGATTTCCACAGCCATCATAGTCGTCGTTGGTGGCGTCATATTCCAAGGCCAGATGGTCGCGAACAACAGCGGGCTATCTGCCCAGATAGGCAAGGAGCTCGCAGCTCATTTCAACGGTGAACACGCCACTGCAAACGTGGACTTTATTGCTACGTTGCCGGTGGATGTGCAGGATGTTATAAGACGCGTATATTTCCAAAGCTTACGCGCGGTATGGATCATGGTAGGTGCTCGTCGAATCACAATGTGCCCAGATAAGCCGGTGGAGCCGGCTCCAGTGTCCCCTGAGCTAATTGAGTGCTCTCGAACAGTGTGTTGTTGTCGCCGGAATTTCTCTTATCTCTAACTTCTTTGTTCGTGCTCACCATTTGAGCTCAGAGACAAAAGGAGCTGTTCTTGGGCTCGAAAGGATACGGCAAGAAGACGACACACGACAGCAACAGCAGCCTGGTACTCCCTCGCAAAATCGTTCTGTCGAGCTCTCTCGGATACGGGAAGAGGGCCTCCGACTGCGTTCATAAGGCTCACCCGGTCCGACAGTCCATATACACAATATGCCAAGTGTATCGTCACGGTTTCTGTACCTTGCAATTCAACTGCTCTCACACAGTCACAGCATCGTTGATCCCAGATCACGGCTGACTCCCTGGTTTGACTCTTGGTGACGGAGGAAGCGATTAGGGGGTTGGTAGCACTGAATATATCAATACGGCGAAACTTGTTGCTCTTCAGCCGTAAGTTCCATCAATAAAGTCACGCAATTTATCACTGGCTCTGTGGCAAAGCCAAGCATTGGCATGTTGTGAGTCTTCATGGACCTGACTTTTGGAAATGGCCGGGAATCAGCAGCCGAAATCAACTCGCGTGATCTTGATCTCTTGAACATCTTGCGCCTGCCTGACAGGAGAGCCAACATAGGGGCTGATACATCTAATGCAGCGCAGACACGTAGCCCTCAGGCCACAGTAGCATGTAGGAACAATGGATCATACCAGACAATCACCGGTGACATTCTGTTATATTCTTTAATACAGATAACGAGGCGCTTGTTCTAGGATATGTTGGGCCTATGCTAGCACCAACGGTCATCATGGTCAAGTTTTTGAAGTATGGAACCTTCAGGATCTAATTGCATTTTTTTCCCTTGAAGCAAACAGCAGTTCACACCTATGCTGTTGTACTTTGAGGATTGAAGCTGGAAGTATGTGAACCGCTTTCTGCATAATAGACTAGGTGCCCAACCAGCTCGTTATATAGTGCAGGAACAGCAGAATCCATCATATAGCCTAGCACTGCATCATCTACCTCCATGAACAGGCAGCGGCCAGCGCGGACAAATTTGTGCCTTCTTTTTGAGGGGACTCGTACGTTCATCACCAGGAAATCGGCTTCTTTCGCTCTCTGGCCCGGAACTCGACCTCATGCAACTCGTAATCCTCATCGGGAACTTCCCATAAATACTTTTCCTTGACCTTGTTCCCATTCCTGAATGCAGTTGCACTGAGATCTGGCTGGGATACCGGTCGAGGCTCATCATCACCACAGTTCACTAAAACAGTAACGACACACAATGTCAGCAATCATGGGTCTAAAGAACCTTCTACTATCGAATCTGGTTGGCGTTAAAGAGGAGCAAGCGAGGGGTGCAGGAGCGACTTTCAACGTGTGCCATTAAGTGAAACAATGTAAATTCCGTCCACTAAGACCGAATCGAACGGCGGCAGAGGACTGTCATCGCTCCTCGCTGAGGGAACACTCGAGACCCGCCGGTGTAGTCAAGGTGACGCTCACCAAGCTGGTATCCACCAGGGAAGCGCCTGAGGTCGCGGTGCGTGAGCGCATCCTGCTCGGTATCGTTCTCCTCGACCGCGGCCGAGTCGTTGCGATGGACAAAAACGTAGACGAAGTTCCTGATGCTCTTGAAGGACTCGTTGTTGGACTTTGCTGCAGGACCCGCCTTGGTTTCATGGGCCGGGGAAGCATCTCGGCGGACTAGGGTGTGGATGGCATGTTTCAACCAGTGACTGACAGTGTTCCGGCGCCCGAGAAATTGTGGGCAGGAAGCGATCAGAGAGAGCTCGATCGCGGGCTGCGGTTCCCGATAGACAGCTGGGTGGTGGAGAGACCTGAGGGTGTAGACCTTTAGTTCTTCGAGCCTGTTGGATGAAGTTACGGGCAACGAGTGTTGAATTAAATATTGTTTCTATATTTCTACAGCCTCCTCACATCTCGATCCAACAATTCAGTGATTCTCCCATGATCATCGTGGCTGGAGACAGCAACGATTCCTCGAATGCTTCGTCTAGAACGCCTGGCGGTGATAGAATGGCGTTTAACGGTTGCTCGCCGCCGGCGGGCGGCCCATCGGCGGGCGGATCATCAATGCTGAGGATTTGATATGAAGCATGAAGCTGGACACCTTACCGCAGGCGAGCCTAGAGGCACTCGGCCGAGAACTTCATGCGTTTCCTGGGCGTAGGTTGAGGCATGTGAGTACCGGCAAGGCTCTGGGCGACCTCAAGAGAAGAGAAGAAGGCGGCTCGAGTTAACCGGTAAGATCACACCATGACTCAATTGAGTCGGCGTGTTCGGGAGAGGCTGCCAATAGGCACGGTAGGCCCGTAGGGCTTGGAAACAACGACATAGTCTGGCCTAGCAGACTTGGCGACGGGCAGCAACCTGTTGTCTCCGGCCAACTGGTAGCAATTCACGTCTCGCGGATGCGAGGGAAATCAAGCCGCTTCGCCGCACGCGTTACTATCTTGCAGGGGACAGAGTGCCTGGTTGCTTGGGAGTGTTTCACAACAGGGCCAGGCGGGTTGCAACGGCAAGGGCCATGGGGGGCTGCGGCCGTAGGGGAAGGTTTGGCGATATTAATCTCCGGCAATGCTCGGGGACCTATGGCGTACGTGACATCGATACGTCGCTCGTCGTCACTGCAACACTGCTTGAAATACTATGGACAGAAATTCTTCATCGCAAGAAAAGTTGGACAACGATGATTCCTGAGCCTGGTGATCTGCACAGAATATCTAGGTGGCAATGTAGCACACAATCTTGATCGTACATTGCAAGGCACAGTGAGCTGGGGTTGCTATCGGTGCTTTGGCCTCCAGAGTCCCGTTCCGCAAAGGTCCACGGGAGAGCGTCTGAGATGGTCCACTTTACCGTGATATACTGTCGTGGTATCTTTATTTTTAGTATCAAGGTTTGAAGCTTGCTCTGATTCGTGGCCTTCCACACTAACAGGGATTTGAATGGCCAAAAGCTGTGTCGACACGATCCCATGTTCTCCGCAAGATCTGACAGCTTCAGTGGGAATTCACATCGGCTGGCAACAGAGTGAGTGAGTCAGTTGGATTCATGGCAAAGAAAACTTTAGCTTCCCCTAGTACTGCGCCCGGGTGCCTCCAAAAATATAGATATGGCCACCGGTTTTCATCGTCCCATCTCAGTCTCAAACACGTCCTCCGATCTCTTGAGTGACGGGAAACTCGGGCGGCCGCATCGCGGAGATTTGGCATCATGTTGCTGCTTAATTGTTGACTTACTAGTGTGAATATGTTACCTTTCGAGAACTTCCATCACATCTCGAAGCGCTAGACCAAGGTCGTAAAGACTCGATTCGCATGGGCTTGTGCGAGACATTGAGCACATGCGATAATACTGATCGTTGACTCGTATACACGAGCATCCCTGGCCTCACTACACTAGACACACAAGTCGACTATCACAAGTCCAGGTGGATTTTGCATCATGGTCAGTAGTCCAGACTCGGCGATGACACCTGGAAGCCAACAAATATGTGACGGCGGACCAAGTATGTCTTCCATCTCCTCTAGTCAAAGATCGTCTCTACCAGAGGAACTCCCGCTCTACAATTCTGAAGCAGCCATCTTGTCACAGTCAACAACAAGGACGGCAAGATCCGACCATTCGTGTCGTGAGGCTGACTTTGTTGAGGAAGACATGCGTCTTTGTGTAGAAGCAAGTGGAGAGAACCGCTAGGAACTGCCCCTTCCTCATCAAGATCATGACAGAGTGCCTCAAAACCCGAGTGGCGGCTGTACACGTCCCGCGGCATTATCACACGCAACACATTTCGAGTCTTGGTATCTGAGAGGCGAGGCTGCCAAGTGCTTTGAGCTCGGTCACATCGTCTTGCCACGCCGGCGGCAACTCCCAATAGTATTGGGAAGATCGAGATGAAGTCTACTGAGCCAGCTTGTCAATGTAAACCCCTGCCAAGACCTGTGCGACTTGCCATCTCTCTACATCTGGGCCTTGGCTCCAACATTGCAATTACCCGTCGATCTCCGTCTGCTCTACTTTGGGAACTGAGGATAGCACTCTACGAGTTTCAGGAAAACTTGTCGCCCCCCAGACTCCGTGCTCAAGCCCATAACAGATGCCCAAGACCTTAACCAGCGTGCCTTCTCAATTTTATCACATACCTCGACGGTACATTCTCATATGCCCTCCGCAACCAGCAGACTCAAGGCCTTTGTGCACAGAGTAAGAGAATTCCTTGTCAAAGACATGACAAGAGACGGAGACAAGAGAGCGGGAATGGTAGTCGACCCCGAGGCTGAGCTGGCCCATCTGCCTCCGGCGGTCACCAGGCAGGCCTCGTTCAACGACAGCCCGACCATCCGCGGTGCACCGCCAATGGAGAGCGGCTGGTATGAGAGCCCGCGTAATTCGGTATTTGGCGACGACCGCTACGACCGCCGCGGCGCCAGTGGAAGGACGAACTACCCGACATATCGGTTCTCTACACACTCGGCAGACGCTCATCCCATGCCGCCAACGAGGAGTCCTCCGCCACCGGTGGGAATCGGAGTAAAGGACGAAGTTTACATCACCATGTCCGAGGAGCAGTGCGACATACCCACCAGGCGCCGGTACATCACCAAGCTGTGCAAGGCCACACTAGTCTACGGCTCGCCCACGCACAGGATCGTGCCATACATCCAGATGGCAGCGCGCGCCCTGGACATGGAGATATACATGCTCTACGTCCCAGACAACATCATCCTCGCCTTCGACAGCCCAGACGACGTCGACGGCAAGGGAATCTACCAGCCGACCGAGGTGAAGCTGGTCCAGGGCGCGGGCACCCACGTGGGCAAGATGCTGGACGCGCACGAGGTGTAAAAGCACGTGCTGCACGGGCGCATCTCGGTCGCCGAGGGGATCCGCCGGCTGGACCACATCGAGCAGCGCAACGACGGGCACAACGTGTGGTTCATGTTCATGATCTTCGGCTTCGCGGCCGTGGGCATCGCGCCCTTTGCGTACCGGGCCCGCTTCATCGACCTGCCCGTCGCCTTCATCACGGGCAGCCTGCTGGGCGTCATGCAGCTCAAGTTCGCGCCCTCGCACCCGCTGTACGCGCTCATCTTCGAGGTCACGGCCGCCATCCTCATGTCCTTCCTCGGCCGCATGCTGGGCTCGATCCGGGGCGCCGACGGGTCCCGCATCTTCTGCTACTCGGCGCTCACGCAGTGCTCCATCAACCTGCTCATGCCTGGTTACTGGATGACCAACGCTGCTCTGGAGATCATGACCAAGAACATCGTCACTGGTGGCTCGAGGATGATGTACGCCCTGATTTACTCGCTTCTTCTCGCTTATGGAATCGCCATCGGATCGACGCTGTATGGTTACATGGACTATGATGCAGTCAGCAACCCACGCTGCGAGAACCTGATCGACCGGCGGTGGAATCTGTTCTTTGTGCCCTTCTTTTCGGTCCAGGTCGCCATCATCAGCGGAGCCAAATGGCGGCAGATCCCAGCGTAAGATATCCCCCAATACCTCCATCACTCTCACTACCGTTGGCCCCCTTGTGACCGAATCATTGACTTACATGAATGCAGTATGGTCTTCATATCCTTCATGGGCTACCTAATCAACTTCCTCTCAGTCGACCTCTTCCACGGCTCCTTCACCATCTCCCACACCCTGGGCGGCTTCATGATCGGCCTCCTGGGGAACCTGTACTCCAAGTTCGGCTGGCAGGTGGAGCACCTCATCTACGACCGGGGGCTCGGCACGGGCAGCAGCAACCGGCGCAGCAGCCGCATCGGCCTGGGCGCGTCCCAGGGGTTCGCCCTCGCGGCCGCGGGCATGGTGCCCGCCATGACCGTGCAGGTGCCGTCCGGGCTGGCCAACACGGGCATCGTGGCCGCGGGCCTGCAGACGGCCGACGCCATCGTCCGCAACACCACGGCCAACAACCAGGCCTTCCCGCTGGGCGAGCTCCAGCTCGACGCGATGCCCATCCTGCTGCAGGTCATCCAGATCGGCATCAGCATTGCCATGGGGCTGTCGCTGGCCGCGTTGCTGCTGTACCCGCTCGGGAAGAAGAGGAGTGGCCTAATGGCATGGTGAGGTTTTGGTCTTTCGGGACGCTTGTATGGGAGAACATTGGCATTCAGCATAGCACTGAGCGCTGTCATGTTTCCTTCCTCGGTTATGGATAAGACAGACGCCGCGTCTGAAGCGGCTTATAATCTTCAGCAGGGCGGCCGAGAGGCCAGGCATGAACAGCGTACATTTGGCATTTTCTCTTCCAGATATTAGAACGAGAGGCACCTTTCCTCGTTGGTCTTTTAGGGTTCACCCGCGCAGGTCAAGCGGAGATTGGTTCTTGTGGAGGGTTGACAAAAATGCGACCAGGTCGCAAAGTGTTTATGTGTGGGGGACATTTCTTGTATGTTTAACACAACAGGGAGTGTTTGTCTCTAAGGGCAACCTTCACTCCTCGGGCAGGTCCCAATAGTCTAATAGACGGATTTTCCTGGGGGCAGTCCACATCACCACTCGTATCGGAGATTTCTGGCTGAGGTTCGGAATGTTGGGATCCACGATACTATCCAGCAGAAACATCTCACAACGATGGGCAGCCTGACGTTCTCTGGGTTATCTGCGGGCAGGATTTCACCGGTTAAATGCAGCCCTTGATGCCACCCTTCAAGATCCTTCGGGTCGTTGATGGCCCAGGATATCGTCGACCCCGTCCTGGCGATAATGGGCTCGAGCCTCTGGACGATCATCGGGAACCAGTTGAAGCAGTCAAATACCATCTGGTTTCGTGCCTTGACAAAATAACTCGTCAACTGCTCGATAAGCATGCGGCCCTGAGCTGATTTCAGATACATGGTCAGACCCTCGAACACGACGAGCGTCCTGCGGTCGCGTGGGACCCCGAGTTTTGCCAGCCAGAGCTCGTCCGTCACATCGGCGCCGACCATTTCGTACTGCATACGGTCGCTATCCGGTTCCGGGAGGTGAAGCCCGCGCCTCACATCAATCACATCCGGCAGGTCAACGTCGATCCAACGGGTATTTGCTCCATCCTTGCTGCAGTGTCCCTGGAGCCTCAACGCGCGGGTATCCAATCCCGCGGCCAGGTGCAGGATCGTGACCGGTGCGCCGTCATTCTGGGCCTGTTGGAGGAACTCAGAAGCCCATTGATCCAGAAATTTCGCACGTAGAGCAATTACCGCTGCCTTGAGCGAATGCACACGCAATTTCGAGAAGTCGTAGTCGAGCTGCTCGACGAGTCGCACGGCGTGTTGGTCGTCGAGGATCGGCGTGGTGGTCTTCGCATCCAGTGCACGCGCGTGCAGGACGGGCCAGGAGTGTTTCCTGTGCGCCTGTCAGGTTAGGCTTCAACCTGCATGCTGGAGTTTGTGAGTTATTAGAGGCCATGATTTGCTACTGCAAGTGGTCGGTGATTGAATGTCGTGTCGTGCATGAGGGTCGGTGGCAAATGGGGCCGAGATCGGCAAGGGGGCGAGCACGCGAGCGCTGGAGCCCACACGCGAGTTTTCCCAAGACCCTGGAGTTCCGGGGACCCGGGATCCTGGGACTTGCTGGGTGCCCAGGCGGCACCGGGCGACGCTCAGTGCGGTGTGGAGCCACCACAGGGTAGCGCATCCAAGACTGCTTACGCGCCAAGATGTCGAATGCGGCTCTCGAAGCCAAGGCGTCGGATCTCTTGGTCTCGGTGCGGTCCGAAAGTGTGGCTGTCTAGCTGTGCTACCATCGATCGGAGTGCGGCAGTCGATTACACACACATGGCTATGTACTGCACACCAAAAGGTAGGCCACGATCCTCAGCTTCGACGGTTGTACGTTTGCTAATGTGGAGAAGAGGCAAGATAAACTTGGCGAGAGCGCTCAAGATCCGATCTTTCCAGTGGCTCCAACACCATCAAGCTTCGGTCAATGCCGCCAGGCCCCACAAACTCGCCACAAAGCCTTCAGCCTAATAGCGTACGGTAGAATACGCATGAAACAGGAGATGGGTGTTTCCCGCCTACAGCAGCTGCTGCATAACCCACCCTACTTCGTATACGGACTAGGAATAAACTACGCAACGTTGCACAGTTCCCGGTGATAAATTTTGCCCTCCCCTTGACTCCTACTCGGCAAGGTTCCGGCCTCGAACTGACTCTCCACTGCCTCGGTTCATTTCTCGTCGCCAGCAATTCCGCGAGATAGGGGCGCGGAGAATTACGGTGCGCCAGTTGTCGCCAATCAGTGGGCGATCTGTTCGATCCAGAGATGATCACTTCCAAGCTGGCTTCGCAGCTGCCCGATTGGTAACTGATGGGATGCGGGCGAGTCTCGCTGGGTTGCACTCCGGGCCGGATGCCAGCATCTCATGACCGACCTGCTACGTGGGTCCCAGGGACTCGCCCTGTTCGCCTCAACCACCCAGCGCCTGCAAGCCGTGCGTGACACTGATGGCCTGACCATCGGGTGCCCCAGACGAGAAATCCCCGTGGTACGGCCGTGTGAGGTAACTTTTATGCGCGAGTATTACATCGACACTGATAAAAGGGGCCCCACCTAAGTTGTTTCACACGGGGTTTCTCAACATCTAACGGTCTTTAAAGATACACCCGCGCTCTCTGAGTCACTGCCATTTGGCTATTTATCCCTTCCGCTGTCACCGGAAAGTCGCATCCCGTCCAGGCGTTGAAGTTCACCCTGCAGCTTTACGCCAGGTCGAGTCTCTCCGGGACTCTGTCAAATTGGGTTCCCACGCACAGTCGTGTACAGCGCTCCCACCATGGACCACGAATCGAGCGCAGCGGAGTACGTAGCAACCACACGAGGTTGATAACCACCAGGTTTGCTAATGAAGACAATGCAGGCTTCATGCTACCGCGGTTGAGCCTCGCCTCCATGACAAGAAGGACCACAAGGACATGGCCGGTGGCATCGAGCCAGTCGGCCACGAGCAGGGTCTCTCCAGCGGGGACGCTGCAAGCTTTGTGACGGCGGACGGAGACGAGCCCTCCGACGAGGAGAAGCAGAACCTGCGCAAGGTCGCCGACAAGCTGCCGTGGGCCGCCTTCCTCGTCTGCATCATCGAGCTTTGCGAACGGTTTACGTATTACGGCCTCTCCGGCCCTTTTCAGAACTACATCGAGAATAGCCGCAACGACGCCCTTCCTGGTGCCATTGGCCTGGGCCAAAGCGGAGCTACAGGTGAGCAGCCCTTGTATAACCCAGGCGCGCGCTTTCGGCCGTCGTGTCGCTGACAAGATCACACCAGGCTTGACGAATTTCTTCCAGTTCTGGTGCTACGTGACTCCAGTGCTTGGCGCCGTGGTCAGTGACCAGTACCTAGGAAAATACTGGACCATCTTCTACTCAGCCGTTATCTACATCGTCGGAAACCTGATCCTGTTCCTGACCTCCCTGCCCGTCGCCATCGAGAATGGCGCTGCTCTGGGAGGCCTCATCGCGGCGATGATCGTCATCGGTCTGGGCACCGGAGGCATCAAGTCCAACGTTTCGCCATTGATCGCGGAGCAGTACGACAACACGGTGCCGTTCGTGAAGACGCTCAAGTCCGGTGAGAGGGTCATCGTGGATCCCGCAACTACCATCAAGAGGATCTACATGATTTTCTACATGATGATCAACATCGGCAGTCTCTCCAGCATCGCTACTACCGAACTCGAGGCTAACGTTGATTTCTGGGCCGCGTACCTCCTTCCGTTCTTGATGTTCCTCATCGGGATGGCGGTTTTGGTTGCCGGAAAGTCGAAATACAAGCTGCGGCCTCCCCAGGGGAGTGTTATCCCCAAGGCATTCAAAATCATCTGGATTGCCTTCACCCACAAGGGCAACTACGACGCCGCCAAGCCCGAATACCACGAGGAGCTCTGCACCGGCCGCAAGTACGAGATTACCTGGGATAGCATCTTTGTCGAGGAAGTCAAGAGGGCCCTGGTCGCCTGCAAGGTCTTCGTTTTCTACCCGATCTACTGGGTGGTCTACAGCCAGATGCTCAACAACTTCATCTCGCAAGCCGGCCAGATGAGCCTCCACGGAATCCCCAACGATCTCATGCAGAATTGGGATCCAATTACCATTATTATTTTCATCCCTATCTGCGACTACTTCCTCTACCCCGGACTGAACAAGCTGGGCTTCAAGATGCTGCCGATCACGCGCATCTTCTGGGGCTTCATGCTCGCCAGCGGCGCCATGGCATACGCGGCCGGCGTCCAGAAGATGATCTACAACTCCGGGCCCTGCTACGAGCAGGTCGCCGCCTGCCCCGCCGCCCTGCAGTCGGACGGCACCTACGCGCCCAACGACATCCACGTCGCCATCCAGGCCCCCGCCTACCTGCTCATCGGCCTCTCCGAGATCTTCGCCAGCATCACCGGCCTCGAGTACGCCTTCACCAAGGCCCCCGCGAGCATGAAGTCGTTCATCATGTCGCTGTTCCTGCTGACCAACGCGTTCGGCTCGGCCCTCTCGATCGCCCTCTCGCCCACGGCCGTCGACCCCAAGCTGCTCTGGATGTACACCGGGCTGTGCGTCTCGTGCTTCCTTGCTGGTATCATCTTCTGGCTGCTGTACAGCAGGTACAACGACACGGAGCAATCGATGAACGACCTCGAGAAGTTCACCGAGAAGCCCAAGGCGATTGGGGAGGAGGAGTCGGCGGACCGTGACCTTGAGAAGGTCACGACGACGTCTACCACCGCTAGAGCGAAGAGCTGATCGAGATCTCGATGCAAATTCTGTAAATAATAGGCGCAGGTATTAAGCCCAGGGGGGGTGATTATGTACGATAGCCTCGTTCATCCTATGAATGTTGAAACGATAATGTTTTACTGCTGTTAAAACTGCAACATGGCCCGGTGTCTCCACGTTGGTTTAAGAATCAGCCATATCCCATCCGCTCATTCGCTTTTCTCTAGATTCTTCGCAACATCAACATACGAGCCTTTCAGAATATCCTCCACGATACCCGGCTCCGTAGGGCGCCAGCCTAATTCCGATACGGCTTTCTTGTTCGAGCCTCTGTTCTCAATGACCAAGAAATTGACAAGGAAAGGCGGCATCTTAGTCAACGCGATCTCCTTGGATAGGTCCAACGCAGGCACGCCCAGAGTCTGCCCAACAGCCCCCTGGAGCTCCTTCATGGTAACATGAGTCTCGGCAGACGCATTGTACGCCTCACCAGCCCTGCCCTTCTGGGCGACCAACAGGTACAGCCTCGCCGCGTCGTCAACGTGCACCGTCGTCGTGCGCGTGGACCCGCCATCCACGTACGTCGCGGCCCCCGCCGCGGCGGCTCCCTCCATGAACATCCTGACGCCGCTGCCGCCGCGCCCGTAGACGAAGGGCGCGAGGCGCACGCACAGGGCCCTCACGCCCGCCTTCGCCGCCGCGGCCTTGGCGTGGTCCCACGCCTTGTACCGCGTGATGGGCGACTCGGTCATGACCGGCGCGTCCTCGGCCGTCTCCCCGCCGTCCGGGTCCGGGCGTGCCATCATGGTGCCCGATGTTGTGATGAGGGTCTTGGTCTCTGGATTTGAAGACTCTAATAAGCCCGTGATCATGGCGTCTACGGCTGCGGCGTCGATGGCCAGGACCTTGTCGTAGGGCGTGTCGAAGCCCAGGCTAAGGAGGGCATCGGCGAGGTGCATCACTATGTCGGCTTGGTTGGACTCGGTCTCGAGGACGTCGAGGGTCTCGAGGTCGCCGCGCACGGGGGTTGCGCCCAGCATGGTGAGTTTCGCATCGTTGGCTTCGGCGCGCGACAGCCCGCGGACGGTGTAGCCCTCGGCGATGGCAAATTCTGTCAGAACCTGCCCGAGATAGCCGGTGGCACCGGTCATGAAGATACGCTTTTGTGACATTACTTTGAGGACTCAAGATGGTTGTCTGAAGAGTGATAATGGGTTTAAATTCGAGCTGGGGGATTGGTGCTGAAAGGATGCCCTTCGTTCGAAGAATGTTGGCTAAAGCTGAGCGGAGGACTCGACCGTGTGGCATGGCAGCATGCGTTAAGTAGCATATTTATAGTCTTCCATCTTGAACCATCAATGGGAATAGGGGCGACGCAGTACTCCGTGGTTTGTCCTACGTCCATGTGTAAGCCCGTCATATTGCCACATCCGGCTACTGCTTACCTCCGTTGCCGTTGTAAACTCCGTCGAGGATGACATCTGATTAACAAGCCACTTAGAAGACACGGTTTAAGCGGAACTAAGGGTTTCGCTTGAATCGGCTTAAATCCACGGTCCGCATCTGTGTCCCTCAAACTTAAGTCACCGTGCTGGTTTCCGGTAGGTTACAGTGGATGAGGGAGTGACACAGGAGTAGGCCACACTGCGTTTACAGAGGCTACTTCTTCGCAACACATAAGCTGCGTAATTTTTCGGACTTATCAAATTCAATGATTTACTCAGTTTGTCCGGGGAAAAAGATACTCATAGTAATGGCGCTTGATACTGAGTGTGAATTGAAATTCTGGCGATGGGCAACTCCAACCCCCCCCCCCCCTTTTTTCACCTATTCTCTCTGACCTGATAACCCTAAGGGTTCGGGGTCAAACCCTACGTCAGGAGAACATGCCCGAGCAGGCAGACAGACCGACCTTCACTGCTCGCAGCACAGAACACCAGCCTAACAGCTCCATCAACTCTCCTGCATCAACTTTGGAAACCACATGGGCTCACTCCTGCGTTGCTGGGGTCGACAGACTCGTGACACCACTGTTGCTATTCTTTGCATCTTGCCATGAAACCGCGACTCCGACCCGTCCATGCGTCACGGCCGTTGATACTTGTGCACCGTCGCTGTCCATGTGTGGCTTGTCATCGTCACCTTCCGAAGCGGCGATCGAGACCACATACTAGAACGTCTCATAACACGCTAAACTCCTTTCACCATGTCCACATTCGACGGCATAATCAGAGAGTTCCCTGGGATTAGGGGTGTGCATCTCTTGACCCTTTTGCCCAGGCGCCTTCTCTGACTCTTGAACAGTGGACTTCTTTCGAAACGTCGTGGACGACCCTCCGCTGGCATGCTTCATCAGTCACATCCACAGCGATCACATAGCTGGGCTCGACACCTTCAAGGGCCGTCTTGTCTACTGCTCGGCGGCAACAAGGGCAATGCTGTTGAAGCTGCAACGCAAAGCCTCCCGCATCAACTTTGCCCAAGGGATATTGGAGGCGGAGGAAATTACCTACAGACATCAAAGGAACCGCCTGGTGAGCCTTCCCCGTGCGGCCGTAGCTTGTCGTCAGAGGCTGATACCCCTCAGAAAGCTCTGCCACTGAACACGCCGACGGATGTTGAACTTGCCCCAAACAACACCGTGCGAGTCACACTCCTCGATGCGAACCACTGCCCCGGTGCCGTCATGTTCCGTGAGTGACTTGTACCCCTGATATAAGCGATCGTACCTGATTTTGTTAGTCTTCGAGGGAGATGGGAAGGCTGTACTGTACACGGGAGACATCAGGAGCGAGCCTTGGCATGTTGACGCCCTGGTCCGGAATCCTTGCATGGTTGAGTATACATTTGGACGAGATTCGAGACAGCTGAAGACTTTGGATAAGATATACCTGGACACGAGCTTCACTGAAGACGTTCAGTTTCAGACAAAAGCGGACGGCCTGCGCGAGCTGCTTGAGAAGGTAGACAAGTATCCTGGTGATACCCTCTTCTACTTCTCTGCTTGGACCTATGGATACGAGGATGTATGGATCGCATTGGCCAAGGCCCTAAACACCCAGGTACGCTCATGACATTACCCAAGTCTTTTCTCGGGCCAGTGCTGATATCGATATGTAGATACATGTCGATGACTACAAAATGAAGGTTTACGAATCCCTTCGAGTTAAGCTAGACGACGAAAACAACTACCTCCACCTGAGCCCTGAAGCACCAGCTCTGGCTGGTTTCCCATGTGGTAATCGGTTTCACCCTGGCTGCTTAACCCGAAATCCAAATGTCCGAATACACAGCTGCGAAAAGGGGTCCGGTTGCCCGATAATGCAAAAGACGGCGACTGGAAATGTGGTCTGGATCACGCCCATTGTTGCTCACCGGGGCGAGGATGATATGGTAGAGGTTGGTATCGGCGGCGGAGCTGGAGATCTGGAAGAATCGGATCAAGTCGTTCTGGCTACTGAAGATCTCCGTAAATGGCTCGAAAGGTAGGATTCTACGCCACTGAATATCCATCCAGAACGCTAACTGAATGTATCCAGCGTGAAGACGGACCAACACACGCCCAAAGCCACCAAATCTCTGCTACAGAATTTCCTAACGAGTACTATCTCGGCCAAGCACCCTCTTGTGCTGAGTCTTGTGGAAGAAAATGAATCGGACGAGCATGACCTACACACAGTATACCGGTCTCTTGTGGCCGCCGCGGAGGAGAATCGAGGACACAGGCCCGTCACCACACTAACAAACAGGATTAGATTTCCCTATTCCCGCCACTCCTCTTACGGCGAATTGTGCCACTTGGTTTCAGCGTTGAAGCCGAAAGATATCTGGCCGTGCACAGTTGATACGACTCGGTGGATTAGACAGGGTAATGGCACGCACCGGTCGTCTTCAGGTGAATTAAATTAACCCTTGCATTAGGAATCACCATTGAGGGTTTATTCGGTGAGCACTGCTCGGGTAATGTCTTTGATCATGATCAACACATGGCTCAATTGGCTTCCGAGCTGCAGATAGAAGATATTGAGCAACAAGAGACTCAGATCTCTGCTGAGTCTCGCATACAGTCATCCCCAGCCGTTGGGATGTCACCTCCAGTTGCCAAGGCATTGTCCCCTGGCATGGATAGCAATCATGAGCAAGTTCCTCGCAGCGATGAGAGGGCAGCATCGAGCCAAGCGACCACTGCCTCAGTAACCCACGAATACCATGATAACAGGAATAGTCCTCATGACAACGACTGCACCAGTCGGCAACATCAAGTCATAGATCTCACTCTCGAGGAGTCCGAGAGCAGCCAAAATCCGGCCACTCAAGATACACGGAGCCAGCTACTCAAGAGGAATTTCGGAAGCTTCGTTGAGGATATCGAGCCCATTCAGAAAGCACGGTCGCGTGATGAGACTGCCGACGAAGACATCAGTCATCTTCTCGACTCGCAGGAGACATCCATCTCGGCCCGCGCATTGGAGACCCGTCGAACTGCCTTCAACTCGGTGCTTCACGAGTCTAATCCTGACCGGTGGGACGGCCTCCTGTGCACGAAGAACAACCACACACATGAAGAAACTGAGCTAGGCGAGGAACGGGATTTGTCTGGCATGGATGACGGTCCTTCCAAGGAATCAGTGCCTTGATAACCTCGGCATGTACCGAGCGCGTTCAATGCGAACACCCCCACAACGCGCGAAGGCTTGGCATCTGTCATTGCCAGCCTCCTGCAGCTTTAATTGCGGGGACCACGGAGCCGTTGCCTTCGCTGTGGAGAAGGCCTGTCAATAAAAGTCCGGGGCCCAGCGGTCCTCTATTGGCCCGCTACAGAGCCAGGCGGATGGACCTCTACCGGCTTGGATCATTCCACCGAGTTTTGCTGGTCACGAGGCACAGCTCGGTGTAAGCCTGTACAATGGCGCCGGAGATGTGTCGCCTAATAAACGTGTGGGTTAGGTCCGTTATTGCTCTGCAGGAACGTGCTTGTTTTTCCGGCACGATTTCAGCTATGAGTCGTCGGCGTTTTCGTTTCACCGCAACCAAAATAGCTTGAATCATGGGGATCGCCTAAATGTAACCTTAATATTACCGCGGCCCGCCTGAACTGGTCACGATAGATGGTGGAGTTCACAGAAGGTGAAAGGCGTGGTGCACGCCCAATGCGTGTTACTTAACTTTCCGATGGTGCCTGTTCTCCCACAACCTTTACCCCGTCCTTCGTAACCGCGTCAACACCTTGTAGTTCCGCGCGTGCTACTGTCAAACAAGACACGACGATGCCATCAATACTGAAGACCGTCACCGCAGCATTGCTGCTTGCCACTTCCTCACTGGCACTGGTGGCCCGCAGCCCTCAACACCTGGACCTCAGGGAGCTCGGGCTACCGGAAAGGCGGGCTGATCCGAGTCTGACGGGCTACCTTGGTGCCTTCTTCCTCGGTGACGAGCCGGATGTTTATTTCTATCTCAGCAATGGAAACGATGCGATCTCGTTCAAGGCGCTCAACGGTGGCAAAGCGGTGATCGTGCCCAGCGCAGGCACCGGTGGTGTCCGTGACCCCGCGATAGTTCCTGGCGGTGGCGCTGAGGCCGGAAAGAAGTGGTACATCGTCGGTACGGATCTAGACATCGGCAAGGTGAGTGACCATACTGCGAACGCGGCAGCGCGACTCAAGTATTGATTAACTTAATACTGACCAAGCTACAGACGAGTTGGGACGCGGCGCAGAGGACCGGCTCGAGGGGGATCTTCGTATGGGAGAGCACCGACCTGATCAACTGGAAGAACGAGAGGCTGGTTCAGGTCGAGGACAAGACTGCCGGCATGGTCTGGGCTCCGGAGGCTCTCTGGGATGCCAACAAGGGCCAGTACCTGGTCCATTGGGCTTCTAAATTCTATGCGGCCTCTGACACCGCCCACACCGGCACCCCATCGAATATCAAGATCCGCTTTGCCTGTATGCAACCACCCCCCCCCCCCCCCCGCCTCCTGTGCCATTGGTCTCAAGCCTGATGGCTTGATCCGAGCACAATTCTCAATGAGCTACACTCCTTGTGCCAGCCCAGCGAGATGGTCTCAGAGTTCTCTTTCCGAGCATCCACTGACCCAAGTAAACAGACACCAGCGACTTCAAGACCTTCAGCGCACCAGCAACCTACATCGACTACGCCCCCACCAACATAATCGACCTGAACATCCTGCCCTACGGCAGCAGCGACACGAACGCCTACCTCCGCTTCCTCAAGGACGAGACGCTCAAGAACGTCTTCGTAGAGTACTCAACAACCGGCCTGAACGGAACCTGGACGCGGCCCGGCGGCAGCGGCGCCTACATCCGCGCGCAGACCGAAGGGCCCGCGGCGTACTGGGACAACAAGGCCGCGGGCAAGGTGAACCTGCTGGTCGACTACTACGGCGGCAACGGCTATGCACCCGTTACGACGACGAACCCCCGGAGCAACAGCGGCTGGGCGAACGCCAGCACGGCCGACTTCCCCGGGGGGCTGAGGCACGGCAGCGTGCTGCCCATCACTGCGGCGCAGTATGGTGCTCTCAGCGCTGCGAAGTGGGCGTAGTTGACCGGGGAGGGGCCGTGTTCGGAGGGGGGCGTGGGCTTGCGTTCACCACATACCCATGCACATGCACGTGCAGGTAGATATTGGAGCAGTATAATAGGAGTATGAGGAATCTTGGATCGTAAATATTAACGCGCTTTCCTGTACATATCCCTCTTCGTAATATACATGGTAATTACACTGCTGACGTTCGTGGTATCATTCCCTCCCTAGGCTTAGTTGCCGCCGGGGATCTTCTCGTTGACCTTCTTGTTAACAGCATCGTTGATGGTGTTGTTGGTTGATGAGGGCACGCCGGCCTGGCCGGTTGCGTTGTCGACCTCTGTTGATGTGCCTAGTTAGCATACTCTGATCTCAAATCGGGGAGCGGTGCGGCTGTTGACGAGCAGCGAAGGGGTGATTCATACGTTGGTCGACGGCGTTATCGGCGGAGCGCTCGACGTTGTTGCCGGGCTGAGAGTCCTTGCCAAGCTTGTTCTGGGCGGCGTTCTTGAGGGAGTCCATTTTGAGTGAAATTGGGTGATTGTCTGTGATTTTTAAAGTTGAGGTCTAGAGTATGAGTTGTAAAGGCTTGTGAATTGGATTGATGCCAAGGACAGTTCACAGTCTGGAAAACGTCGACATGTCGACTCTTTATACTTATACATCAATGTGCTGGTATGATTCTATCTGTTGTTACCTTGAGCAGGTTGGATATGCTGTCGTCCAGCTTTCGTCATTGCGTGCAATACCCCAATCCAGTTTTCTGGCTGATGCTGCTGGCTAGCTGGCTAGTCGGCTTCACTTTGCGACTACAGCATCGCTGCTGGTCAATTTGGAGGCAGTGCATGCAAGCCATTGGCTACGTGATACGTCAGACTCATATGCGATAGCTGGTTCGACCCTAAGATGACATCAAACGATCAGCACGACCCTGGCATGTTGTAGCGGCTCTGCAAGGCACATGAAATCATTGTGGGGCTCACGGCTAGATGTGCCGACTTCATCCCAACGACGTCTTCATTATGACGAACAACTCGACGCACGATGAGATCGGTTTGTTGAATTGACACAAGTTCTTCGAGAGATATTCATAGAAAAAGATTGATGCGCTCAAGATTCTTGAAGCAAGGAAAAAGGGGGTGGCAAAGGTCTCTGGGTGCGGTGTAGTTCTCAATTCAAAAGCAACGACCCGGCCGGTTTTAGGACAAGCAATTCTTCTCAACATCAAGCCTGCAGAATGACCTCTTGATCTGTGGTTCAAAGGTAACAGTAGCAAATAACCACCTCCTAAGCGCGTTGCAGGTAGGCATTGTATTGAAAATGCGCCAATAGTCAGGATGAATTAAGTAACCCGCCACAGATGAGTCTGTATCAGTCAGAGCATTGCAATGGAAACATGGAATATAAATAATAATCAGATACGAACTGAACGCTTCGCAAGGAATGGCCGGTTGAGATAAGGCCAGAGAATGATCATTCGAGCTCGTTCCTCTATTCCTCCTTCCAAGCAAATGCTTTCAGACCCGGTTTCTGCAAGCAGGCCTCCTTAGAAGCGCCACAGACCAATCAGGCTTCTGGATGGACTATTACAGTGGCGAACGTCGCCAGAGACGTGGAACGTGCCTTTTCCAACTGCCAATCAAGTCGATGTGATGGGGATATCAGGGCTCGGGACCTTGAGATCCAGGCTTTACGATCTTCGGCCTTAACCCCCATCACGTATTCTCGAGCCCAGGGTGTCACTCCTGTTTTCCGTTGTTGAATGGTGAGCTGACGAATCGTTTTCGTAAACAGGCACATACTAGTACGCCGTCGATCGAGGTGGCGACAGGGGATTTGTGCTCGCAAAGTATGCAGCCGTGTCTTGGGGCCGTTATCAAATCAGATACGAAGACAGACCCCTGGCAATAATGATTTTGCTAATAGATTTGTTCGGCTCGTACCGTAGAGTTCGCGGCCATCTTAATCGCCGAATAATGTGCATGTTCGGTGTGTCAGACTGACAACTCTTAGCTCATCAAACATGTGGGACTGGGACCGCAGAAACTAAGCTTACGAGTCTATACAGGTGTATTAAGTAACTTCATTGTAACTGGTTGGTTATCCTCCGAATGCAGGTTAAGTAGACTATATAGGTTGACATATACACGTAGTGTGATTGTGCAAGTTTTAGCGTTTGAGGGAATAACTTGTTCAGAACATCGAAAGCTTGGATACTATTAGTCTGCAGCCAGTTATTTTTCCTCGGCTCAGCCACACTTTGTGCAAAGCTAATAGACTTTTAAAGTGGCCTCATTTGCCTTCCTCGCAAGGCGAAACGACGGTGCAGTTTGGAGCTCATGCCCGAGTCTTTCGAATCGATTTCTGTGTGCCCTATGTGTTGGCAACCATATTTACGACACAAGCATAATTGTTCCGTTTCCAACACGAGCGAGAGCGAACACGGGAAAAGTTGCACACGAGGAACAGCCAGCGTTACGACTGAATGCCCTTGCCCTTGAGGCTCGTCCGACTTGCTGACCCCTGCCCATGAAGCGTCATGTCGTAGATCACAAAACGTTGCAAGAGCCACCCCTGGCATAAAGGACGCAGGGAATTGAGTTCTTACCAGAATTTTCCGTCTCCTGCTTGAAAGCCGCGGCTGGTTCTCAAACACCTCAAAGGAAAGGATAAGCCCAGGTGGAGGCGCTGAGCCGTCATCGATTCGGGTCCAGTCCTCAGCACATCACATCCAGTCACCAGAGATTTCGTCGAGGGCAAGGTCGGACCAGGCAAGGCGGCGCCAGCGCACGAATCACCGCATGACACGGCACGGGCGCGACAAGGGCCGCCCGCTGTCTGGGGCGGCTTGGCAAGGTTCCCGGTCTACGCGAATCCAGGCCGGAACCCGATCCTTGATTGAGCGACGGCACGGAATGGCGCAGCATGAGCAGTGAGAGAGGCGAGAGAAGGACTAAAAAACCAGAGAAATGAAACAAGGCCTCAGGCGGATGCAACTCTGTTGCCGGTCCGCAACCTTCTGGCCCGTGACGGCGCGGAAGACGGCGACGCGGCGATGTTGGGGGTAGATTGGGTCACCGTCCGATGTTCTGGGCGAAGCCAAGCCTCCCACATCGGACTGTTCGCCTGCGGCGGTGGCTGCCTGCATTGACCGTGTTTGAGCAAATCGGAAGGGCTTTCTAGACCGCACCTCGCGCCTGTTTCCTGGGTTGAGCCTGGGTGCACTGGGCCCCGTGCATGGCCAGACTGGATGAATCCGACGCTCCATACCGTAGATCAGCTGGAGAATGACGTCTTGCTGCAGTGTGTAGAGCATGATAACGTGCACAGTCGCCTGGAACCCAATGACAGAGTTATCATGCTTCCTCGAACGAAAAAAGTCTGGTGCTTACGATGTGTTCGTCTCACGATGTTGAGCACAAGGCGAACACCGCCCGCCCTCTCCTTGGGGGCTGGGCCGCGCCGGCGACGAACGCAACAATGCACGCACATGTCGCGGTCTTGCTAGCCTCGTTAACCACCTCTGATCAATCATGCACACTAGCCCAACCATTCAGCCCCGGGTGCAAGCGCCGGTGGCAATGCTAAGGTGTCAGAGCCGGCGCGTGCTGCATATATGCCAAGGATAAATGCCGGGCTGGGATCCCCAGCAGTAAGGCTGCGATCACAAGAGGCCGGTGCCCAGCCACGGCCAGCATTCTGAGGGAAGAGCCCAGTCGTTAGCAGAGGAGAGCAAGGCGTATGTGCCAACTCATGTCCTTCTTATAATGTCCCGGCCGGTGCCACCCCGACTTGAGTGTGCATGTGCGGCATCCCGTCTTCGGTCTTCGCAATTTTTTCCTCTGCCCATGGGTCCGCTGCCTTTCGACAAGTCCACTTCACCGACGAGGTGATACAGCCAGTCAAAATGGTGAGGGGAGCGAAGAACGTCCTGCAGACCTGGTGGACCAATGTCTCCAAGCCGAACTTTCGGGAGACATCCGAGGACGAACCCGGCCTACCGCTGAGCAATTATACCACGTCTGAACGCCAGACTCCACCGACCGGCCGTCTTCCGGACAAGAGGGTGCCGAGCTCACACCTGACTCTGCACCAGTTCTTGTACATTGCCGGCTCCCATGGCATCGGTGCCCTGATCATATCGGGGGGCATCAATTTTGCCCTCGCCTATGGTTAGTCGGTATCCCAAGCCTCTGGTGGCAAATAATCTGTTTTGGCTGACGCTCCCGGGAACCATTAGCCATGTACACCACGACCGATGACCCCATCAGGCTGTGGCAGTTCCCCAACACGCTGGCCGGCGACACGGCCGTGACCATCATCGTGCAGTGCCTCATGACGTGGATGATCGAGATGTTCATCGTGAACCGGGACCTGCGCAAGGGCAACATCCAGCCCATCGGGTTCATCACGGAGCCCAGCTCGACGGAGCGCCTGAGCCGCTGGGTCCGCTGGTTCATGCTGCTGGACCAGTCGAAGCAGCAGCGCAAGCGGCGGGGCAGCATAAAGCGCAAGGCGCTGTACGTGCTCGCCCAGGTCGTCCGGGCCCTGCTGGTGGCGTTTGTCAGCTTCTGCATCCTGTTCGGGCCGTCCGTCGGGATCCTCACCGCCGTGGGGTCCAAGGTCGGCGCCGGCGGCGACTGGGTTTATGCGTCGCGGTGGGCGCCCGAGATCTTCAAGCTGGTCCTCGGCGGCGTGCTTGCGGTCATGACGACCCCCTTCTTCGCGATGTTTTGGATGGTTAAGTGCGGGTGGAACGGCGGAATTCATGAGGCGGTTATGATCAACGGGAACGAGTACAAATGAGAAATGCGACGGGATATGACGGAACACGATGCGAATGCACCATGCGGACACGACGACACAACTTTATAGTACGACAGAACGACATGATAGAATCCATGACCTATTTTTACGAAACCATGATGGAAAACTTCCAAGCGCAGGAGTATCGAGTGGAAACGACGGCGTTGTGGCGGCACCCTGGCGGATGGAGCCACAACGCGACCCGGGCGACACGGGCCGGCGCGCTTACGGCGTCCACGTTTTGATGTCTTTTTGGTGAAGCTCTCTGGGCCCCGGGAAATCCGGCCGGCCACCTTGGACATCTGCCGGCGTTGGCCTCGCAGGCACGAGTCGGACCAGGCCAGTCACGGCCACCTTGGCGCGTCGGGCCTCCTGAACCCTGACATCTCGGGGCAAAGCTTGTTATTATAGTCAGCGGGAGAGCATCTGACCTTGAAAGGGGGAGGGGGCTATGACACTGTTACTACCTGCCATTGGTCGTCCACACATGCAGGCGCAGACAGAGCGGGAGTATGACGGGGAAATCGACGACAAATCTTGTCACGGGTCATGCTCGCAGAGCGCGGGGGATAATACTAGACTTTAGCTTATTACCGAAGAGAACGAGGGCATCCAGAGTGCCGATCACAGACGTCCCATCCCCGGCCTCAAGCCTGCGTGCTCCCCTGATGAAGCCGGGTCCTGTGACGCTTGGCTGGCGTGGAAGAAAGCCCAGCAAGGAAGAGGGCTCGAGCCGTGACCCAGCCTATCTGCAAAGCCTGCAGAGGCTGGTGACTTGGGCTATTATCGAGCCGAGGGGGTTCCTGTTGCGCTCGGACGCCGTTCATGTTGGGGCCTGCAGCGACGTTGCATTAGCAGCAGCCGTTCCGACTCGATGAGGGCAACACGGCCGCGGGAATGTGCCTTGGACCGCGGCCCCGCAGTTGGGACTTGGGAGGGAGGGCTGCCCCAAATCCGTAGCGCGTCCCCCCTGCCTCTCGTTTGTTTCGTTTCATGTGTGGCTTTTTTCTCCTTTCTCACTTGCTGGATCAGCATAAGCTTTAGAACCGAGACAGGCTGCCATACTGACCTCCCACATCGTGCCCCTCCACGATCCGCATACTATGCAGGCAGATGGGCAAAATCTTCATCGGGCTGGGACAACATTGGACGAAGATGGGCAAGATCCTCAGGCTTCGGGCGCACAGACATAAGATGCGGGATGTGGTATTGTGACAGGAGTCGGGGGGGGGGGGTCGCTTCTGGGGCCTGCAGATGGGTCAGTGCCATGCATATTATTGGCGCAGGGTGCGGCAGAAGCCCTGCAAATTGTCCGAACAAGGCTATTTTATCAGGTTTGTTTGTCAACCAACCTCGCTCGGATGTCTCCACACGGTTGACGCCACATGGACGGGCTCTAGAATGATTCGATAGTTTCTTGTGATATAAGTCGGATGGGGAACGAAAGTCCTGGGCTTGACCTACCCTTGCCTGGACTACTGTACAATGTTTCTACCGTGTCACCGTCTTCCCCCTCCCTCATCCAACCAACCCTTGCCGTCCGTCTCACATCGTTGCTCTTCTCATACGCCCATTTCTCTTCACTATCGTCGGTATCACCCGTAGTCAAGCCTCTAGGCCTAATACATTCTATTCAGCGCCGTGCCCTAGCCCGCTATGGTCCGCTTCTGGCTGCGACACCTCTTCGGCGAGACACGGAAGAAGACGCCACAAAAGTAATAACAGCACTATCCATGTCTCTATTGATCGCGAGCACTGTGACCGTTGAAGGACCAATAGCAAGGGCCGTTTGGATCACGATAGCTAATGCCACACAGGTCGCCCGATCCAACCTTCTCGCCCACATCCGACGAGCCTGTCGCCATTTCAACACCCATGGTGAGGACCCCTGGAACTAAAGCAGGCATTTGGACATATAACGCTGACCACGAAACAAAGTGGTGCTCGAGCCTTCGCCTAGCAAATGTGCCAGCGTACGTCGACTACGACGAGGAGGGGGAGGAGGAGGAGGAAGACGACTGCCAACCCATGTGGTACAGAGATTCAGATCATCCTTCAGGGTGCCCCTGCTGCATCGAGGGCACAGGCTTCCCGCGGCCGCCCTCCACAGCCCTGAGCAGCCCAGATTACGGCGGGCACCCTCGCAAGGCGTCGAGGGCCTCGACACACGTTTCGACGAGCTCGGCCGATAGCGAGGCCCGCCCCGGATCCGAGGCGAAGGAACCCAGCGCCAACCCCGCCTGTGAAACTACCGTCCGGTTCCGTCGCTCCGTGAGCACTTTTGGCCTCAGGATGAAAAAGAGTATGAAGAACCTGAACAGGAGGCCAAGTGGGAGCCTGAGATGAACATGACGAGTACTGCAATGTGAAAATGACGTGATGTAAGGCCAATTCATGTACGTGAGATGCATTAGAGGCCATGATGACACCAAAAAGGGAAAGACTGGGACGGTGCTTTACGATAACGAAGTGTACGAGACATGAAAAAGTTCTTGGGGAATGGGTTTGTAGATAGTCAAACTTGAGGATGGGTTACATGACAAACATAGTTATCTTTGGAGTTATACAAAGCTGACTGTGGAACGCATATGTGCATTACTTTATCTGCCTCGGAGAATAGTTGTAGTCTCCATGCCTGAGGCGAGCCGCGAGTGTGTCACTGACACTCGGAGGGCCGCAACGTGAGCTGTAAATAGGTAGCGAGTTGAACACTGAACCAACGCAGCTGCTTAGAACAGCTTATCAGTCGCGCCTAAATCTTTGAGCGTTGTAAATTCCCAGGCGATACTGAGTCGCAAGAACTTCTGTAGACTTATGTACATTATGTACACTTCAGAGTGTTTTCGGTGAGTTCCTTATCGCCGTACTGTTCATGTCACAGGAAGACTAACCGTGAATTTGCTGGACAGTCTGCAGCTGCTGTGCGCCCCCGTCATCATCTTGTAGATTGCGATTTCTCTCAAAGGAGCAAGTGTGTGCTGGTTTGTTGCATTGAGCAGAACATCGAGAAGAAAGTGGACCGCGCATTGCGATGTAAAATAATCTCGGACTGATAAGGATACAAATATCATGATGGCCAAGGAAAATCCAGGGCTGCTGCCGGATCACCGTCAGTCAATGACGACCAAATGTTACTCCTAGTATTTCTCGAGGCCATGATGACTTCGCGATTGGACAGGAAGTCTGAGCCCCACCGGTGTCTCACATAAATTGAAGGCCACGAGTTCTGCATTCAGGACTGGCGTGCGATCAAGCTTTCCTCTTCCTTACAGCCGAAAACATTCATTCCTATCGCTGCGGCCATACTCATTCTGGAGGTTGCTGGCATCACTGACGTCTGTGGGTCAGGATGATGTTTTTTTTTTCCGGCCGACGCTTTTGAGCAAGCGCCGCCAGTCCTGTAATCCTGTCCCGGTCCTAGACCCTTGTATTTTCAAACAAAACGCCCCTCCTATCTGTGGTGCCCATCTCAGAGCTCAGCGACCGCAATGTCGACAGCAGCCTCGAAGGTCACAGCATTCCCGGATAAGGCCCGAGATGGCAGCCAAGCAATGCCACTCTTTGGTGGATTGGTGCACTGGGCCGGGCTAGCGTGCATCCCAGGAAACTGTTCTTCCGCGCGCGCAAAATGTAAAACGACAGGCCCACCGCATTGATTAAATGTTCACTCACCGTTCGCCCCCCGGCTGCCAGCCCCTGATCGAATCCCCCAGGATCGCCATCTCCATCAATGTTTCCGTTGCCAAGCTTCGTCCAAGGCCCGTCGCCAAGAGATACCCCCAGATTTGGCAGATCTTGGTGTCTTGGCGGTGCACGATGCCATCCACATGATCTTTTCGCCTCACTTGAGAGACATCATGGTTGAAGGTTTGTACAGACAATGACTTGAATCTCTGTGGATATCTCTGGGCAGAGTCCCCATGCGGTACTGGCCACGGAGCCCCATACCCATGCCTTCCACGTTCGGGTTGGACTCGTAAACATTCATTTCACTGAAACAGGCACGCAGGAAACATTTGCCCGAGTGGGGGCACCCGAACGGGCACCGGTCGAGAGGACTGGGCTATTCCGTGCGTGGATGAGTCGGATCGGACCCATACACCTGCACGTCGACTCCTCTGCCAGCTTTCGGTGCCGAACTCCCGCCCCTGACCTGACCATAGCTCGCACGGCAGGAGGACGAATGCCCATCATGTATATATATCAGTCTCGCGCCTCCATGGGCGTATTCCTTTGCCAAGAATTTTCAAAGACCATCAGTCTCTTCTATCGATTCTTTTCTTGAGGAAATCTTCATTAACATTTGTTCACTTCATTGACTGGAGACAACTCTTGCCCATCCCGCCATTCTCTTACAAAAAGCTGGTCTGTTCCCGCCTCAACCGACTGTGCTCCAAACACCAGAAGATATCCCATCAAAATGTCTTTCGTTGCTGTCAAGGCCCTCGTTGCCATCGTGGCCGGCGCCACCTCTGTGGCTGCTCACGGTCATGTTACCGGTATCAACGTGGCTGGCACCTGGTACGAGGGTTATGACCCAACTTCGTTCCCTTACATGTCAGACCCTCCGACAGTCGTGGGCTGGACCGCATCCGACACCGACAACGGCTTCGTGGCCCCGAGCGCCTACGCGTCAGGGGACATCATCTGCCACAAGTCCGCCACCAACGCCAAGGGCTACGCGACCGCCAAGGCGGGCGACACCATCGAGGTCTACTGGAACACCTGGCCCACCTCCCACAAGGGGCCAGTCATCGACTACCTCGCCAAGTGCGCCGGCGACGACTGCGTGACGGCAGACAAGACGGCCCTCGAGTTCTTCAAGATCGACGCCGTCGGCCTGGCCGACGCCTCGGCCTCCACCTGGGGAACAGATGAGCTCATCAGCAACAACAACTCGTGGGTCCTCCAGATCCCGTCGACCCTCGCGACCGGCAACTACGTGCTCCGCCACGAGATCATCGCGCTGCACTCGGCCGGGTCGGCCGGCGGCGCCCAGAACTACCCCCAGTGCTTCAACCTCGCCATCACCGGCACCGGCTCGCTCCAGCCCTCCGGGACGCTCGGCGAGGCCTTGTACAAGGAGAGCGATGCGGGCATCTTGGTCAACATCTACAACTCCCTCACTTCATATGATATCCCGGGTCCCACGCAGATCGCTGCTGGTACCAACTTGGCTCAGTCTGCTGTCCCTATCACTGCCAGCGCAAGTGCAGTCGTCAGTAAGTTGGAACCAATTCTCACTCTTCCTTCTGTAGTCGATACATGTGCTCACATTCAATAGGCGGTGCTTCCGGTGCAGCTGCGGCATCCACTTCGGCTGCTCAGACTACCCCGACTGGCTCTGGTGCTGCGTCTCAGGCGCCTTCGGCTGTGGCCCCGACCGGCTCAGCTGCCGCCGCCCAGACGAGCTCAGCTTCCCCGTAGGTATCCTGAGAGCGTTAAATGCTGTCGGTCTGAGGATTCAGATGCTAACGTTTGGTCTGTAGTGCCGCCACGTCTGCCGCCAAGTCCTGCAAGAAGCGCCGCCACGCCCGCGACGTCGCCAGGGCTTAAGTGGCTCTTGGAAAAAAGTCCAGGGCGGATAAGCGGCCACAGTTTGCTGTGACGTCGTGGAGATTCATACGGGCTGAAGAAGAGCACGAGTAGCCCCAGTGGCTGGTTCATTTTGAATGGTTCGCTTCGGTGATGACAGAGCTGCGATGGTGGTTCTCAAATCACAATTGTATAAATACAAGACTCGAAATGTAGATGAAACAAGTTACTCTCACCAGGGGGCCCAGACTTGTACTCCGAGGAAATTTGGTCTCTCCATGAGTTGCTGCATGCAGACGTGAATTTGTGTGAGAGCGCGGATAGATCAGACATTTACATGCGCATGTGTCATGTATTCAACAAGGTCGGCGATACAGCATTCAACCCTCACCCACTTTGCGTACAAGATGTCATGAAGCTGAATATCCCTAGAACGGAGCTTTCTAACTAGCATCGCCTCGTGTGCATTAATCAAGGCTCTCCCACAAAGCTGCTCCCCACCCGTCCTCCTGCAGCCTACGGTCTCCTCAGACTGGCAGCCAGCCCCGTCTCCGATTCTCACCCATGCAGCTCAGCAATGGGCGCCATATCCCCGCTAACAGAGTACCTCATGTACGCATCCCCCTGGCTAGAGTGCATCGAAGGCGCGACCGACGGCGCCCTCGAGATACCCGACACCATGCTGTGGTGTCCGGGTGACCCCGGCATGGACAGCATCGACGGCGTAGCATTCCTATCGAGGCCATGCCTGCTAGTGGAGATACCGTTATCCGCCGGGAGCTCAGACGTGAACCCAGACGCGGACTTGCTCTCGACCGGCACGGCGGGGAGCTCCGACTTGAAGCCAGTGTAGCCCGGATACCCAAAGGCCGAGACGTCATGATGCGGCGGCGGCGGCGGCGGGTTGTACAAGATGCCTGGGCTCCCGTACTGCGGCGGCGGCGACTGGGCCATATCCGGCCCGGGCGCGGCGGGGTGGTATGCCGTCTTCTCTCCCGGTGGCTGCTTCTTAGAGTGGATCCGATGGCATCGCACGAAGAGGAACGCCATGAGCAAGACGACCGCCATGCCGAGCGCTGCCACGCCGACGCCGATGCCCGCCTTGGCGCCCTTGGACAGCCCCGGGTCTCCGGAAGCTGTGCTCGGCGCAGTGGCCGTGGAGGTGGCGAGCGGCTCCGTCATCGTCGTCAGCTGGCCGTCGGTTGCGGTAGACGTGACCGTCGCGCTGCCTTTGGCCTTTGGTGTGTGGCCGGGCTGGAAGCTGATCGTCTCCCCAGTGGCTGTCGGCAAGGATGCGACCTGGGCGAAGCTCTTGGGCCCTGTTAGGATCCCGCTGTCTGAGTCTGTGCAGGTACATGCCGCTGGCGGTCCGATTTCCGTTCTTGTGGCGGGCATCGAGCAGGTGCTCCAGACGACAGAGCTCTCACTTTCAGAGTCGGCACATTGTACGAGGTTGAGGAGCTGCTGCTCTGATGTGCCCTTTCCTGGGCATTTTGGTGAGGTGAAATCTTCGTCAGTGCAACCGGCTAAACTGCGATAGTCTCAAGTCAGAAACACTGGCATTCCGGACGAACAGCTGCAGAGACAAGGGCTAGATAGGGGGTTCTCGTCCTGAAGATAATGTTTTTGACTGTAACCAGTGTGCTCGGAGGGGCCTAAGAGGCGGTGAAGATGCTTACTACGTCGTTGTATCTGCACACTCCGTATTTCAGTATTAATATTTACAACTGGGTGTTATATCTATGACCAAGAAATGTGAACTCACACTTTGCATTAAAGCAGACGTTATATTCCAAGCAGAAGTCGCCTTCCTGGCAACATTGCTGTGTGCCACTTGCAGCATTGCCACATGGTATGATGTTTGAAGCAGCCTTCCTTCCTACACCGTAATAACAGGTTCCGTTCGATATCAGTGGATTGATTGTGCTCATGTTGTCAATAATGTGGGAATGACTGTCACCGTCAGTAGAAATCAACGATCCGAGCAACCCAAGTGGAAGGATTGCAACGAGATGTGGAAGAAGAAAACCGGAACTCGAACACAGTGAAGACCACAGAAACTTCTAATGTTGTATTGTTGATGGCTGGCGCTGTCCCATGTTTCATGCGGTCTAGTGGCACAGTCGCCAACGGACATGATGAATATCCACTCGAGACCGTTGTATGCAGCCCCAGGCCCCTGTGTGTGGAGCGTGCTGGAATGTTAAGCCCCATCAAAACTCCCACTTCAATGCAGTTGGCGAGTCCTTTCGCCAGAAAACGAGCCCGAGTGAGAAACGATTGGCAGCCACTTGTCAAATGGGTTAGACGAACTGTGGTTGTTCCACTGCATTCCTAAATACGAATTCCCTATCCATGTCACGCGTTCCCAGGGATGTCCATCTTCCCCTCCCCTCGCTACAGAAGCTCGTACAATATGCAGGCTTTCCATTGCAGACGGTGGGGTGGGAGCCAGTAGACCAGAAACAGGAACACAAACTATCTATGCCTGGCTAGCAGTGGAAGATTGAGGACCTGAGAGCTGGGCTAATTCATCCTTGCTCAGGTGGCTAACTTCCAACGGAGGACATCTAAATAACTGTCTGGTATAGACTCTCTCGCAGAGACCGCTTGTGTTGGACTAAAAGCCCAAGGCAAGGCACAATCACTGGATGCAACACTTGTCTGTCCGTGGCCCGCATGGTTTAGGCAGCATCATGAAAGACCACGGTATTTTCGGAGGGATATCTCGCGGTTAGCACATGGACGCTCTGCCTTGGACCTTTAAGTGTAGTGCATGTCTTGGATGTATTGTATATTATTGTATTGGAAACTTCGTTGTTGGACAGGTGGTCTTGGACTTTGGAACCCGCCTTATTCTCCCTCAGCCAGCGATTCCGGTATGCAAATACGGTTTGTTGCGATGGCAGTCCATCATAGAATCAGTAAAATCCATCCGAGACTCAAATATATTCGAGCATAGCTCTCGCGTCCGTTACTTTCATTTTGCGCTGCACATATTCGGTGCACGTTCACACGCCTGGTCAGGTTTGTGGGGCCAAGGCTCAACATTCTCAGCCGGATCCGATCAATTCTTACAAGAGCTTTAAGTCCAACTACTGCGTAAGGATGCCTCTCAGCGTCCTCCATACCTTTGCATGATGCTTTTAATATACACATATTCGGCAAGTAAGAAACTGCTCACCAAATGTCGCATTCGTCAGGCATACGTGAGCGGTAAGCGGTATATACACGCCGAGCTCATGTTGTGGAGCCATTGGACACATAGTTCAACGAGAGAATCAAGAATATCTCATCCTAGACAGTAACACTCTCAACAGAGATTTGTGGCAATAAGACGTTATACGATTGTTGTTATTATTATTAGCTCAGGTGTGAGATCTCTACTATATGCAGACTACTCATCACTCCCACTCCTTTTTGACACCAGACGTGTAGGTACCCAAGCGCTGACCCGGCTTCAACAGAATCCGCCGAGTTCAAACAGCCTTCGGCACAACACTAACCCGGCGGTGGTACAAGGGATTCAGCCACAGCTTAGAAGACGGCGATAGCACCGAGGACGAAAGCAGCCAGGCCGCTGACGGAACCGTACTGGGCGGCACCGGCGGTGACGACGCTGGAGGTCGCCGAGGCGTCGGTGGCGCTCGCGCTGGAGCCCGAGGTGGCGCTGGACGCGTGCGTGGTGCCAGAGTGAGACGCCGAGGCGGTGGCTGAGCCAGACGAGGACTCGGTGGCGGAGGGGGTGCTCTCCGAGCCAGAGGCAGAGGCCGAGCCGGTGCTGGAAGCCGACGCCGACGACTCAGAGGCCGAGGTGGGAGCAGCAGAGGTGCTGGCCGGTGCCGAGGAGGCTGCCGAGGAGCCGGAGCCGACGTTGGCGCAGAAAGTCTGGACAGCGGGCAGGACTTGGTCTTGAAGGAACGGGCCGTGTTAGTATAGGGCTCATCAGGCAGACAAAGACGCCGGGACGGGTGGGGTTCCGCATACTGAGGGCAACGTCCTGGCCACAGGCACTCAGGACACAGCTGGTCGCGAGGGTGGTCAGCTGGTCGATCCGGCCGCAGACACAGGCCGCGTCGGTGGCCTGGCACTGGCCATCCTGGCTGATGGCGTCTGTGAGGCAGGTGCGGGCACACTCGGGGATGGAGGACAGGTCCTGGGCGTAGACAGCGGCGACGAGGCCGGCGGCGAGGAGAGTAACCTTCATTTTGGCGGAGGGGTCTGGGGTGAGGCGGAACGGTCTTTCGGAACTCGGTGGCTGCAACGGTGACGGAGACGAAGATGTGAAAGAAGCAAGTGACGAATCTGGACTTGAATGGGCAATCCTTAATATTGTGGGAAGACAACAAAGAAACAGGGACGGACGGCCGGATCGGGAATACCTCGCGACTTATATAGCTCCTCCTGAGTCGAGCCATGAAGCTCCCGGGCTCGGCCCAGCCATCGTATTCAGATCTAGCACCGGGGCGCCACTGTGGCATGTGTCCTGCCTATAGCTGCCTAGGAGCTCCGTTGAGCTCCATTGACCTGTTCCCCATCAGCAAGCTGGGCCTGGAAGGGTTTGGTCAACCGTGGTGCTGGTCGCCTGCACGGGCTTGGCGAGCTCCAATGTCGCCTCGCAGCTCGAAGGATGAGCTCTGGCTAAAGCTGCACGCCAAGGGGGACCCCAGGAGAAACCAGGGCCCAACATCTGGGGTAAAAGGGCCGGGAGGGTGTATGGCGTTCCTGGAACGTAGCATCCCTCCTGTTGCCACGCATGGGTCATGCCAGCAAGTGTCATCACATGTGACGAAACCGTTACCAATAGTCTCGATTGTCTGCAGGTTCGTCTGTTGTGGCCAGGGACGGAGGCCACATCGAATGGAGCGGACGCCTGGACGACAGGCCCTGGAGCTGAAAAGACCCCGGATGGTCGGGATAGACCAGGCCTGGATAGGCACAAAGGGTTTGACAGCGGGTAACCAGAAAGAATCCCGAGTCAGTTGACATGGCGTGAAAAGCTAATTGACAAAATGGCCATGGGCGGGAAATTGCCCGGCCGCACGTGTCGCGAAGCATGTCGGTCGTGACCACAGGGTGTTCCTGTCTCCCGACCATCTTTTCCTACACAACTCTGATTTCCATCCTGATTGTCTTCCATGTTCGATGTCTGCTTCACCTTTGCTCCACCACTCGCTCAACCTTCCTGCCAAATGCGTTGCGGCGACGGTGAACAGTCCACAATTGGCTATGACAGCCGTCACTCAGTGTCTGATCCCGCCTGGCGCTTGCGCTACCACGATGATCGACCCTTGGCATGGCCGCAAACATCTCATTGGGTTTTGGGGGAAATGAGATGTCCGTCGTCCCATGGCCATTTCCGACCCCACCGCTTATTCGCTGCCAAAAAACTGGGACCGACTCCCGGGCCCTCGTCCATGTGACTGCAACGAGGCCTTTTTTGGCCGTGCAGAACACAGGTACCCATCATCAAGGGAACAGGAACCCGCTCATTTGGTTCCCACACAATAAGGTTAGGTTCGCGGGTGCTTACAGTAGGCTGCCCAGGCGCCCCCTTCTCCTCTCGGCCTCATCCAATTCGCCGCATCCGTCCTCTGCTACACAAGCTTTTCGATGACTGGCTCTGCACCGGGCATGCCGATCTCGACAGCCAGGCATATTCCCGCGTCTTCCGCTCTCCAAGGGGTGCAGCACGCCTCGAGCATAATAATCTAAAGCTTATCTCAACAATTCATGTTCCATTCAATCAATGCCATCTGCTTCTCTTGCGCATTGTATCCAATGGCAGGCGGGGTGTTGTCATCTGATCTCACCAGGCCCTTGTGTGTTTTCTAGGTTAGGGAAGCGGGGGAAGCCCATGACCAGTCATAAAATTACGTAGATCTACGACAATCTACTCGTAAATACCTCGAGGCCTTCAGGGGCCTTGCCGATTGGGTAACGTCGCCGGCTCGGTATTCACCGGCCATACCAGACGTCTCGTCACCGATATACGGCAGAGTGGCCTGCTCAAGCCACCGAGTGATTAGCCAGAGATCCGCGGGCCCCGCGGGCTTACGAATTCAGTGCCCAGTCCTGCAGTGCGGCCATCGCTATTTATTTGAGTAACTGCAAAAGTAAGCTTCCCCATAATCACACGTGGATTTCAAACAGTGGTTCTCAAATGTATTCCGGCGACTAGTCCATCGCCACTGGACTCCGGACGGCCCCGTGCATTTATGTATCACTTCAACCTGTACAACCCCTGGTCCATCTCAAGCTCGCTCTTGTTGATTGATAGCTCGATGACAGAGGCAACAGTTGATCGGAAAGAGTGGGTTCTCTAGGCTTTCACTCGTGCAAACTGTTGGCTTAATTCTTCAGTGATTTTCCCGAGCCATGTTCCCGAGTAGCAGTGACTGCCATCACATTGTCTTGGTGTGTTAGGGAGTGAGTGCTTGGCTTTACCAACATGACTTGCAATAAGACACACGACTTCCCAAGACTGACCCGATCGAAGAAATGAAGTCCGACCAAACCCCTTAGTTAGGGCCTAGGCACACCAAGATGCTATGGGACTGACTGTGACAAGGGATAGAGAGAAGAATGAGTGAAATAGCTATTAGGAAACTTCTGGACACATTGGCTGAGATCGGCCTTCTCGTGCGTTGAGCGCGGCGGCTTCTCACACGAGGTTCTTACTGACAAAGCAGCGACATGAGTGCCACGCCTTGGATTGGAAATGTGACGAAGCGCGGAGGGAAATTTTACTGACCTGGTAAATCCGTGGAATGCACGTGGGATTTGCTCCAATACGTGATTCTCTCAGGTGGGATGTTAATACAGCAAGCGAGAATCTGGCTGAGGGAACGAGAGGGTTCGCAAATTTGGGGGTATCAGACTGTCCATGGAGGCAAGGTGTCGGTGGCTCCGTGGGTTCTCAAGTGTCACGTTTTTGGCCGCTATACTATAAGGACAAAAGTGACGCCACTTATGCACAGTACACCCGGGTCCTTATATACGTGACATCAAGAGCACTGCAGTGGATATCTGAAGGCTTCTGGGGCATCTCTGCTTGCTGCACATCCTTGAAATCATGAAGCGTTATGACCAGAGGTTTGAAGAGGCGCTCATCACATCACTGCACGAGTGGCCTAAAGTGTGTCGACAACGGAACGCAAAGAGGAGGTATTGTCCTTTCTGGAGATACTACGAGGAACAGATGCTTGGTTGAGTCCCCAGCTCGAACACATGGAGATATGCTCTACGCATGAGCCGTACATACATGCCATGGCTTGTGATCTTACACCGAGATTGTTCACTTAATATAGATGTACAAAGCATGTGTACTTTCTACCTCCATGGATTCACCATATTTACCTCGACTACAAATTGAAACGTCTATAGTAGCGACTTATAAGGTTCAGGTCACCCATGACCCCTTGTACAGCACAGCAGAGTAGCAAGTCTCCAAGCTAGCTATAGTTGGCATGCCATTCCGACTGACATACGTCAGACAAATAAGCTTACGGTCTAAGGACGAGCGGTTGTTAATCTTCGCTAATACCAACTGCTGACCGTGATAATTCCACAGGTGACAGCTTGAGGGATGATTTTACAACAGGTCACGAATAATGAGATCCTGCGAGTTCGTCCATGTTGAAACTCGGCTCTTCAACTGATTGCTCTGGATCACGACCACATCAGATGTGGACCATCTTCATCAGAGCTCGCAAAATGACCGTGATAACTGATCCAGAGTCCGCATAGCATGGCACAAATTTTACCAAATCTCGCTTCAACTCAACAAGGAAGCACAACCGTTAACCGTGCTTCATAGACACCCAATCAACATCGGACACTCAGTCCCTCTCAGCCCTCAGGACCTGGGCCCCACCGTTCAGGCGCAGCTCGGAGCTCCTCGTGTCGAGCTTCTTGACGACGGCGCCCAGGACGACCTTGAGCAGCTCGTCGCCGGACAGCTCGCCCTCGCCGGCGCCCCGGTAGGTGACGGTGTCGACGATGTCGCGGACCTTGGCCTCCTTGTGGAGCTCGTCGTCGAGGTAGTCGAACGTCTTCTGGCGCTCGATGTTGGCGCCGCCCAGGCGGAACAGCTGGATCCCGACCTGGTGCGGCGGCGCGTTGGCGGCGTCCAGCTCGCGCGCGATGTTGACGATGGGCGTCTTGATGTCGTCGTCGAAGGCGCCCGCCGTCAGCACGATCAGGTTCAGCGCCGCGCTCTCCTCGCCCGCCTTGAACTTCTCGATGTACCACTCCAGCAGCTTTCCACTGTGTTCGCTCTAGGTCAGCGGCTGTCGGGCGATACTCATCGGCTCGTTGAGCCTGGGTGAAGGTGAGGCCGGGGCTCTGCCCTCCTCTCATGGTGGCTGGGTATGGTGGCTTGGGAAGGCTACTTACAGTCGTGCGCCGATGTTGCACTTGCCGGCAGGCTTGACCTTCTCTGTGAAGATGGAGCTAACCTCCTTGCCCTTCTCTGTGAGCAGCATGCCTCCGACGAAGCCGCCGATGCGGGTGTAGCCCGTCTTCCGGATGGACTTGAACTGGCCGAGAAGTCCGCCCGGCTTGTCTATGCAGGCATTTGCTTAGTATGATATCTCAAGACTCGGTGCGAGGCAAGGAAATACTCACGGTTGACGAAGTAGAGGTCGATGCCATCGGGATCGTGCTTGGCACAGATAGGGGCAACCTTCTCGATGAGGTGCTGCACGTCTTTCCAGTACGGCGTCATGGCGGCCGAGTCATCGATGATGAACATGGTATCGAAGCATCGCAGCCAATCGAGGCTCTGCTCGTCGATGCCCTCGAGGTTCGCCATGATGAACGGATCTGGTGATGTGGCGGTGGGTAGGGGAGGTGGTGGTCGCGGGTATCGTTGTTGAGTGAGGTGGGATAAGTGAGTGTATCGAGTGAGGGTGAGCTTGAGTATATTATGAGTGAGTATGTGCGAGTGTTGGGCGGCGGCCTGTGTTGTTGTTGTTGTAGGGCCGGTTGATTGATGGGCGGTCAGACGTTCAACAGATCAGGGGCAAATTTGAAAGGTGATGCTGGCCTGTTGGATGGCGGCTTGTCAGTCCCCACTCAAAGCGGTGTTGCCAATTTTGCTGGACGCACAGGGCAGGTATCCGCTGATCTCTACGAAGCGAGATCCGGTTGACTGGTAGACCAGGGGTTGATCGTCTTCAGCTGGGCCCGTACGTGTGTTGTAGACGGAGCACACGTGTAGATGTGAAGATATGCTCGGCTCGGCCGCGACGCAGGAGAGCTTGAGCTTGAGCTGGGCCTGGTGACAGGGAGACTGGTGAAGCTTAATGCAGACCGGGTACCAGGTTCTCCAGAGTCAAAGGCTCGTGCCCAATGCTTCCTGTTCATCCCTGATTCTCAAACACTCAAGACCCTTACCCTCATCCATGTGGCATGGAATGCATACTCCTCCACTACGTGGCCCACATAGAACACCTAACAAAGACCCACGACGGATTGAGCGACCGGAACATGGCACCGGCATCCATTTGGCTGGGTCGTTCACCCCACGGCTCCATGCATATGATGAAACTCGCAGTGAAAGAACAACACGACCACGCTGGTAGAAGATTGGCAAGTGACACCTCGAACAACAAATTAAGTACGTTGCGTTATCAGTTATGTTTTGGTAGCTCGCCCAACTTGGTTCACGGCAGCTGCCAGTGGTACCATACTGCATTGATAACCGTCATCACAGTATGATCGCCGGCAAGGTTCACTATCTGAACATCAACAAGAACAACCTGGCAGATTTATTCCGATATTTTCTAGCTCCAGTTATGCCATTAGCATCAATTTTCCAAGCAAGTGTTAAGACTGTGGGCACATGGGAGCAGACATCAAGTTTCATTTCTCATCAGCACAACTTAACTTTCCACTGGCGTCCAACAAAGCACTAGGTTGATTAAAGTACTGCAACCAAGGCCATGTGAACATCGTAAATGCAATCCACAGTTCATGACGAGACCATATTGTTATCTTCGCGTAACAGACCTTCGGCGGCCTAAGCATCAAGAACGCATGAAAGGCTAGATATTTGTGCGTTCGATTGAAAATTCTAGATTCGCCGTGAATCTTTATCGCAACTCACCACCCGGGGTTTCAAGTACACTATGGTGTGCTGACAAGGAGTAATGATTTTCAATGATCATGTCCATCGAGTCTGCAACGACCCTGTACGCAACTTCCTGCTCCGAAAGTCTTCAACGTCACGGGTCCGTTGAAGCCGATCTGTAAAAAGCCTTGGTGTCTTTCTTTCAGAGGGCACAAAGACATCAGCGACTGAGGAGCTACTTATCGAGTTCTCAGACTTTTGGTGCCGCCAATATAATGATGAAATGACGGCAACCAAAAGGTCCTGTGTGTGGCAAGAGCCCAGCCCCATATCGCCTCAGAAAATACCGATGCGATTCACTCACTGACCTCGTTGACGAGCACAAGATGGCAAACCCAATCTTCAGGTCAGCCAGTCTATCATTCCATCATGAGGAGTCTTCCTCGGCATTTGAAGACCAAGACGACCTCTGCTGGACCAATTCAATGGAGGGAACAGCGGCTGCAGCCCGCCTCCTGCATCCGGCATGATTACAAGAAGGCAGTGAGGAAGTCGATCAGTGCATGACATTTGTCGTCAAGTCAGGCCGAACCATGAAAAATCCGAATCATAGCCTCTAGATGCCCCTCGTGCTGCATGAGATGAACATGGCAGCAGAGGGAAGAGCGTGTAAGCACTCTTGTCACCAAAGTGATTCAATCATGCCGAACGGCGGTTTCATCAGACGAACAAGCCATGCAGCCTCGTGTAATCATCGACAACAGGCCCAGAGCCCCTAGCGACCTCCCGGGCAGCAGTCTTCGCCTCCCAGAGGAGATTGCTGTCCTCCCTGGCCAGGCTTTTGGGAGGGACGAGCCAGAAGGCCACCTCCGTGCCGTTCGCCCGGAGATTCTCGACGCGGGACTGCAGCTCCTCCCACAGGTCACGATTCGCGAGCTTCCTGCCGAGCCTCAGCCTCCCCCTGCCGTCCCTGCGTGGGGCTAGCCTCCACCTCCGCTGCACCCAGGCCGGCAGCCACTTGGTGGCCCCGAGGACGACGTATTCGAGGTCCGTGACGATCACGACCGACTGCCAGCCCTCCCCGTACCACGGCCGGAAGTCCAACGCGGCGATCACGGCGCGCAGCTTGGCCCTGTTTGAGGTGTGCCTGTGTATGTCCCCGCAGGGGCCCTTCTGCTCGAGAGGGAGTGCGATCTTGCCTGTGATGTCGGGCATCGGTATCGTGAGGTCTCCCAGCGGTGCACCGTCCGTATTCATATTGTCCGCTGTAAGGTATGGCAACGTGGTCCCGGCTCCGCCGACACTGCTGTTGTATATGAAGCTCAAGCCACCCCTTGGCGCATTGTCTTTGTCAGCGGGTGGGTTGCGCCATGCACCGGCACCATTGTTCACGCAACTGCCGTCGACGACAAGCATGATCTCCTTCGAGTTGAAGCGGTTGACATAACGAGGGTACTGTGTTCGCGTGCGTATGGTCTGCAGGGGGAAGTGCTGCTCGGGAGCGAGGAAGTGGTCTTGAGGTCGGAAGACGCCCGCGGGCTGGATCTGGAGGCTTCGTGTGAGGCGCTGCGGATTCTGCTCCGCCGAGGTCCTGGGAAGCAGCCTCACGCCACGGTCCAATTGAGCACGCTGCTCGCGCACGCGGCGCTGGTTGGTCTCGGCGTCGGAGTCGGAGTCGGAGCTATCACGCTTGATGGTCGCGCCGAGAGCCGGAGGCTTCCCGGCTTTGTGGACCCGATAGTGAGGCATTGTGGCACGATTGTCGACGCCGAGTCGTCTTCGAAGCTGTCGTCGTTTGTAGATCTTCAAGCATTCGAGTCGAGGTCGGGCATGTTCTTGGGGGAGATCGGACCCAGCTCCCTTGCGCGGAGGACTTTGTCCCTCGCCCGAAGCTTAAGCTCAAACCGGGGTAACGTAGTCCGAACCCATGTACGTTTCTGGGGCACTTGCAAGCGGCTTCCAGCTTAGCTCTTCCAGGGTTGTGGTTCTTCGCCATCTTCGACGAGATATTGTTGGCTGGCATGTGACCTTTCCGGAAGAGTTGAAGTGAGGGCAGCAGTATTTATAGGACTGATTCATGAGGGCTAGTGGCGTCCAGAGGCACCAGCTGTAATGCCATTGCCGTATGCATTTGTACGCTACCGAATATCAAGTTATGCAATATTGCATGATACTAACACTTTTAGTCAAATACAATATTTCTAAAGAGTGGCCAGTGCTCTAAAGCCATACACATCACCCAGCACGAACAAACCCATTTTGCATTCCTTGCCCATCGAGTCGAGAATCATGCATTTTCGTCACTTGCAACGAAACCAGCCCTCTTATATCTGTCCAATTTCCCACTTCTTCTCATAGTGACCCAGGTGCACGTCAAGAGCTGGTGCTGGCCCGTCAGGTCCCTGCCGTCCTGTGTGGGTCGAAGATATGTTCATGGTCAACTATTGCCTGGCTAGTCCTTGCTGTTCAAAAGTGGCTCAGGGACACGCCTGGAGAACTTCTGCCTTCTTACGATGTTATGCCGACTCTGAACCCTCAACTTAATGTTGGCGCCACAGTGTCGATGTTCGCCAGATTGCGACGGGACTACCAGCGGGCGGAAGTCTCGGCGCGAACATTTCTTTCGACTTGTCTGCCCAGTGCAATGTCACAGACACCAAGGAATACGTGTACGGTTGTCTCGGCTTCTTGTGCCGAGAAGCCTCATCTGGTTTGGAGGTGAACTACCGGAGGTCCGCACACGAGATTTACCACGAAGCTACTACAGCAGCTTTACGACACAATCCAGTCGAGTTCCTAGGCCGTTCTATCATAAACCTTCGCTTCTGGCCCAACTGTGGGGACGCCCCTTCCTGGGTGCCGGATCTGTCGCAGCAACGCTCAGCCAGCTTGAAACCTTTCACAGGCTGTACGGCACACACGTACCACGAGCTTGGATCTCGCACCTTTGGCCGGCCCTCAGTACAGCTTGGTCACGGCGCTCGGATTCTCAGCCTGGCTGTTAGATACGGTGACGGAGTTATGTCCGTTGACAAAGCCGGATGAGTTGGCTCACTTGGACGACACTGTGATCGATTCCCTTGATTCAGGGGCCATAGATTCATTGGATCTTCCTAACGATGTCAATAACATATTAGAGCTGGAATCAGAACGTCTGAGCATCCACATCAGGGGCATGCAGGATGCTATGGCAATGTTTCAGAAGATCCTATCCAAGACAGCCCCATACGGTCCAGCGCATGCAGCTGTGGAGACTCACTCAATGGAGGACTTATTCTGGCTTCTTATTCCTCGTGGACAGTTCTTCGGCCAAGCAATCACCCCTGACTTGAGGTCACTGCTGTGGCGAGTACTCTCACAACGCGTGACTGAGGAAGACATTCGAAAAATGTGGACGAAAACTGACGACCAGAGACGTTGGAGGGAGTTACGAGAGTCGGTCAACCTGGCGTTGGACGCGCGAGCTGGCCAAATGGCATTTGCTACCAAAAGCGGCCACATGGGCGTCAGCGTCCCAGTCATTGAAATTGGCGACGTTGTTGCCTTGATATTTGGTATGACAGGGCCTTTCATCTTGCGGCCCGTAAATGATGTCAAAAGAGGGAAATAAGGAATTTTCTGAAGGATTAGAAACAGTATTTGACATCTCCTAGACAACCTTATGTTCCAATTTGTAGCGTCTGTGGCATATCAGGTTCTACTGGTGCAATTCCTGTATTCGGCAGATTGAGTGTCCACTATTTCCATAGTAAAGGGGAACGAAAAGCACCGAATATACACAACTTCAATCCCTCGCATGAAGCCAAGACTGCCGTGATCCGGGACATCAAATCGAATGAATTGTCGTCGCTCGGAAGCGGCATTGTGGGGCTGGCGGCGATATCCCGTCCTCGCCGGCTTCCGTCGGGCTTCTCTGCCCCTCCGGGAGTCGCCGAGCTCGGCCCCATAACTGCCGTCACAGCTCCCTCGGAACTCAATATTGAAGGTTTTGGTCGTCGAGGACAAGAACCCCCTTCAGTTGCATGCTTCACACGGTGACTCTAACCAGGAATCAACGATGGCCTCCTCAACCTGGGTCTCTGACGTCGGTCCTGACAGCGACTTCTCTCTCGCCAACATCCCTTTTGGCATCGCCACCACATTGGACAACGAGACTCCTCGCGCCGTGACCGCCATCGGCAGCCATGTCCTCGACCTGAAGACACTACTAGACCAAACAGATGCTGGAATCATTTTCCCATACCTCAAGGACCATGGCGATGTCTTCGACTCCCCTACGCTCAACAAGTTCGCCGAACTAGGAAGAGACATCCACCGGCAGGTACGCGGCACTATCCAGGACCTGCTGTCCGTGGATACCAAGCACCCCGAGTTCCTGAAAGACAATGCAGAGCTGCGTGAAAAGGCCCTCCTACCGAGGACGAAGGTGAAGATGCACTTGCCAATGCACATTGGTGACTACACGGACTTCTACGCGGGGTACCACCATGCCTTTGGCGTGGGATCCATGTGGCGCGGCCCGGCCAACGCCCTGCAGCCGAATTACACACACCTGCCCGTCGGCTATCACGGACGAGCCTCCAGCATCGTCGTCTCGGGGCACCCCGTCAAGCGCCCGGTTGGCCAGATCATCATAGACCCGGCCGCAGAGCCGAAGCAGCCCACGGTCAGGCCGAGCCAGAAGCTGGACATCGAGCTCGAGCTGGGCTGCTTCATCGCCAGGGGCAACGAGATGGGGTCGCCCATCGATGTCAACAAGGCCGATGACCACATCTTCGGCTATGTCCTGCTGAACGACTGGAGCGCGAGGGATATTCAGAACTGGGAGTATGTGCCGCTGGGGCCGTTCAACGGCAAGAATTTTGCCTCGACGATAAGCCCCTGGGTCGTCACGCCGGACGCGTTGGAACCCTTCAGGAGCAAGGGCATCGAGCTCGAGGGTAGGCCAGAGCTTCAGGAATATCTCAAGGAGGCGAGACCCGAGAACGTCTTTGACGTCCAGTGCGAGATCGACCTGACAAGTAAGTTCCTTGCCCAAGCACACTTCACTGCCGGAACTCTCACAACTGACGACTCTCGCAGCCCCTGAGGGTGACACCACCACCATCTCTCGAGTTTCCACAAAGAACCTCCTGTGGTCCTTCCCTCAGATGCTGGCCCACCACACCCTTGGCGGGTGTCCCATGAGGAGTGGTGACCTGCTCGCCTCGGGCACGATCAGCGGCACGAAGCCATCTGAGCACGGCAGTCTGCTGGAGATGAGCGAGGGTGGGAAGAAGGAGGTCCTCCTTGCCGGCATGGACGCGCGCAAGTTCCTGAAGGACGGGGACCTGGTCACGCTCAGGGCCTCGGCCGGTGAGGATGGCAAGAGGGTTGGCTTTGGTGAATGCGCTGGGAGGATATTCAGCGCGGTGAGTCGGTGAGGCTTTGGGGTGATGCAGGCTTTCGTCTTGCTATCTTTTGGCACTACCTATGCTGTCCGTCAAAGGCCTATCGCTGCATACATGGCCATCATCGCAGCACCAAGTTCTGCCGATAGGACGGCTCTAATGCCAACTTGATTTCGGGTGTACAGAGCTGAATAATCTGACACACTGCGGCCTTCATACCGATTTCAGACTGCCCTGCAAGTACCGTAAATATGTTGCCTGCACCTTTAAGTAGCCCGTTCTCCAAAGGCCTTGAACACATTCAGAAATGAGCGCCCACGTTTATTCACCCAAGGCCTGACGGCTTTGTCAGCATATGGCGCCATACTCCAGGTTGGCGATGTTTAGCGTTTTGAAGCTGGTGATGTTTCTTCGTTGGCGCCGGCTTGATGAGACACACAAGGTTTGCGCCGATCTCATTAACACCAGCAATTATAGTCCAGCAGTTCGGATCAGCTGCAGTGCCCGCCGGGCGCACTTTTGACCCAGTGCGTTTGTGCGCCCCGGTAAGAATGTTCAATGCGACCGGGTTCTGAAACGATGCTACCCCTCTACCCGGACCCGGACACGGAGGCTGGACACGAAAGCTTGATTTGACTCGTGACTGAGGCAAAACGATAGGACAACACATCATCAAAACGAGGCGAGATTTCCCACTTTTTCTTAGGACTACCTGTGGTAATGTTCACCGGCCCCAGCCGCCGGCGCTGTGCATTCACTCGAGCTTGAGCCCAGCGCCGGGCAACAAGCCATCGACCATGGAGAATCCACCCACCCTACCCATGTCTGACGAGAAACATCAGACGGTTGAGCCGTCCCTGAGAAGCAACACGGCAGGTCCGAGCAAGAAGGTACCAAAAAAGAAGAAGAAAGTAAGATGGGCCGACGAACGGTCCCAAACGCCGGCAATTATCGCGGTCGTCGTCCTCAACGTGCTGTTCCTTGTTTTGGGAGCACTCGGACGGCTGGGCCTATGGGCAAAGAATGAAGAGCAAATCGAGCAAGTCTCGAGGCCAGTCGAGCTTGAATTTCGAGCCGCGGTGCACAAGCCACTGAGGCGGCACGCCATTCACGATCTGCGGCGGGTCAGGAGGGACGTCCCTGGGGGCAACAACAGCGCAATGCAGACTTTCCAAGTTGACGTACCGCTGTTAGGAATGAATGGAAAGGTCATTGGTGGCGGTACTGCGAATGGATTCAGTGACATACCGACGATCCTGCCCGGTCTCGGTGAAGAGGACTGCCAGGTCACGATTGCTGCCAACACCTTCTCCAACTCGTTTGGAAGTCCATTCGTTGGCAACTATACACCGCCTGCGTGTCTAGCTGACAGTAATACGGCTATCATGAACTTGACGGTGCAGTCGCAAGGGAGGCAGTTTGATCGCCTGGCTATCGTGTGAGTCTGCGAGATGCCACATACCTCGACGCTCACCATGTTCAGATGCTGACGGAGGGCATGCTCAGGTACTTCGGAGACACAGAAGTCTTCCGGACCTCTACTGAGGAGCCAAATCGGAGGGGTATATCTTACACATATGTGAAGGACATGTCGCAGTACATGGCTTTGTGGAAGCAGCCACAAAAGGTCATCTTCGATCTTCCGAACAGCCTCACTGATATAGTAAGTTTGGTCCATCTAAGCCTCTCCCCTGGATTTGGGGGAGGCAGAATGGAACAGAAAGCTCATGCTGTTCACAGTTGACTGGAGTATACAACACCACCTTGACGGCCAGCTTCTTCAGCGCACCCCACGGTGTGACTCCGGCGGACACAGTCATCCCCATTTCCTCCCGCCAGGCGAACAACGACTCGCAGCCGAGCGTATTCTCAATCCCAGACCAAATTGCCTCCAACGTTATCACTGACTTCCCTCGAAACGCCGTCAAGGCCATCTTCTCTGTCTCGGCAACAGGACAGGGCAACGAGGAATTTTGGTGGAGCAATGTTCTGGAGTCCAACGCACTGACATACAACGCCTCAGGTGGCCAGCTGCCAGGTAACTCACCATTTCGAGAAGTTCAGGTCCTTCTTGATGGGCAACTAGCAGGCGTTCAGTGGCCGTTCCCCGTGATCTTCACCGGCGGTGTTTCGCCAGCTTTCTGGCAACCCACCGTTGGTATCGACGCCTTTGATCTTAAGGAGGGCGAGATCGATATCTCGCCGTGGCTTCCAGTACTCTGTGATGGCCAGCCGCACAATTTGACCGTCAACGTTGTTGGTCTCAGCGACGACGGGAAGACCGCTACATTGTCTCCAAATGTCACCTCAAACTGGCAAGTCACGGGCAAAATGTTTGTATGGCTGGACCCCAAAGCGGACTCTATCACGACAGGATCGCCACCTACGGTCAACGGTTTGGATCCAACAATTGCAATCAGCCAGTCCGTCACACAGAACGCGACGGGCTTCAACGACACGCTCAAGTATACCACGTCCGTGTCCCGCAGCTTCAGCGTCTCGGGCTCAATCACAACATCGACGGGCAACACCACAGTATCATGGACCCAAACACTCGCCCACACCGACGACGCCGTCCTCAGCAACGGCGGACAGAACCAGGTCAACGTGATCACCACCACGGGAACCGACACCTCCACACACGGGGACGACGGGGCAGCAGGCTTCACCACCCGGTACTCCTTTCCCCCTGAACTCAAACGTGACCTCACAGACCCTCCAGAACGGCACGACCCGCCTCGACGCAACGCTCCAGCGCACCAAGAGCGTGGACCGCACCGGCCTCGGCGGCGCCGTCTCCCCCAGCGGCCTGCAGCTCTTCTCCGTGCTGCCTGGCACGGCCGACCGGGTGCAGGGCCTGGCCGGGACGGCCTTCACCACGACGCAGAACGGCACCGCGACGGTGCTCACCGCGCCGGAGGGGCAGAACGGGAGCACGCAGTCCGGCACGCAGGCGCAGACGATGCGGTTCGGCGGCGTGGGCGGCGGCGGCGGCGAGCCCGACGTGGAGCTGTACTTCCGGGACGTGAGCGTCAAGAGCGACGGCACGGTGCTTGGTGACACGGAGCGGCTGGCTGGTGAGGACGTCGTGGGGAAGAGGCCCGCAGCGACCACGAGCGGGAGGGCGAGTGTGTCGGGGGTTGTGGCTGCGGTCCAGGACTGGGTATCGCGAACGGGCATTGGTTTGGTTGATGATCCCTTGGTCCGGAGGAGATTTCGGTAGTTCCAGCTGTGGGAGAAAATAGAAACGCGGGAGCTTTCAAGTCTCTTCGGCCCTTGCCGTCATAAATTTAGAAGGCTCTGCACTTTGAGTATGCACGTGGCAAACAAAAGCGTCCCGGTTCTAATCTTGAAGCTCGATACAAAGGAGTCCAAACCAAGTGCCGCGGTTTGAGTCTTGTTTCTTTGTGTATTTTGACACAATGCTCTGCGCAGCCCGTCTATCTTTGTAAAAATCGTGGGGTCTCGTCCCTTCCATATGGATATAGCTTTTGTGAAAGATCGTACGTGGTCTCGGGACTGTCTGTGGCCGCCTATCATCCCAAAGCTATATCTGCCATCGCTGCAGCCTTTCGACTTGCTTCGACACTGTTTGCAGGCCCGCAGGTAAAACGGTGACAAAACTCTCTATTCAATTCTCTTCCCACCGAAATTTATTGACCATCAGAGATGTATCATACAGACAGCAGCAGCGCTGTGGTCAACAAAAGGTCGTCTGACTTCGACGTTGAACTCTGCCACGCATTCTTCAGCGCGGTCAGTCATTCGGATCTCATCTGCAAGCCCTGCAAGCAGGGCCTCATCCAACGATACCTTCACTCGAAAGCACGGAATGACTTAGTCTTCAAAGTCTACAGACGGATCAATGAGCTCGACCGCCCCCTCTTGGTGCGCCTGATGCATGATTTGGGCGGACCGGAGGACTTTCAACGCGCAATCCAGGACCTCAACAACGCACCCCACCGTTCACACTCGCTCGAGGCTACAGGCCCAAAGCAATGGGACTGTGTTGACAATGAGGCGTGGGGCAACCTACACATCTGGCTTCGGATCCTGGCCAAGGAAGAAAGTGTGATACCGCACCCGCTCACCAAAAAGTACTTCACAACCTCGGCCTGGCGTTCTCGTGTCTGGGCTGCGGCGGCAGGACGCTACACCCTCGATGACCTCAGGAATGAGCGCTCTATCCGACGCTTTCTGAATGATCACGAGGCGCGTCTCCTGGAATCCTCCCTCTGGGCAGGCGAGGCGAAAATACCGAAGCTGGCCAAGTATGAGATAACCCCTGCTGCCTGCGAATGCTTTCCGCTCGGCGATGGGACCGTGACATTCCAGGACAACATTCAGAAGCTAAGTGTATATCCTGAGGTCCTGAGGGACCCGGCGTACATCCGCATTCGCCGTGAGGCAATTGTAGCCCGGCTGGTCGAGGGCTGCTTTGACCCGGAGATTGTCGAGGGTGTCTTCCTACGGTGCGCTCCTCCCGCAGTCCCGGAAACCGCGGACCCGTTTCGGGCATTCGTAGAATACTGGGACTCGGCTCCCGTCAGGCAGGCGATTAGAAGCTTGCTGGGGCTGGCCATGGACACTTTGCCAGGTGCGCCAGCGGCAAAACAAGTGACGAAACCCGAGAAGAAGCCGGTGAGCAAGCCTTTTAGCATGAGAAGAAACACTACGTTCAAACACCCCAGTGTTGACATTGGGTTCCGGGCGTACCATCCATTGACCTCTCGGCCTCGAAAGCAAGGCCCGATCGACTATGAGGGTGAGGCAAGGACCTTTCTGTCCCGGCACAACGTGGAAACGGAAGACTGGCTGGATACCGAGGCATGATCAATTGATGATACAGTAGCCATAATTAATCTTATTTCTTTTGTCAACTAATCCGAAGAAACTGGCAGGCATACTTTTGGTCGGTCGGTAGATTTATACGCACACTTGAGCAGCCGAAGGTCGCATAGACGACCTCCATAGACCCTGGCCGAGTAGATTTTGAATAATGTGATGTAATAGAGGAATTGATGTGGAAATGGCGTTTTGTCAATTCCCCCTTATGGCCGTAGCAACACTAGAATACCGCCTGCGATGGCTCTGTAGAAGATTAGGAGTAGGCACGTGGCTCATGTAATTAGCAACGGCCTAGACTTGTAGCAACACACCTGGTTCTTCGCCGGTTGGGCGAGTGAACTAATAATTGCAGATGGTCGATTTTTCTTATGGCTCCTTAGGCTTCCAAACGTGATCTTCAGGAATACCGCGGTGGCAAGGCTACCCTTGCTTCTCAGGGCTATTTTGAAATGTGCTAATGACCGTCAGACGGGCATGACAGCCGCCGGCTGGTTCGGAGATTACAAGTTGTGTTCAGATCTAGCCCCAGCATTCCTGTTGGAATGCCGGATTTACGTGACATGGCTAGTTGTCAAGGTCCAGGCTAGCCACTACCATTCCGGCAAGCTGGCGATGGAAAACACATCCGTTCTGGCTATGAGTATCAATCTGCAAGATCGTGGGAAATCGATTCCTTCAATCCAATCCAATTCAAATCAAATAGGGCACAAAGGGATGAAATTCCACATATGTGTTCCTTGACAACACGGACGCGAAAGATCAAATGAAACTTCTCGCGAGCACACTCCGCATGTCTCACACGGCGGGTAACACCGACGCTGTTGCAAGCAAGGCTTTCCCGAAACTGCATCGGGAGGGAATTCTTGAGAAAAAGGCGCGATACCGGTAATACCACCCCTGGAGAAGGTACGGGGTGTTGTGACAATTTTCGTTTCAAAACAACAAACGTTTGCACGGGTCATCGACTTGCCATTTCGGCGGAATGCATCCCCCGAATCCGACCCGTACTTGTGCCTAGAAAGCCGGCCTATATCGGGCCCAACCAGACTAACTGAAATGCGCACGTCCCAACAAAAGACGGTCTCCTCAACACAAGTACTCTACAGAGACCGGGAATTTACTGAGGGTGACTGGTGAGAGGCCGACGACAGGCGCCAAGCTCTTGACCTCTTGCTTTTTCAACGTTGGGGATCGCCTCGCCTCACCGCACAGCGGTGGCACTTTACTTAAACCATTCCAGAATCTAAGTTTCAGATCAAGCCCAGACAAAATCTCTGGGTGTAGCATTGCCTCGGAACGTACGGGGCTCTGGAGAAGGCTTGCTTGCTCCAGACCGAAGCCAGCTTCATCCTGATCAGCCACTCACGGTGACGGTTTTGGCAACATGGCGGGCAAGGCGCCTCATATCAGTGAGGTGCCCATCACGTGGCGGAACTGGTACCAGCATCTCAATTGGCTGAATGTCTTTTTTGTCATCGTTGTCCCTGTCTTGGGCTTCCTTGGGGCGATCAGGACGCCCTTGCACCCCTATACTGCCATCTTTGCTGCTGTGTACTACTTCAACACTGCACTTGGGATCACCGCGGGTATGTGAGATCGTAACATTGAGCTGAACCGGCAGGAAATGTTGACTTGTGTGCAGGCTATCATCGGCTCTGGTCTCACACATGTTACAAGGCAAAGCCGCTACTTCAGGTCTACCTAGCTGCCGTTGGTGCTGGTGCAGTTCAAGGGTCCATCAGGGCTTGGTCACGAGATCGTTAGTGATTTCAGTCAGAATCCCTTCCCCCCAGAAGCTGCCTGGGGGTCGTCTCAAACAAGCCTTTGGTTCGGTGAAATCTGACTGAAAGTACAAGATCGAGCACATCATCGGCATACAGATACCGAGAAGGACCCCTACTCGGTCCGCAAGGGTCTCCTACACTCTCATCTGGGCTGGATGATCTTCAAACAAGACCCCAAAAAGCTCGGTCGAGCCGACATGACCGATCTCAATCAGAACCAAATCGTGATGTGGCAACATCGGAACTACCTACCAGCTGTGATCATAATGGCTTGGGCCCTTCCGGCTCTGGTGTGCGGTCTGTGGGGCGACCAGATGGGCGGCTTCATCTACGCCGGCATCCTGCGGTGCTTCTTCCTCCAACAGGCCACGTTCTGCGTGAACTCGCTCGCCCACTGGATCGGGGAGCAGCCATTCGACGACCGCCGCTCGCCCCGTGACCACTTCCTGACCGCTGTGGTCACCCTGGGCGAGGGTTATCACAACTTCCACCACGAGTTCCCTTCGGACTACCGAAACGCCATCGAATGGTGGCAGTACGACCCCACGAAGTGGATGATCTGGCTGTGGAAACAGGTCGGGCTCGCCGGCGACCTCAAGCGCTTCCGCCGGAACGAGATCGAGAAGGGCCGCATCCAGCAGCTCCAGAAGGCGCTGGACCGGAGGCGCAGCCAGTGCGATTGGGGCCTCCCGCTGGAGCAGCTGCCCATCATGTCCTGGGATGACTTCGTGGAGGAGACCCGGGTGAATGGAAAGGCCCTGCTGGTTGTGGCTGGTGTTATACACGATGCCGCAGATTTTGTCCATGAACACCCGGGTGGCAGGTCTCTGCTTGCTGGGTATATCGGCAAAGACGCAACTGCCGCATTCAATGGTGGCGTTTATGACCACTCCAATGCGGCACACAATCTGCTGGCGACCATGCGAGTTGGTGTTCTGCGCGGTGGGTGCGAGGTGGAAATATGGAAGCGTAAGGGCTCCGAGAGAAGTTTTGTCCCGGAGGACGACATCTATACACATGTGGACACTCAATAGAAAGACCATGAGAGGTCTTGATGCCATGCTGTCAAATCAATTTCATGATAGAGCTTCTATTGACGAGCGAGTCGAGCCTCGTTTTGTCGACCGCGGGCCACGGGATCGGGCATGACGAGACCGACCTCTGCGGGGCTTCTTGGTGTGCGGTGCGCCGCTAGGCTCTTCAGGGGCTTCCTGACGTGGCTCACGTGGGCAAGGAGGATGTAGAGAGTCGTGGTCGAACTTGTCGTCTCAAGTTAGTACCTATGTGGTCTGGTGAAGTCTGCGGCTATGTGGGAATTGTTGTACAGGCTGGGGTGTCAGTCGTAGCGTACAGGATCCTCCTCAACGCGGGACGATTTCCTCAACGCTGTCGTCGGAAGCTTCAGGAGCCATCGCGGCCTCTATCGCTCCTTGATCGTGGAACTGGTCCTGTGGTGGCATTGTGCTATCCGTCAGCCCCCAGACTGGACAGCAATATTAATTTTAATTTTACTTACGCTGTATCGATCAAATCTGGCCAGTGTTTTCGGGAATGCTTTGGGTTGCCGGTGGGGCGAGGTGATCGAGAAGATGCGATGATACACAAGGTGGGAAGTTGTGGGTTTGGTCAGGCAGATGACTTGTAGAGCTTCGAAAGCGCTACTAAACAAGCTCAATTCACTTCGTCCACAATTGAATTTTCTGCAGCACCATATTTCTGGGATTAACGTCAATCTTGATAGGAAGCTCGAGCTTTGCTGTACCGCTCTAATCCGGCCCAAAAGCTTCCGGCGACCCTGGGGAGGTGTGAGGTAGAAATCAGGAAGTGCAAAATTGTGTAACTGTACTTTTCCGGTTGCTACTTGTCAATTAAGTCTCTACTACACTAAGCAAGGGCGTTCTTTCATATGTGGAATGGCAAAAAGACAGGGGGGGGGATAGTTTCGTTTTCCACACACAGCAGCTGGGCGCCAGCCGCACGCCAAGAGGATGCCGAGCTTTCGTCCCGCTGCTTGGCCTGCATTGGCCAAGCAGATCCAAGAAAGCTTGATAGACTGCCCTAGCCAAACCCCCTGCACGCGACGATGGTCACGGACCAGAGCGAGGTGATCAAGCCAGGCACAGCAGACTCATCACACCAAGCAGGTGTTCGCCGCCACCAGACACGAGCGAGTCGCAGTCGTGCGATGAGGCGACGAGATGAGGCCAATTTCCTGGTGATGGCGGGGTCGGTTCTGTGTTCCGGCACGGCAAGGCTCCAGCTGGCCTTGACGGCAGTCAATTACCCTTTGCTAGGCATTAGTCTTTTGGGCGGCTCTGGAGCTCTTCGAGCCTGTTGGGAAGCGAACGGCCAAGAATGGAACCAAGCCCAGAATCCCTCCTGGCCCTCGTGGAGTTTCCCTACGAGGTTCTCTCGGAGACTTACTACACCCGACCAGATCACGAGTAAGTCATTACCTTCCGCCCATGTAATCGTACACTCAGGAAATCTAAGCATCCATCGGACGACTGAGCTACACTAATCAAGCGCATGTCCGTCTGACCTTGTACCCCATGTAGGCTTGTCAGTATGACCTCCTGCCGCCCGACCATGGGCGCACATGCTTCCAAGGTCTCGCTTCCTTCTCTCACTGAAGAAGTCGATGAGACGGACACGGTTACGTCCTTCGAATATACATCGGGAATGGGGTATTTCCTCCAGAGCGTTCGCCTCTCAACGATACTAGGACGGATACTGGTCCAGGTCTACCAGCCGTGGAGAAGCAAGTCTAGAGGGGACCAGACGAACGCAGAGGATCACCATTGTAGCAAATTCGACACCATGATTGGAACTGGCGTGCTTCGAATCTTCAGACCCAGCGTCTCCTTTATCCAGAAGTCCTCTCCGGTCAACACTGACAATTGAATGCAGCAGTTCTTGTGTTCGGTGTGTGATACATCTGCTGGACCTCACATACAGCACGTTCAGGACGTAACATGGTGCGACGTGGTGGTGGAACGCGCTTTGTGAGTCTACAACCCGTCGGTTCCTCATGTGACGGCCAATGACCAGCAAGGCAGGCTGCCCTCACCGAGAACACTTGGAACAATCCAATAACTGACATAGCACATGAAGATGCATCTACTGCAGGACTCGTGGTGGCTGTGGCTCTTTCCTGCCCTCTGCTGCATGCTTCGCTGGACATTAGTTCCCTCCACAAGTCTTGGGGTGTCTTCCAAGCAATTCTGTTTTGCGAAACTCACTACGAGTGTGCGGAAGTGGCTTCACTTGTTGGATAAGTTCTACAGTTTGACTTGCGCCGGGCATAATAAGTCCTCCTAGCTCAGCCTGCCCTGGATGCCGAAACTCAAGTCGAGTGATTCTGCGAGGACGACGACGCACTGGCCGACGAGGACGCAGCTACGTTTCCCACGTCGAATTGCAGCACGTACCTGCAGACGTTGGTGTACTTTCCCAACTGTGTAGACGAGAGTAGCCTCGAAACCTCTTACCAGTCAGAATCGTACGGCACGGACATCATGATCTGATGCCTCTCGAGCATAAAGCAGATACTGCAGCTCCGGTTCAGCATGTGGTACGATGTAAACAATGTGTTGCCCGATGGCTGATCAGGAGATGCGCCCCCCCATCCTGGGGGTGATTTCCGTTAATTTTCCGCGCTGCTAGTCATAAATGCCCTTTGGTGTTTTCAGGTTTGTAATGCAGCTTTGCGATGCCAGGATAAGTAAACTAGCGGTTATCTTGAGTCAAGACTTCAATACACCGCTGAGCGCATTTCTGGCGTTTGTACAGAAACTTTTGTCAAATGCAACTACTAGTCCAATCGGCCCGGGTCATCATCAGCTGACCAGTGTCCCCGGTCTGAGGTCGAGGACCACTTTAGGTGGATCACTTCCACACTGGCCACGAGTCAGCATAAATCTTGTAGATCTCGGTCACTCTTTAGAAGCCTGGTCTTCGTTGCCATACGAGACAGCACCAGTACAGTGGTTCCCTCTCCTGAGACATACGACTCGGGCAGCAAGGTTGTTACAGTACAGATGAGGGGTTGTTGCAGCTGGGGGGGGGGGGGGGGGGGGGGTGGCAGGAACATCTGTCAACCTGCCAGTTGGGCATTTGGACTTGAGCGTGTGGCTACCGTTGCCACAGCTCAGCAGGTACTGTAGGGAGTTATAAAGTTTTACATTCATCTTCTGTTCTCATGCCTGTTGACTGTCTGCGTTTCCCGCCAATTGCCAACGAATCAATTCCAACTCACGCCACAATGCAAAGCGCAGAATGGCCCGTACCGCCGCAGGTACTCATGCTGGCGGTCGTCTTGATTGGATACCTGGCCTACAATTATTTGATCTTCCCAACCCCTCGTTCAATTGCCGAATTGAAGTTCCTGAATAGCACGCCCGGCGAATGGTTCCCCTACCTTCGGGCACTCTACCGGAACACGTTGGATCTGAAGAAGACGCTTCACCTGCACCACACAGAGCACAAAGATGAGACCGTTCGCGTCCCCATCTACGGCCCAGGCCAAGACAAGTTAATCCTGCTGCCCCCCTCCCAGAGGAAATGGCTCGTCGATCAGCCCGAGTCTACCGTGAGCATGCACGAGCAGACCAACCAGCATTTCCAGTGGAGTTACGGCACCGTCTATCCCACGCGAGATCACAACGCGGTGCCCATCCACATCATATCTACCAAGCTCACGCGGGAGATCGGCAACCTGATCCCAGACCTCTCGGAGGAGCTGGACCTTGCACTGGCGAAGCACTGGGGTGGTGACGACGGCAGCAGCGAGTGGAAGGAGGTGGGCGTTTACGACACGCTGAGGCCCATCATTGGTCAGGCAATCAACCGCATCTTCATCGGAGGAGACTCACATTGCCGGAATGAAGAGGTGCTCGACACCGGCTTTGGGTATGCGCAGGCCATACCGTTGGCGGCGAATATGCTGTGGCTGATTCCGGACCCGCTGCGCCGTCTTCTGGCGCCTTTGGTGACCCTTCCATCCCGCTATTACGAGAAAAAATGGTTCAAGCTCACCCTCGGCGAGGTTCACAGAAGATTGGCGGCCAGGGGTCACTCAAAGCATGGCAAGGGATCGGGAACAGATGCTGGGCAGCACAAGGGAGAAGCAAAGAAGAATGACTTTTTGGAATGGCTCATCGCCTACGGAGAATCCCAGGGCGACCCGTACCTCTTGGACCCAGAAGTCCTTTCAGCACGGATCCTGCTCCTCAACGCTTTCGCACTGCACACCAATGTCTTCGCCATCGTGCACATGGTCCTCGACATTGTCGGTTCCGGCGCAGAGCAAGGTTCAAAAGACGTTGCCGAACTGCGTCAAGAAATCACCGATGTCCGCGCCGCCCACAGCGACGACGAAGGATGGAACAAGCGATCACTGGCCCAACTCGAGAAGCTGGATAGTAGCTTCCGGGAGAGCCAGCGCATGAACACGATCCTGAGCTTGGGCCCCTTGCGCATCGTGGGGAAGAACGGCGTCACGACGCCTTCCGGCGTCCAGGTGCCAGCGGGCTATCAACTTGGCATTCCAGCGTACTCGATCCATTATGATGAGGAGATCTACGGCTCTGACGCAGCGTCTTTCAAGCCGTTTCGTTTCTACAACAGAAGGAAGAACGCACAGGAAACTGGCGATAACTTGAAGGGGGCGAGGCAGGCATGGGCGACCACGTCCGCCGACTACTTGTCCTTTGGGGCTGGCTTGAATAGCTGTCCTGGACGATTCTTTGCTTCCGGAATGATCAAGGTCTTGATGGCGAATATCCTGATGAGGTATGACTTTGAGTTCCAAGAGAAAAGACCGGATAATGTGTGGTTTGGAACGAATCACATTCCGCCGATGACCGCGAAAATGAGGATCAGGAGGAGACAGCAAGAGGTGTAAGAACAGGCTAGGACAGTTTCTGTTTTCTTCGAAGAATACCAGGTTATCAAAACGAAGTGGGCATCCGCACAAAATCTCACGCGTCCACAAATTCGAAGCGCCTCGATTTTTAGCCGCAAACTTGAACTTGATTATGTGCAGCGAGGATCTCGGGAGGTCAACTTTTGTATACACGAGCTATCTCAACAAACTATTCAAGTATTGAGGTCTCGAATCTCCTGTTCCTGGATTCTCAGAGGCTTGTACACTCCGGACTCCTGAAGTCTTCTCTGAATGCCAAGGCTCTGTCCTTGAAGCTTTGATCCCTTGGCAAGATCTTCCACACAGCTCCGCAAACTTAACTTGATCCAATTTTGCCCTCCTGGAGTCAGATACACATGATTCCCAAGTATTTCACTCGACGCCTAGGTCCGCGTCGTCCAAATTGCAGCCAGTCTTGACCACAGGCACGCTATTCGCCACGGCATGTGTCGAGCCTCCGTACCCACTTGCCAGAATAAAAGTATCAGCGCGCTCGAGCAGGGCATTACACGGAAAGCAGCCCACAACACCAGCATCTGGCGCTTGCCAACAAGGTGCGACAACGCAACCATGAAAACCAGGAGCCTCCCTGCTTACCTCAGTCGTTCCCCAGAGGAGGACCGAATTCCGACCCACCTGGCTCTCATGGAGCCCTCACGAGTCACCGACCCTGTCGCTCCCCCTCAATCTGCTGTTCGCGTGTCAGGTCTTGTGGGGGCTCCATTGTGGGCTTTTGCCAGCCACTCCATCAGCGTCTGATTATCACGGGCCACACTGGCGCTGCCTCTGACACAGATGATTCATCCGAGATAGACGGCACCTTCACACTCTGAAGCCAATGCTGGGTTCGTCTCACCTCGAATAGACACCATGAACCTCCCGGCATTAGTCTTAGCTAGTGTATGCTCCTTGGGCGTAGCAAGCGGAGCACCAAGCTCTAGCTCGACATTCGATATCAATGCAGACTGGGTGTCCTGGGACGATGCTACGTGGACTTTGAAGTCAACCAAGCCGCTGCCAGGGGTATTTACTGCGTGGCTACCACAGTCGAACGGGTATGACTTCTCCATAAAATGGCTGCTGAGGACGCCGTTCCCCCCTATCGTTCTGTACAAACAAGCTGATAAAGCGCTTGTTGTATTGTGATCAGCTATTTTGGCCTCGCACAAGGTTCTTTGGGGCCTTTCTACGAGCTCAGCCGTCGAAATGATTCCGAAGGATGGCCGTCTTATAGCAATCCTCGAAGAACGTTCGCCACGGTCACGGGATTCTGGGGCAGCAAGCCCAGCACGCTTGAGCCCGGGGAGCTGGGCGAGAGTTTCATCTCCGGTGTGCCGCACTTCACCGATTTGCACGTCGAGGCATGTGGAAGTGTCCTCAATGGAGATGTAGACGAATCCGAAATCACAGAATTCGAGTCGACACTGTCTTTGTAAGTAAGCATGTGTGCACCAGCTCCCCTATGAGGCAGAAGATGGCGCTGATTCGGGATGTCCTACAAGTAAGACAGGGATACTCACATGGTCATATGTCTGGAGTCCTCCAAAGTGTGCAGATGGTCGAACGTTACTGGTGTCTTACGAATCTTTGGCGTCGCTGGCCGAACGACGTCTGGCAGCTGTGAAACTGGTCGTCTCCAGCGAGCAGGGCCTCGACGACGTACACATTCTTGATATACTGGACAACCAGTCAGCTTTGCGCACGACAACCGTCAAGACGCAAGTGGATCGAGGCAGAAATCAGATCGTCTCCGCTGTCTCACCAGATGGAGTTGACCATGCCATGGCGTATGTGCTGTCGTCGACGCTTGGGGACGACTTATTACGCCTTGAAGACGAGGACGAATACTCCAGCGACTTTGTTCCCGCCTTCAATGACCAAGCAAACTTGGGTTCAGCCAATTCATCTAATACCGAGTCCGAGTCCGTCTCCTCGACCCAGGGGTATCGGTTCCAATCTGGTTTACAGTCCGCAACGGTCTACAAGTACGCAGGTATTGCCTCATCAGAGCATTATGGGTCGGACACGGAGACAGTGGTCTCGGACGTTGTCTCATCCGCTATAAACCGCGGATATAGTGTGCTACGCGAGGAGCACAGCGCTGAAGTGGGCAGGCTCATGAGTGCAGACTTCGTGGCTGATTTCAGAGATCCGGTGACAGGATCGCTCCCAACAGGCGACGACGTAGTGAAAGCTTTGCAGATCACAGCCATCTCCTCCGCTTACTACCTTTACACGAGCCTCATCCCATGGAGTCCGACGCGTGATGAGGACCCGAGCACTTGCATCGCGTGCAACTCTCTTGCCGTGGGCGGCCTGGTCTCCCAAACTTACGGAGGCAAGATTTTCTGGGACGCTGATCTCTTCGTGGCTCCCGCCATCCAGGGAGTGCACCCCAAGTTGGCGAGACAGTTCTCGCTGTATCGTATCAACCGGGCGGAGCAGTCTCGCAAGAACACCGAAAGGCACGAGCTGAAAGCGGGAAGCATGCTTTATGCGTGGACAAGCGGTCGACATGGACAATGCTACAACATGTCCGCACCCTGCATCATGTACCAGTATCACCTCAACGCCGACATTGCGTTGAGTATGGTCATGGGCCGGAACACTAGCGGCGACAGTAACTGGTTTGACCAGCACGGGGCGGTGGACGTGATCGATGGCGTGGCTTTGGGCCTGAGCGATGCTCGCGTTCTAACACGAAGAGAGGATACTGGTCGCTGGGGCATCGACGTGATGGCAGATGCTGACGAATACTACATGTGGATCGCAGACGGTTCATTTACTGGGACTGCAGTCAGTACTCTTCTGGAACTCGCCTCAGAGGCTCGCCATAAACGAGGCGTCCCACTCGAGCCAGACTGGCTTGACCAGCTCGAGCACGTTTCCATGCCCACTTCGGACGACGACGTCGTTCTCGAATTCCGGGGCATGACGAACGATGTCTTCCCCAAGCAGGCAGACGTAATCCTGTCCCACTATCCATACGACTACAAGCGGAACTTCTCACTTGCCAAGTACCGAGCCGCGATGGACTTCTACGCGGTCCGCACGGATCCAAACGGTCCAGCAATGACATGGAGCATGTACGCCATCGCAGCCAACTCCCTAGCCACCTCAGGGTGCGCATTCTGGACATACCTAGTCAAATCATTCCAGCCTTACATCCGCGGCCCATGGTACCAGTATTCCGAACGCAGGACGACGAGCCAGGCATCCCGGACCCGCTGACGGGGAACGCCATCAACCCGGCGTTCCCGTTCCTCACCGGCCACGGCGGCCTCCTGCAGACATTCACCGCGGGCTTCCTCGGCCTGCGCGTCACGCACCGGAACCTGCTCATCAACCCGTCCCTCCCTCCCCAGCTCCGCGACTTCAAGCCGCCCGTCCAGTTCTACAACGGCGCCGTCGTCAGCTTCCGCATGAACCGCACGCATACCTCGATCACGCGGCGCGATGCGTCCCACTTCGACGGCCTGGTGCCGGACCAGTACGGCAAGGAGGACATGCCCGTTTCCATCGGGCGAGACGTGGACGACCCCGACGCGCGGACGGTATTCTTGCGCGTCAATGACACTGCAGTGGTAGAGAACAGGTTGTACGATACGGAGGTCCACGTGCCGGGCAACATCCTGCAGTGTCACGCCGCAAGCTCGGCGCATGGCGAGCTGGCGTTTGCAGCCACGGATGGGTACGGAGGCACCTTCTGGCAGCCCGGTGAGAGTGATGTTACAGCCGCTCTTGTAGTGGACATTGGATCCTCGCAGGCTCCGCGGCCGCTGGGGGCCATTCAGCTGGACTTTGCTATGCGACCGCCAAGACATGTCAAGGTTTCGGTTTCCAATAGCTCGGATTTCGAGCCTGCCGTTGTACTTGCGGACGAGGATATCGGCATCACGAAGCCATGGATCCCGGACTCGCCTGTGGTGAGATATGTTGGCAACATTACCACCATCCAGCTCACCGACGCAGTATGGAGTGGTGCGTTTGCGAAACTCGAGGTCACAGGACGCTGGACAGATGATGGTGATGGGGCAACGGTTGCTGAGTTTGCGCTCGTGTCCGCAGATTCTCATGAATCATGAGACACAGTTTTGAGATGAGGCATCATTGTTGAGATGCTCTGAGATATTGGATATGTACTGGATGTACTGTATTTACACGCACCGAAAGCCGCCATAAGAAGTTCCTGTGTCCGTCATTCTACAGAGCTTTCTCCGCCATCTCCCTGATCGACCTGGCAATGGTCTTGTTCATATCAAGCCCTCGTGGAAAGTCGTGCCCGAACACATGCCCAATACGTTGCGCCTGGCTGGGCTCGGCAATGTCAAACAGTTGCTGGCCGTATTCTGGGGCATCGCCCACGCCGGTAATGTGCAGCGAAGGCATGGAAAGAACGTGGCCATCCCAGGCCTCGTCAAAAAAAGTCATGTAGTGCGTGTTATTTGCAAGAACCTGCGGGAGTGGGTTTCATCACCGTCAGTCGGTACTGCACATTCTAAAAAAGTGTAGTCTCTCTGTACGTACCTGTCGACCGTTGGCAAGCTTCGCTGGCCGCGCCTTTTCCATATGATCAGCCGGATTCGCCTTGAAGACGTCGAAGAGCATCTGCAGCTTTGGCGACTCTTCAATCGGTATGTCCGTGACCTCTTGCCCATCCAATGGCATGATGAAAGGCGGCACGGCGCTGTTGATGAGCACCAAGAACTTGATCGGTAACTCCTGGGGTGTGGCGTATGGGTTCTCCAGGAGGAGCCGGATGGCGATTTGGGCAGCCATTGATCCACCTTGTCTAAATCAAGGTAGGCTTAGTAACAGAGAAGAAAACATTGATCGTGCAGGTACTGGATTCCTGTGATGAACAGAGAGTTTTAGCCGACTTACGAGTATCCCAACAAACCATCGAATGGACCATGTTCCTCTATGACCTGACGCAGCTCGCTCTCGGTGGCCAGAATATCCTCGATATCCAACATATTGTAGAATCCATACAGCTTTAAACGCATGTTAGTTAGCACGGCAATTATTAGCAGCCCAGTCTCTTTGAGGCCAGACCAAAGTAGGCACTTCAGCAAGCAGAGACTCCCGGAAGGGGTACGCGGCCTTCTGACCCAGCAGCCAGAACAAAGCCCCTGAATACTTACATTTGACTTTGAAAAGTCGACTGTATGCAGAGACCAGTTCCCCTCCAAGTGAGGCCACCGGCCCTCCACAAACTCAAACTCGTATTCTGGCTCTAGCTGGCTCCGTATGCCCGCCGTTTGCATCCGGAAGATCTACAAGGGCGACAAAACATCAGTCGATTGTTTTTGGTGTTGGGCTACATGCGATCAGGATGAATCAAAACTGCCCACCTCGGTATTAGACCCCCTGCCGTGCAGACATAGAATCCGTATAGACATATTTACAGATTGCCAAGTACGATATTCGTGAGAGACTCAGTTGCTGTTTCAGACTATGGTTGCGAAGCTTTACAAAGGTGTTGACGTCGGGAGTCTTCTAGCAGGTAAGACTAGTTTCTGATGGTGATACTTTGGTAAACCAACCAAATACAGCAGGTTATAGCCACATGTGGTATGAGTGCATTTAAATGCCGCATTTTCCTGAGATCCACTGTCAGTCGTGCGCGGCGTCTTTCACCCTCCGTCCACCCTCGAGGTAGTCCTGTCCTGTTTGTAGAGATACCACCTGATTACTGCACGGAATAGGGATCCAACGGAAGAACGCACTACCTTTAGTACATAGACTGCACTCTCTCGCTCCCCATGTTGACCCATAAAAACCCCGGGGCCCCCAGTTCATCCAATCGACTTCAAGAAACTAGCAAGCATTATGACAAGCATTATGACAAGCTCCTACATTCTTCGCTTGAGGCCAGTGGGTAAGATCAACTTGAATACGATCCCCACACCGCCCAATCACAAGATCAAGTCGTTTGACATGTGAATGTGTGGGGTGGAAGTGGCAGATAAGCTCGTGCCCCTTGTATAGTCGGACCGACATAATATTAGAATTTGGGACCATCGACAAGAGTGAGGACAGAGACTTTTTCCCCCTAAATAATTGCCCTCTCTTTTCGCACATACTTGGAAGTAGCATGAAAGTAGCTGCCCGGGCGCTTGGATCATACCTAGGATCATACATACCTGGACAACTTCGTGCCATCGACCGGTCAGGTTGACCTAGATTCTCGCGCAAGGATACATTATAGAATTCAATTATATATTTACTATTTTCTTTTTGATCCGGAGCAATAATTGTGACATGATCGGATCTGTCCAGTGTGTTTGGAAGAAGGGGGGCCCTCGGGAGTTGCCAGAAGGGTTCCGCTTCCCCAGAGTCAGGTAAGAGGGTCTGACTTCTCGCGACCCAGATATCGGAAGAGGCTGACGAGGGGGTGGTGGGTCACTGACTCGGTCTGTTTTGTGGGTTCAACACCTGAGCAGAGCACACCGCGCAGCCGAATCTGGCGCAAAATAAACCGGAGATGGGCCGATTGTATGACACGGAGCAGCGATATCTTGGGAGGACATACAGTACATGTGAAAGGGCCGTTTTCTGCTGAGTCATCTTATTACATTACATTTAGTGAGGATGGATGATCATGAGTTTATGTTGATATAGTGCCGTACTATTTTACAAAAAGTTGTATACCGATCGTTTTGAACCCCAGATGACTTGGCAGTCATCGTCACTCTTTTGGTGCTCAACCACCTAGCCTTACTTCATAACCCCCTTGCGTAAAAATTATCAATTCCAAGACGGCACCATGGGGTCCACGGCTACCAGTCTCGACGACGACATCGCCATCATTGGCATGGCCTGCCGCTTCCCCGGCGACGCCACGAGTCCCTCGAAACTGTGGGATTTGCTGATGGACGGCAAGTCGGCCTGGTCGGAAGTCCCAGCATCAAGATGGAACCAGGACGCACATTACCATCCGTCCCAGGAGCGCGCAGGGAGTAACGTCGTGAAGGGCGGGCATTTCCTGCGCGACGGCGAGCAGAACGGCAAGCAGTTCGACGCCGCCTTCTTCAACATCACCCGCACAGAGGTCGAGACGATGGATCTTCAGCAGCGGGTAGTAAGTAGGTGCTGCCAAGACCCAGCGGCTGTCTGCACACAAAACATGTAAATCGTAGCAAAAAAGCTCACCACACGATAATTGCAGTGGAAAATGTCTACGAGGCAATGGAGAGCGCCGGCCTCCGGCTCGAGGACATGAAAGGCAGCAACACCAGCGTGTTCGCGGGCCAGTTTACCGACGACGTACGTTCCATCCTGCAGGAGGATCCGGACTTGTCTGTCAAATACAAGCCGATCGGCACCAGCGCGGCCATCCTCGCGGCGCGAGTAAGCTGGTTCTACGACCTGAGAGCCAGCAGCTTCACGCTCGACACGGCGTGCTCGAGCAGTATCGTAGCGTTGCACACAGGCGCCCAGGACCTGCGAGCCGGGCTCAGCGATATGGTAAGTAACTACATCCCAAAATCTGCCTCTCGAGTGTGTGTCGCACACTTGAGGAACCACGGCGGTAAATACCTACGAATACCTAAGTAGGCACAGGAAAACAGAGCCACTTGCTAATGCACTTCCCAACAGTCCATCATCACCGGCGTCAACATAATTGAGTCCCCTGAATTCATGTTCCGTGCCAGCGGCCTCGGCATGGTGTCGCCCGACGGCAAGTGCTTCTCGCTCGACTCGCGCGCGAACGGCTACGGCCGTGGTGAGGGCGTGGGCACGCTGATCCTCAAGCCCGTGTCGGCGGCCATCCGTGACGGCAACGTGATCCGCGCTGTGGTGCGTGGCACGGGCGTCAACTCGGACGGCCGCGGTACTGGTGGCATCACACTGCCTAGCAAGGCGGCCCAGGAGCGCCTTATGCGAGATGTGTATACCCGCAATGACCTCAACCCGGACGACACCGGCTTCCTCGAGGGCCACTTCACAGGCACGCCGGCTGGCGACCCAATCGAGGCCAGCGCCATTGCAGCTGTGTTCCAGCGCGGGGGGCCGAAAGCGACAGGTAGGCCGTCGCTATACATAGGCACTGGCAAGGCGAATCTCGGCCATTTGGAGGCGGCATCCGGCATGGCCCAGGTGATCAAGACGGTTCTGGTGCTGGAAAACGGTGTGATACCGCCCAACACCAACTTTGAGAAGATCAACCCCAGGATACCGATCGACAGATGGGGCCTCAAGCTGCCTCTGGCCCCGACACCATTCGAGGCAGGGCCCTCGGGGGTCCGGCGGGCGAGCATCAACAGTTTCGGGTTTGGAGGCACCAACGCCCACTTGGTGCTGGACGATGCGAGAAGCTACCTGGACAGGTTGGGCCTGGGCGAGAGCAGCCACCTGCACAACACAAAATCGAGCACGCCGGCACTCGCGAGCCCCAGCAAGGACGCGAGCTCACAAGCCGTGGCAGGCCACAAGGTCTTCTTGTTCTCTGCCAACGAACAAGAGGGCATCTCGCGAGTCCTCGCGAGCCTCGCAGACCACTTGCAGAAGAAGCAGACGGGCGAGGACGGAACCTCCTCGACAGTGGACAACACATACCTCTCCAGCCTCGCCACGACACTCTCAGAACGGCGCTCGCGCCTGGCCTGGCGCCTGGCCGTCACCGCCGACTCAGCCACGTCCCTCGTTGCCGCGCTCACCGATCCCACCACCAGCTCCAGTGCCGTCCGCCCGGGCAAGGCCACCACGCCCGCCGCAGCCTTCATCTTCACCGGCCAGGGCGCCCAGTGGTTCGCCATGGGCCGCGAGCTGCTCGCCTACGACGTCTTCCGCGCGAGCGTCGCCGAGGCCGACAAGTTCATCGCCGGCACGCTCGGCGGCGGCTTCAGCGTGCTGGAGGAGCTCACGCAGCGCGACGCGGAGACCACCAGGATCGACCAGCCCCTGTACTCGCAGACGCTGTGCACCGTCCTGCAGGTCGCCCTGGTCGACCTGCTGGCCAGCTGGAACCTGGCGCCCAAGCGTGTGATTGGGCACTCGAGCGGTGAGATCGGGGCCGCGTACGCGGCGGGGGCCCTGGATCGCGAGTCGGCGTGGAAGGTCGCGTACTACCGCGGCGTCGTCAGCGCAAAGCCCGCGGCCGACAACGTCCGCGGCGCCATGATGGCCATCGGGTGCACCGCGGACGAGGTCGGCCCGCTCATCGCCCAGGTCAACGAGAAAGTCGGCGCCGACGGGGAGCTGGTCATTGCCTGCTACAACTCGCCGCACAGCCTGACCCTCTCGGGAGACGAGGCCAAGGTCGACGCGCTGGTCGAGGCCGCGAGCGCGGAGAAGCTCTTCGCGCGGAAGCTGCGCGTGGGCAAGGCGTACCACTCGCGCCACATGGTTCCCGTGTCCGACGAGTACCGCTCGCTGATGGGCACGCTCCGCGCTGCTGCGGCCACGCAGCCGCCGTCCGACGTGCAGGTCTTCTCGTCCGTCACGGGCGGCCTGGTAGCCGCGGGCGAGATGACCAAGGCCGACTACTGGGTGCAGAACCTCGTGTCGCCGGTCCAGTTCTCGCAGGCGCTCGTGGCGCTGTGCACCTCCAACGTCGCCAAGAAGCAGCTCAAGGTCGGCGGCGGCGCCGAGCTGCCGGTGTCGCACCTCGTCGAGGCCGGCCCGCACGGCGCGCTGCAGGCGGCTGCGCGCGACGCCGTGCTCGACGACCCCAACTACAAGGCCCTGCGCTACGTGTCCCTCCTGACCCGCGGGAAGCACGCGTGTGCCACTGCGCTGAACACAGTCGGCGCGCTGGCCGCGGCGGGCCTGCCGATCGACCTGCCCAAGGTCAACGGCAGCAGCAAGGCGAGCACGCTGGTGGACTTGCCGCCGTACCCCTTCCACCACGACAAGGAGACACATTCGTGGTTGGAGTCCCGCAGCAGCCGCGCGTGGCGCTTCCGCAAGCATGCCCGGCACGACGTCCTGGGCGCCCCCGTTCGCGACTGGGACCCGGACGCCCCTCGGTGGCGCAACCACCTCCGCGTGCCCGAGGTCCCGTGGCTGCGCGACCACAAGGTCACGGACAGCATCGTCGTGGCCGGCGTGACGTACCTGGTGATGGCGATCGAGGCCGTGCGCCAGCTGTACAGCGACAGGGGCGAGGTGCCGCTGGGCTTCAACCTGCGCGACGTGAGCATCTCGCGGGCGCTGCAGGTCAGCGAGGACGAGCACACCGAGACCATGTTCTCCATGAGGCGCGTCGCCGAGTCGCGGCAGTCGGACAGCAGCCTGTGGTGGGAGTGGAAGGTCACGTCCTCCAGCGCCCACGACGACACCTGGCTGGAGCACAGCCGCGGCCAGATCGCCGCCGAGACCCACGCCTCGACCGCCACGGGCATCATCGACGGCGGGCGAGGAGGAGGCGCGGCGCCGCCACTACGCCGAGCTGCTGTCCACCGTCACGCAGGCCTGCACGACGGCCGAGGGCCTGGCGAGCAAGTACGCCGAGCTCGAGCGCATCGGCCTCGGGTTCGGGCCCAATTTCCGCAACATCACCAGCGCGCACTCCAACAGCAACAGCAGCAGCAGCAGCAGCGACAGCAGCAGCGACACCAAGGCGCGCGGGCAGTCGCTCGCCACCGTCCGCGTCCCCGACCTCGCCAAGGCGATGCCGGCGCACGCGCTCGCCGCCTCCGTGATCCACCCGCCCGTGTTCGACAGCATCCTGCACTCCTTCATCTTCGCCCTGCAGGCCTGCGCCGAGCGCCTGACGGAGCCCATGGTGCCCGTCGCCATGCGCAGCGTGTGGGTCAGCGCCGACGTCGAGGCCCAGCCCGGCGCCGAGCTCACCGTGCACGCCGCCGCCGGCCGCGTCGGCCACAAGCGGGTCGAGGCGGACATCACGGCCTGGAGCACCGATGCCGGGGCTGCTAATCCGGTGAGGGTCGTGATGCGCGGCGTCGAGGCCGTGCCGCTGCAGGGGAGCACGACGGCCGGGGACGCGGCCAGCGACGCGCGGGAGATCTGCTTCAACCTGGACTGGAAGCCGGACGTGGACATCCTGGAGGCGAGCGGCGAGGCGGAGGCTTGTATACGCCGTGCCCTGCAGCCACTAGAGACGCCAGCGCTCGAGGAGAACGACGTGAAGCAGCTTGGAGACGTGCAGCTGGCATGCGCTATCTGGATCATCGAGGCCGTCAAGGACCTCGAGGCCCGGCCGCTTGCAGATGAGAAGGCGCTGCCTGAACACTTGCAGAAATACCTAGGCTGGCTGCGCCTGATCGCCGATCATTACAAGAACAACAAGGTGCTCCGCCAGGACGCCTCGTGGGCGGCTGTTGTGGAAGACGCTGCTGCGCGCGACAAGTTCCTTGCCGAGTACGAGGCGTCAGGCCACCCCGAGGCCGTGATGATTTGTCGAATGGGGCGTGACATTGCCCCTATCATCCGCGGCGACGTGGACGGACTGCACCTGCTGTTCGGCATGGATGACATGCTCGAGCGCGTCTACCGCACCGCTATAGGAACCCCGAAGATCCACACCTTGATGGGAGCGTATGCCAGGACGCTGAGCCACAAGCGGGGCGCAGACCTCAAGGTGCTCGAGATCGGTGCCGGAACGGGTGGCACGACGACCAGCATCCTCGAGGCCATCTGCCCGACAGGCTCCCGGATCATCGGAGACTCGCGCCTGCTCAGGTACACGTATACGGATATCAGCCCGAGCTTCTTCGAAACCGCCGCTACCAAGTTCGGCAAGTGGAAGGCTGGCGGCGTAATCGAGTTCAAGACGTTGGATATTGACAGAGACGTCGAGGAGCAGGGCTTCGACCTGGCCTCGTACGACCTTGTCATCGCAGCCAACTGTCTCCACGCGACCTCGGACATCACCAAGACCATGACCCGCGTCAACAGCCTGCTGAAGCCCAGCGGCAAGGTCTTCCTCCAGGAGACCACCGAGCTCTGGTGCCTCGAGTCCCCCCTGGTGTTCGGCATGCTTGCAGGCTGGTGGGCAGGCAAGGAGGACTTCCGCCCCTGGGGCCCGCTGCTGGACGGCAAAGGGTGGGAGCGGGTGCTGCGCGATGCCGGCTTCGCCGAGACCGTCCTGGAGCTCAAGGACTCGCTCAGCGATGAGCAACACGTGCAGAGCATGATCGTGGCCACGCGGCCGGCGGAGGACGAAGCCAGCAAGCAGCTCGACGAGGACGACGTCATCAGCCGGGTGTTTGTGATCGCACATAACACGCCCGAGGACGCCGCCCTGGCTGCGGCCGTGGCTTCTGCTGTCGGGGAGGTCACCAAGCACAGCGTAAGCGTCATTCGTTTCGCCGACCTGGCCCAGCACAAACTGAAGAACACATGCTGTATTGTGACGATGGAGACCACCGCCCCCTTCCTCGCGTCGTCGTTTAGCGAGGCCGAGTTTGGGCTGCTGCGCCAGTTGTTGACCACGGCTGGAGGTCTGCTGTGGCTCACGCTCGATCCACACGAGAACCCGCACATGGCGCTGATACCAGGCCTGCTGCGCACCGTGCGCTGGGAGAGAGACCTGGACGGCTCGGACCTGTTGCTCATGCACCTGCCCTCTGCTGCCGAGGCCTCGCTCGTTGTCTCCAACGTTGTCAAGGTCTTCAAGCATCATTTCGGCGGGTCTTCCCCGTCGCCGGATCGCCATGCCGACTACCTTGTCAACGCAGTCGGTGGCCCTGATGGTGGCTTCGTCCAGACGGCCCGGATCATCGCTGCTCCCCCCGTCAACGACTTCATCGCACAGAGGACGACCGTGCTCCAGCCTCAGCTGCAGGCGCTCGGTGCGGACCCAGACCGCAGCCTGAAGCTCCACACATCGGGGCCGGGACGTCTGGACAAGCTGCACTTCATCGACTGGCCGGGCGCGCAGGAGCCTCTCAAGGCCGACGAGGTCCAGGTAGACGTCAAGTCGGCGGGCCTGAATTTCCGCGACGTCATGGTGGCCATGGGCGAGCTGGTGAACAACATCCTCGGCTACGAGGGCGCTGGCGTTGTCACTCACGTCGGTGCCGAGGTGACGGATGTCAAGGTCGGCGACCGTGTCATCTTTGTCTTCAATGGCGACAACAACTGCCTCCAGACCCGCACGAGGGCACCCCAGGATCTCGTGGCCAAGATCCCGGATGGAATGTCGTTCGAAGAGGCCGCCAGCATTCCCGTCGTGTTCGTGACGGCGTACTTCTGCCTCTACGAGGTGGCGCGTCTCAAAGCGGGCGAGACGATCCTCGTTCACGCCGCGGCGGGCGGCACAGGCCAGGCCGTGATCCAGCTGGCCAAGCACCTGGGCGCCGAGGTCTACGCAACTGTATCCTCGCCCGAGAAGAGAAAGCTCCTGATGGATAACTACGGGCTTGCCGAGGACCACATCTTTAGCAGTCGTGACCTGTCCTTTGCAGACGGCATTATGCGGATGACTGAGAACAAGGGCGTCGACGTGATTGTGAACTCTCTCTCGGGCGAGGCACTACGCGCATCTTTCAACTGTCTCTCTATGTTTGGGCGGTTCATCGAGATTGGCAAACGCGATATCATGGCCAACGGCAAGATCGACATGCTCCCCTTCAGCCGGTGCGCTACATTCACCGCGGTCGACCTTGCGCAGATATCCTCCATGGCGCGCCCGCTGACCTCCCGCATGATGCGCTCTGTCATCGACCTGCATGCCACCGGCAAGCTCCACGTCTGCAGGCCACTCAACGTGCACACCTTTGCCGAGATAGAAGACACCTTCCGCGTCCTACAGCAGGGCAAGCACATAGGCAAGCTCGTCCTTTCCACGCACCCCGAGGACGTTGTCAAGGTCACCCCCAAGCCGCTCCCGCCTACGCGCCTGCGACCCGACGCAACCTACCTGCTGCCCGGCGGCGCGGGCGGTCTCGGGCGGTCCATCGCCAAGTGGATGGCCTTGCCAGCACAGGGCGCCAAGAACCTGGTGTTCCTCTCGCGCGGCGGCGCCGATGCCGCGACGACGCGCGAGCTGCTCGCCGAGCTGGCCGCCATGGGCGTGCGGGCGACGGCGCTAAAGTGCAATGTCGGCGACGAGGCGCAGCTGGTGGCGGCGCTGGCCGAGGTGACGCGCCTGGGCTTCCCCCGGATCGCGGGCGTGATCCAGGGGGCGATGCAGCTGCGCGACTCTGCGTTCGAATTCATGTCGCACGCACAGTGGGAGGAGTGCCTAGGCCCCAAGGTGCAGGGCACGTGGAACCTGCATAAGCACCTGCCCGCCGACATGGACTTCTTCGTGATGCTGGGCAGCGTCGCAGGGCTGGTTGGCAACCGGGGCCAGTCCAATTACGCAGCGGGTAACACGTTCCAGGACGCACTTGCCGTACACCGGCGCGCGCGGGGGCTGGCGGCGACGTGCATCGACCTTTGCAATATCATGAGCGTGGGCTTCGTCGCCGAGAACCAGGAGACGCTCAACAAGAACCCGCTCTTCTTCTTCGCGCACGACGGCATCCGCGAGGACGAGTTCCTCAGCCTGGTCGAGTTCCACCTCGACGCGGGGCGCGCGGGGCGCGCGGGCCAGCCCCAGATCGGCGTCGGCCTGGCGCCGCTGTCCGTGTTCAAGGAGCGCGGGCTGCCCGAGCCCACCTTCATCAAGTCGCCGCTGTTCCGGCAGCTGCGGTCGGCGAGCGACGAGTCGGGCGGCGCGGCGGACGGCAGCGCGGATCAGGACGGCGCCGTGTCAGTGACGAACTCGCTCAAGTTTGCCGAGAGCCTGGAGGCGGCGGCAGACCTGATCTGTGAGGCGCTGGTGAAGAGGCTGAGCCGCACGATGCGGATCCCGGAGCCGGATATCGACGTTGGCAAGCCGATCCACGTCTATGGCGTGGACTCGCTGGTGGCCATGGAGATCAGGAACTATCTTGCTAGTGAATGCGGGTCGGAGATTTCCGTGTTGGAGATCATGGGCAACAAGAGTATGGAGGCTTTGAGTGGTGATATTGCCAAGGCAAGCAAGTTTGTACGTGCGAGTTGCAAGTAAGCCCGAGCAAGGGTAAGGCTCCTGGACAAAGTGCGTGTGGGAGAAAGGAATAAGGCCATTTGGAACAGAACTGTGTATATATGTATTATCGACCTCATTGCAACCAAAGCTGTCTCATCAGGGGTCTCTGCTGCCGGTGGAGCTTCAAGCAATATCTGTGCTACGTGTGAGAATACTGAGATTCGAAACTCTGCCAAACGGACGTTGTGACCTCATGTTTGTTCTCCTTGTCCGTATTCCCCGTGCGTGGGTGACCGTCTCTTGTGAATCAGACTGTAGCGTGACAAAAGGGTATGGGCTCCCAGATCTACGCCCTTGGTGACGTCCCCTGCCTCCTTCTCTTTTCCCCAGAGTGCCTCGTCTTTCTCATACCACAACTCTCAAGCTTGTGGATGACAGTTTCAGAATGAGGGCAACCGGACTCCTCTTGGCAGCAGGCCTAATGGTCACCTTGGCCGTTGGCAAGCCCGTCAAGCAGCGCTCTGCTTTCGCTGTCAAGGACTCTCACCACGTGCCTCGCAGGTGGACTGAGGCCCGCCTCCCTGATGCTGACCACAAGATCGCACTGCGCATCGGTCTGAAGCAAGGTTTTTTCTCAGACCTGGAGCGGCAGCTGTACGAGGTGTCTGATCCCGACCACCAATTCTACGGTCACCATCTCACGGCCCAAGACGTTCACAAGTTGGTCGAGCCCTCCGATGAGACCTTGGACCAGGTTCATGAGTGGCTGGCCGACTATGGCGTAGACAAGTCAAAGCTGGACTACAGCCCGGCCAAGGACTGGATCACTGTCACCCTCCCCGTCGCCGACATCGAGCAGATGCTGAACACCAAGTACTCGATCTACCGTCATGACGATGGCTCGGAGGTTGTGCGTACTCCAAAGTGGTCTCTGCCGCTCCACCTCCACGATCACATCGACACGATCCAGCCGACCAACTCCTGGTTCCGCGCCAGGCCCAAGGCCTTCGCACTCAAGGTCGAGACGCTCGAGGACCCGAAGCCAGCCACGACGCTGTGCAGCAACGGCTCCGTAACTGACGTCTGCGTCTGGGATCACGTCACCCCCACTTGCCTGAGGACACTGTACGGAACCATCGACTACCAGACACGGTCTGCAGACACCAATATCATGGGCCTGGTCAACTACCTCGGCGAGTCCAACAACCGCAACGACACCTTCCAGTTCCTCTCCAAGTATAGACCCGAGGCAAAGTCCGGGGCCTACGACTTCAAGTTCGACTCCATTGCGAACGGCACGACCTCGCAAATCTATACCAACCGATCGATCGAAGACCAGACCAACATCGAGGGCAACCTCGACGTCCAAGCCATGCTGGGGATCGGCTGGCCAACCAGACTCATCGCCTACTCAGTCGGCGGCCGCGCTCCCTCCATCCCAGACGCCGCGACCCCGATCTACAGCAACGAGCCGTACCTCGCCTGGCTGGAGCACCTGCTGTCGCAGCCCGACGACGAGCTGGCCAGGGTGATCAGCACGTCCTACGACGACGACGAGCAGACCGTGCCCCTCTCGTACGCCACGCGCGTCTGCAACGACATGGCGCAGCTCGGCGCCCGCGGCGTGTCGCTGCTCTTCGCCTCGGGCGACGAGGGCGTCGGCTTCAGCGGCTGCTGCAGCTCCAACGACGGGACAGACCGCTCCTCCTTCCTGCCCGAGTTCCCCTCCTCGTGCCCCTTTGTGACCTCCGTCGGCGCCACCATGAACTTCACCCCGGAGGTCGTCGCACAAAAGGAGAGCAAAGGCTACGCGAGCGGCGGCGGCTTCTCGAACTACTTCTCCCGGCCCCTGTACCAGGAGGCCGTTGTCGACGCCTATATCGAGTCCCTAGGTGGCAGGGATGCGGGCTTCTACAACCCAAGCGGCCGCGGGTACCCTGACATCGCAGGCCAGGGGTACTCGTACGTCGAGGTGTGGAACTCGCGCCAAGTACGCGTGTCTGGCACCAGCGCGTCCACGCCCGCCATCTCCGCCATATTTGCGTTGGTCAACGACGCGCTGATCGCTGCTGGCAGGAGCCCGCTTGGGTTCCTCAACCCGTGGCTTTACAAGCGAGGTCACAAGGCCTTCACGGATATCACATCGGGTAGTGCCGTGGGCTGCTCTGAGCTTGGGGACGGCCTCGGATTCCCTGCGAAGGAGGGCTGGGATGCAGTGACTGGCTTTGGAACGCCTAGGTTCAAGGATATCCTCGAGGTCTTGGGTGTTGGCAATGCTACGTTCACGGGCAAGAAGCAGGGCTGGAGTGTGTCACAATGAATATATTGTGCGGGAGTCCTAGGCCTGAATTTAGTTATACAAATTTTGAAGCCCCCAAGAGAAGTCTAATCAAGACCATCTTCTCCTTGTCCGAACTTCTGTCAATGGTACATGAAGAACGCTTAAAAAGTGACGGAAGCTGTTCTACGGCATTTCGTCAATGCGGGCTATATTCCTTCCGTTCTAGGGGAAACAACAGCCGACTCTTCGAGGGACTAGAGTCACAGATCCGCTCCGGCGAGGGTTTGCACCCTGCTCTCGCAGCTCTCCGGACAACCAAGGACCTCGTTGTCTCCTTTCATCCACCGCCTCCTTCTTCCCTAAGTCAAAGTCGTTGTTGTCATCGTCCTTCGTCGCCTGCTCGGCTTCGTTGGTCAACTCATCTCGCAAGAATCCTCCTGCTCCTCTGGCTCCTTCATCTCCTCATCCTCCTTGGCCAGCTCGTCCTTCTCCCCGATCTCAATCTCATTCTCGCCCTCCGCATCCGAAGTTTCGCCAGCCGCCCTCTTCTCCCGGTACGCCCGAGCAAACTCGATCCACCTATCCTGCTTCAGGACTATTGAGTGCCGGATGGCGCACGCGGGCTCACTCCTGCCAAGCCTGGCCTGCAAAGTTCGAAGCTCGTCAGCAAGAGTTCCATTAATCTAGGTTGACAAGTAGTGCAAGGCTGAGACTTACGCCGACCTCCTTATGGGTCATGCCCTGCACCTTCCACTTGATCAACTTCATGATCTCCTCGTCTCCCCACGGGTCATTTCCGTTCGCGGCCTGCGACCCGCTCGACCTCCTCTTCCTTCTGGACCGAGTGGTCTTCACGGAAGGCGACTCTTCCCCTCCGGCCGAGGCTTGCTCTTCTCGAGGTCTGTCGTCAGTATTGGATGCCGGCGCAGTCGGGGGATTGTGATGGATATCATTGGGATCAGCAATATCGTGGGCTTCGGTCTCGTCGGGCTGGGACATGTCGTGGCGGTCTGGGCTAGAGTCAATGGCGCGAGTTTCCGTCTCGATTGAGGCCTCTGAGAGGCGCCTCACCTCTCCGCTCACCAGGGCGGGCTTGAGGTCAATGGAGGCCAGAGTCTGCACGCCGATGTACAGCCACTTGTGGTTGAGCGGATTCCTTCACTGCTGTTAGCAATTGGGGTCGCGTGTCCGGGGCTTGACACCAAAGGACACAACACACTCCAGGTGCTCCAGGTTGTAGACGTCGAGAAATGACATGGCTGCGTCCGAGACAATTTCGATGTTGGCAACGTCATTGTCGGCTGCCAGCGATTTCAGGGGGAGAAGTGCTTCGATCCTCTGCTTGATGATGTCTTTGTGCAGATCCGTCAAGCCCCTGTGCGGTCACATTGTCAGCTCCAGTACCTAGGCATCGAACGCGGTCCAGAAAAAATGTACGTGTGGCAGCTATCATGGTAACGCAAGAGATGCTCAATCGCCTTCTGGGCGATGGATGGGAGCTCGCTAGGGGCGCGGTTAGCATGCTTGTCGCAAGTTCACTGTCGAGTCTGTGGCAGAGCTCACTGGTCCTTCATCGTGGTCTGCTCCTTTATAGCGATGCTGAACTGAGTTCTGAAAGTTGGCGTTAAGCCAGTCGATGCTTCGTGAGGATGCGAAGGTAGGTGTGCCACCTGATGGTTGTTGTTCCTAAATTTGAAGCTGAGGCATACCTGGATAACGTCGGCGGGTCCCCACTTCACTCGATTTGAGCTGTGGTACCAGAATGAAATTGGCACCGCATTCAAGGGAACTAGGGTCAAGAAACGGTTTGTTGCATAGAACTTTTTTGGTCGGCTGGAACCTGTCGCGGTTGCAACTACCAGTGAAAGAAGACACAGGGGCATTCCTTCCCATAATTGTGTTCATAGCTGGGCAAATCGAATCATGCGGTGCTCAACTGCTTGAAGCAAACAGATCCGTTACATTATGAATGTGTGAGAATCGTAAGACACTTGAAGTGCGGTCAATGACTAGCATGAAGCCGAATACAAACAGCTAAGATGCTCCTACACAAGAACAAGTTTACAACCCGAACTCTGGAGTAGCCAGACACACAGGCATGACTATGATGAATGTGCCGGTGAGTTCCAGAATCCTGAACGGCACAGCATGCCCGTACAGTACCGAGGCAGATCTGCATGGCCCACCTCATCGTGCTTGATACACCACTGCAGAGGCTGCTCCCATAGTCTCTCCTGTACTAGCCGTTCAAACGCTCACCAGTTCTCGGACCTTGGTGAAATGCTGTTGTCGTAAAGTCAAGGCGAGGGACCCTCGCTCCCCCCGTCCTCCGTGTCTTTTTCCTCTGGCCGGAGGCTCGCCTCGAACGAAGTCGAATAGTCCCTCCACTCATTCTCATGCATGACCCTTCCGTACTTGTTCTCGACCGAGCTCTGGCCTCTACCGAGTCTCGTCTGGAGAAGTTGGTCAGTGTCGGTTTTGACAGCCCTTGACACATACTGGCAACACTTGGGGGGCTTACGGCGACGTCACGGTGGCGCAGCCCGGAGGCCTTGAGCTCCAACATGCGTTGTATTTCGTCGTGCTCCCATTTAGCCTTCGCGGCCTTGGCGGGGACGGCCGTGGTGGCGCTGCTCAGCGGCGTTGATTGCTGGGGAGAGGAATGGGCCGTGTTGGGGCCCAGAGTTGACGAAAATGCCAGTGGGGAACTCTTGCTCTCTGATGTAGACCTAGAAATATTTGGGAGTGGCTGTTGGGATTTGCGTGAAAGTCGGTCGACCTTTCCATCAAGCAACGCGGCAGGCAGGAGGTCGGGGAGGAGGAGGCTTTGAACGCAGATGTAGAACCATCGCAGGTTGATGCTCGATGATCCGTGAGCATGTCAGAGCTGTGTTCTACATGATCTCGAAATTACGCAATGACACTTTGAGGGACTCACCCTGGAACAGCCTTGTTGTAGGCCTCGGCGACGGTGACTGCGGCGTCGCAAGCAATCTCCAAGTCTGCGACGCTGGTATCCTGTGCTACGGCGCGGAGGGGGTAGAGCTCGTGGATCTCTTGTCTAATCAAGGCTTGGACATCGTCATCGAGTCTATCTCGTGCGCCGCATCATGTCAGCAGTGATCGAGGGCGCATTGGAGTTGGTAGTGTTTACGCTTCTGCACCGACATGGTATCGCAGTGTATGTCGGATTGCTTTGACGGCAATGTCGCACAGGCGCCTGGGAACGTCAGCATCTTGCAAGCTGCGTATCAAAGCAGTGACTGCTGCCGTGGGCTCACTCGATATTCATTCTGCTAGGCAATGTTTGGGGTCAACAGGGTGTTAAGGGCTGAGTGGGCTGTATTGAACCTGAGTGGGTGCTGTTGAGTTTGCAGCGCCGTTTGCAGTCCACGTGGGGGGATTGGGCGTCACGCTGCCATAAATAGGGCATTCAAAAGACGACAGCAGGCACGCGGATTATTGAGGAAGGAGTCATCTGGCAGAGCCATCATCGTGTACATTCACCGAGATGAGACACAAAGACTGTTTCATCACTGAGCAGTGCAGTAAACTAATCGCGAAGGGAATCAGGTTCGTTGTCCATGTAAAATCTCCTCATTCCAGACCAAGTACTGCCTAGAATACGAGACGATGTCCTCACTCCTCGCTTTCACCGTTTTGTTCCAATCTCAACTCCTTTTTCCAAGGTCAAATCCTCATCCACCGCCTTTGTTCCTCCAATCGACCCCGACTCGGACCTCGAAAAGAACCCTGACAACCTGGAACATACAGCAGCCCTGGGGACAAAGGCTGAACAAGGAGCCATTGCGATGGAGGTTTCTCCCTGCGCTTCCCTTCCACCTCGCGTGTCTGTGTGCCGCAAAGTTTCTGACGAGTCGTCTTCGGTGTCGCAAAGCGAAGTATCGGTTCAGCGGGGAGGACAGGTGCACTTCTGACGGATGGCTCCTCCCCAGCGCAAGTTGAAGTCCGAATGGAACCGAGCCCACTGGTTCAGCAGGTGTATTTGCAGTCTGTACAAGTCCAGGATATGCCATCCCTCCGACGGACTGGACCGTCGTTCGAACTGTTGAACCGCGATGGTGGGGACGCTCTCCCAGATCAGATCCGCACCGATGCAGCACTGGCGCTCCACAGCACTGGCACTCGCGTAGGACAGCTCCTCGAGCTTGCCCAAAATGTATGGCGGGGTATTGGGATCGACCCGATACTGGTCCAGAGAGGTGGCGAACAAGTCTGAGAAGAGGCTGGTCTTGAACCAGGCCTTCTTGTCCATGGAGAAAGCGAGCTTCTTGATCGAGTGGACGAACTCGAGTCCTGCAGCCCGGCCGAAAGCCATACATGGCGGTGGTGGCGTCGGGTGAACAGATTTGTAGGCAAAGGTCTCTGCCACCTTGTCGATGAGGAAACGGGTATGCTCGAAGCTGACGGGCAAGAGAACGCGAACGAAGGCCTTGTTGGCTTGGGAATGTTTGTCCGTGATCTTGTGGGCGACGTCGTTGGCCTGGGGGGTTATCTTCTTGACTCTGAAAGTAGTATTTCCGACCCTCCTAATCTTAATAGTCTTCTTGCTCTCGATCGTGCCATACTTCTTCCTGAACGTGGCATTCGTCTTCTTGACGTAGTCCTCGAAGCTCTCGGCTTTTTCCACTTTCTCCTTGGTGGTATTCTCGACATCAAGGGCAACGAGGTAGGTCAGAGGCAGCATGTGATAGTCGCTAGAATTCAAAAAGGCCTCTCGGGAGTCGATGCAGGCCATGAGAAGACCACGGTGGCCAGCGAGCTGGCGGTTGTGCTTAGGCTTGAAGCAGGCAACCAAGCCGTTTCCAGCGCGGCCCTCTGGGGCGGCATTGGCGTCGTACGCAAGGTCGAAGTCAAATTCTTGGACTTTCGGGACAGGCAGGTTCTTGACAACCTGCTTCCAGACCTCGAGTCGCAGCTCAGCTGGCAGCCTGGGGAACAGATGGAAGGCTTGGTCGCCATCAACGCTGGCTGCATGGTCTTGGCCGTCCGCCTGGCGAAGGTGACGATACTGGAGGTTGAAGTCCTCACGAGCTGTGTTGAGGCGTGCCTCGAGGGGAGACTCCATGGTGAATCCTATGGCGAAGTTGAAGTCCTCCTCGGTAACGAGGGGAAAGCCCATGTTTCCGGCCATGGTCTGGTGATAGTCAGCTTCAGATACTGTCACCGTCGACTCCACCGAGGACTCACTAGTTGCTACGACGAATCGCGGGCGGATTGAGGCAGTAAGCTTGAAATAGTTGCTCTTTGCTTGACGCAGTTGCTGAAGGCAATGACGTCTCGGGCCAAGGTGATGTGAGGAGGCTGATGGGAAGGCTGAGAGTGTAGGGTTGCAAGCATGCAGATTCGCAGGCTTCGTGATCGATTTTTTTCTTGTGAAGTGATGAATAATAGATAGGATTAACTTCGAGGTTAGATGAAGTTTCGAAAAGTCTGGAGGTTTGAGAGAAGTGGGTATTTGTGGCTTTCTGGCAACTGAGAGCCGGTCGTTAAGTTATGCAGACGGCGCCATTCACTTGCCAGCAACAATAGAAAGCTACATTCAACTGAATGAGAGACGAATTCACTAATCATAATCATTTGGGGGCTGGGAGCTTTCAATATTTGGGAAAGTGTAAGGAAACAGACTGGCAGGCTACGTGGGCGAGAACGCTTCGTGTCTCCTGGGAGTCCTCCAAGTTGGTAACACAATTGTTCGACTGAATATCATTCAGGCCCTCCTAATTGCACGTGCTTGTTCTGGTGTACGTGAGAGTATCGCTATAATGTAGTGAGCCTCTTGTCGACCACATTGATCGATTTCCCACTCCTCTCGTTGACTGTCAGCTCTTCTGCCTTCACGAATGAGACTTGCAAAGGGTTAACCAGACCGAGCTCGACATGGCCTCTGAACATTGGTCTCGCCTTGCCCAACTCCTCGGCCACTCTCAGTCTAAGCTCCTTCTCTTCAGCTCCAGATGTTGGCTGGAAGGCAATTAGAACTGTTAGTAGGTCTTTGGCATCTTGTCTACCAACCACTGCCTGGATCCCAGAGACATGACGCTCACTGCCCAACGCAGAGGAGACAGCTTCACGAAGATGCGTGAAGTCGATAGAGACTGGACCAAGCCGTATGGCCGTCTGATCCCGTCCCAGGACTCTAAATAGTCCGGTCTCATGGTCAATCCATTCCGCCCTGTCCCCAGAAGGGTACCTGACAACAGGCATTAGTCTCCTCTCCAGATTCGTCACCACGAGACTTCCTGGCGTGCCTGGTTCCGTAGTGACTGTCCCGTCCTCTCTTATTATCTCGACGATCATCCCCGGGCGGTTAAGCTGATGAACTCTTGGGTCTTTAATGCCGTCAGCGACTGAGAACTGCTCCTTCGCCTCTGGATGAGGAGGCAGCCCAATGACTCCGCAATCCATAGTCCCGTATACTAAGCTGCGCAGCTCGGCATTGGGGAACGCCCTCTTTATAGTGCCGACCTGATCGTTGTACAGCGCCTCGCCAGAGAACAACAAGAGCCTCACGCTGTCGGCCACGCTCTTGCCATGCCACCCCACGTCGGCCAGCAGCTCCGCCATCTTGACCATCGTGGTCACGGTGGACAGCACAACGCTCCCCTCGAACTCCAGTATGTGTGTGACCATACTCTCGGTAGTGACGTGCCCCGCTACGGGGAGCTGCACGGCGCCGACGCGCTCGTGGATGGGCAGGTAGAAGACGGAGAGGATGTGGAGCAGGAACGAGCCGTACATGTCCCCCGCGTAGAAGAGGTTGATGACCTTGTCACCCTGGCGCACCCCGCACCGGACCAGGCTTGTTGCCAGGGACTTGGAGACTCCCTCGAGCTCGGCATGGCTGTAGAAGGAGACCTTGGGCTTGGCTGTTGTACCTATTTCAAATCTGATCAGCATCTGCCTTTAAGCGAGTTGCGCCAAACGTACAGTGGCCGTCGGTGATGTAGGAAGATGGGGCTTGTTTACCTCCTGTTTTGAATATTATGCCATCTTGTTGCTTCAACGTAACTACACTGCTGTTCAAGCATGTGTTCGCCTGCCAGTACGCAGCGTGGTCCGTCAAGGGTAAACGCTCTAAGGTGGTCCCTGAAGCTGAAGCAGACGGAACAGTATTCCAGAACTCTTTGTAAAACGGAGAGTTACCCTTCACAAAGTCCAGAAACGTCTCGACCGTTGCCGCCTGCTTGGTGGCAGGTACTTCACTTTTTGGGATTATAGTCATCTTCGTCAGTGTCTTGCGAGGTATTTCTACTACACAGTCGCTTTACCTGCATTCACTTGCTGTTATTATATGCCACAATCATGTGCCTCATCCCTGAGGCGTGGAACGGTCTGGCCCTCTTGCCATCGGCCTTTGGACAGTGCTGCAAGTAATTGACCCGTCGGATGACACACAGTGGTGGTCCTGTGGACCGGACGGTCGTCCTTTCTCGGATCTGTCAGTCCATGTCAAGTCCCATCTTGCGATCGAAATGACACGATTCGGCCACGCCCAAGCTGCCCTGTCCTCACCTTTCAGCTCTGGACCGGGCTGTCACGGACACTGCAGACTGTTCTTTGCGGCACCCTATTCGATATTCGCTTGTCAGAGATTAAGTCTTGGGCTGTCACGAGCACTGGAGACCTCGGTGGAAATTAATACAGAACCATTCGACCTGCGCCTAATATCTACTAGGAAAGACGAGTCTACCCGACAGATTGCGCCTGGAAATAGACTTCCACTATCAGAGTTAATTCTTCTATGTGGCCTATACATTTGCTTTCCGATAGGTAGAGCTGAGACAGTTGGGCTGAAAATACCGAATTAAAGTCTGGTGCCGCCGGGTACGACAGTCTGCTCGCCTCATAATGCCCTATTCGGATTTCAGACCCCGGGGTGAAAGGAAATGCCCGCCATGTTCCCTATCTTTCTCCAAAAGTCAACTACGTACATGGGCAAGATCCCATGGCCATGGATACCTCGTGTCTCAAGCAACAGAATTCGGTCGTGATACGTGACCAGTTCCGAACTCTGTTCTCCACGTCTGGGCCAGGCCTACTCGGTCCCTGTGGTGAGGCAGGGCATGAAGTCCGATTTAGACTCTGACATGCGGTGATGACATCGGGCCCACCGGTCTCTCTCGACTCATTCGTGTTGTTGTGAACCCGTGGTAGCACTCGCCGCACGATCATGCGTCCGGCGCTGCAATGACTCGATGTCACCCAGGTACCGCTTAGCAGGGCCTCCTTGGCTGTTTGGGGTCGTGCTCGATTAGGCAGTTCGCGAGAAACCTTAGTCACCCGAGTTGGGATGAGGGCCGATGGTCGGGGGAGGGTCCTGAAGTACAGAGGGTGTTTCAAGAGGCTGATACTTGGAATGTCCACTCCCCTCCGCAGCCAAGAACGCTGCATAATAGGTGTACCGAGTGCGAGTTCACCTTCGCAGCGCTAATTTGCGTGCACACTTGGGGCAAGTAATAATATTATAACCGTGACGAGTATTGTAGGATCCACAATTGTCGCCAAGGTGAAGAATACATCAGTATTGCGCGCGCACTCTGGGCTGAGGACCAATATTCAGTCGCGCCGAGCCGGGACTTTCGCCTTGCGTTCTCAGCCTTCCTAAAGATTTCGCATTATTGCCCTCAAGCAGTGGGCGATGAAACTTTGACACCTCTCAGCAGCCTGAAAAGCATTTTAATCTCCGGGGAGAAGCGGGCGCGCAGGCAGTAGAGAAACCCTAGTGTACCGATATCTCCTGATACACAGACACATCCTGGGCTTGTAGTACATCCAGCTGCCTACCATCTCCTGGAAAGCGCCAGAGAAGGAAGGCAGAGTGATGCCGTCACTCCTTGGTTCGAAATTCTTCCCCGACGACAGTAATCATCCGAGCAGATGAGATCCCGCCGTAGCTCGGCCTCCTCCGCGACGATGAACGGGAACTCATCGAGCATGCCGACCTCGCCCATGACCCCGCCGAGGTTCCCGCCGAGGGCACGATGGTCAGGCATGTCCGCCGACGGGATATCGATTAACAGCCTGAGGCGCTTCACCACCTTCGTGGAGCGGTCATTCAGCCTCGAGGATGAAAAGGCGGACTGGGGCAAGGAATGGCGGGAGATCCTGGCGGCCAACGCGGCGTCGCAGCGGGCGAGCGAAGCACGATGGCGGTCGCAGTCGCAGGAAGGGCTATGGTCGCCGTCACAATCAGAACCTCCACGATTCGCCGAGAAGTCGGAGAAGAGGCCGGAGGATTTCATCGTCGACTGGGACTCGGACTTAGACCCAGAGAATCCCGCCAACTGGTCGTGGACCAAGATTTGGATACACATGGGCCTCGTCAGTGGGATCCTCTTCATCGGGTGAGTGTGGCCCACCTCCCTTACTTCCTTGCCTACCAAGAGTCCCAAGACCCGCCCAGCAACGGGAGGAATTACCTACAGTGGGACTAAGAAAGCTTGAACCTCTCGCGTGACAGGTCGCTTGCGACGGCGATATTCTCGCCAGGGGTGCCGGAGCTCCTAAGCGAGTTCCACAACACGAGCAAGCTGCTCGGGGTCATGGCCGTCTCCATCTACGCGCTGGGGTGGGGGGTCGCTCCACTGTAAGTTCTTCTAACGGAGGGAAGAGATACCGGGGCAAACAGGAGAGAGATTATAGGAAAGGGAATACTGACGCGAGAGTGAATCAAAGCGTCCTCGGCCCGCTCTCAGAGGTCTTCGGCCGCCTCGGCGTCTACCACGCCACCAACATCGTCTTCGCCATCTCGACCCTGGCCTCGGCAAGGTCCCCGAACCTGATGGCGTTTATTATCCTCCGCTTCGTCGCGGGCTGTGCCGCCTCGGCCCCAAACAGCGTCGGCGCCGGCACCATGGCTGATATCGTGCCGCTGCAGTTCCGCGGTAAGGTCATGTCCGTGGCCGTCGTCGCACCTCTCCTGGGACTCGCCGTCGGTCCCATGATTGGCGGGCCCCTGGTCGATGCATACGGATGGAGGTCAACAGTTTACTTCACTGCTGCTGCTGTGGGTGTCCTTCCCTAAACCCTTGTGTTCTCACACCTGGATTATTTGTGAGAATGCTGGCTGACTCGGGTTGAATGAACCCAGGGAGGGATCCTCACCGTTGCCTCTCTGCTCCTGCTGCGGGAGACAAACCCAAAGGTCATCCTGGGGCGCATAGCACATGACATGCGCAAGATAACCAAAGACAAGAGGTACATCTCCAAACTTGCAGATGCGAACACAGTGCCTCTTTACAAAATGGTAGCGCGGGCGCTGCGCAGGCCACTGTTGCTGCTTTTCACCAACCCAGTCGTCTCCTTGCTGTCGATGTACCTAGCAATGGTCTCAGGATACATCGTGAGTAGCCACCACCACCTCATGAAGTCCCCACACACAAAAGCACATCTAACAACACAACCCCCGTCAAAGTTTATATTCCTAGCAACCCTCCCAACCGTCTTCAAGGAGAAGTACGCCTTCTCCACCAGCGCGGTGGGGCTGGTCTACACAGGCCTCATGGCCGGCTTCGCAGCCGGCGTCGCCCTCAGCGCGACCGTCATGGACAACGTTGCCATGCGGCTGTCCGACAAGAGCGGCCACAGGCCCGAGAACCGCCTCGTGCCCATCGTCTACGCGAGCCCGCTCATCCCGGCGGGGCTGCTGCTCTATGGCTGGTCCCTGCAGGCCGGGCTGCACTTCGCCGTGCCCATCGTGGGCAGTGCACTCGTCGGTGCCGGCATGGTGCTCACGCTGGTATGTTCTTCCCCACTGCGATGTTCCCTGCTGCTTCCTCCTACCCAGGACCTTTCCCTTCCCCTCCCCCCCCCCCCGCCTTTCAGCTGCTGTTGTTTGGATGAAGGTGGGGTCATTAGGCGAACGAAGGCTGACTCGGTGTGCGCGCCCCGCTGCTAGCTACCTCTCAACACCTACCTCGTGGACGCCTTCACGGCCGTCGCCTCGTCCGCCATCGCCGCGTCGACGCTGCTGCGCTATGTCCTGGGTGCTTTCCTGCCGCTCGTCGGCACCTCGCTCAATGATAGCCTGGGGCTGGGCTTGGCGAACACGCTGCTGGCCGGTATATCATGTGTGCTTATCCCTGCTCCTTTGCTCTTCATCAGGTATGGTGAAAGGCTGCGGAATAAATTTGAGCGGGAATTGTGATTTTTAAGCCGCTGAGGTTATATTCAATCTTCTATAGTTACTGTGAAACAATTTGAACAAGATTTATGATTTTGCTCGTCTACGCAAAATCCGACTACTGCGCGAGTATTTGAAGATGTGACGTGTAGATTTTATAGGCAGCTGGTCGACGCAAAGCTTCACATTGACAATGGTGAGGAGTAGCTGTGTGGTGCGTAGGAGTAAGAGATTTGGCATAGTTTGGTATCAACTAGTCTAGTCTTCTTTTCTCTATGGTCTAAAAGCAGCCCGTCTATAATCTAGCATAAAAGCCGAGGTGTGCCCGGCCTCTGATCTATGACCCGCAGCCACTGCGGGTCGGATCTGTCTATCCCATGGTCTGTAGTCTCTGGAGAATATCGAGTCTAGAACACAAAGAAACTCGAGTCGAAATGTCCCAAAATGAGATCTAACCCAACCATCTAGTAACAGAAGAAAAATTTCTAATTCTCCTTGAGGTTGGCCCACCTCATCGCACCGGGCTCGTTGGGGTCCTGCTCGACGTATTTGCAGGTGGTGAAGACGGACCACAGCTGGCCGAGGAACGAGCGGTCGTCGCGGTGGTACAGCTTGCCGAGCTTGGGCCTGATGGCCTCGGTGGCCTCTTCGGCCTTGTAGAAGGGGATGCGACTGTGGTTTCGTGTTAGTGCCAGATTCATCGACAGGCGCGGCGGGCAGTTGAACTTACGGGAAAAGGTGGTGGACAACATGGTCGGAGATGATGTTGTGGAACAGGTGTCGGCCAACCCAGCCAAAGTCACGGTCGATGGTGGCAAGCGCGCCCTTGACGTAGGACCAAGATTCGGCCTCGTAGTGGTGCACCTCGGGGTGGTTGTGGTGGAGGTAGGTGATAGCCACGAGCCAGTGGTGGACCCACATGTAAGGCACGATGTAGAGGAGAGCAATCGTCTGCCACCCGTAGATGGTGGAGCCGTAGTATAAGGCGCCTGAGGTCAGGGCCAGGCCGAGGTCGGAGAGAGCAATGAAGACAGCCTCGTTGGGCCTGAACACGGCAGAGGTGGGCTCGAAGTGGCTAACACGGAACCAACTGGCTCCCTCGCGCTGCAAGCTGCCCTTGCCGGCGGAGGCGTTGGTCAGGAGGTATGTCTGCCATCCGACCAGCTGGTGGAAGAACAGCTTGACTGCCTGGACGATGGGGGTGTCCTCGAAGAGATCGGCGTCCATGTACAGGTTGGCGAGGCGCTTGCGCGATCGGTCGGCGACTGTCTGGGGCACGAAGGCCATGTCCTTCTCCATGTGGCCGGTGAAGCGGTGGTGGCGGTGGTGGCTGAACTTCCAGCTGAAGTAGGGGACGAGGAGCGAGGAGTGCATGGCCCAGCCCATGATGTCGTTGAACTTGGAGTGGACAGAGAAGGCGCCGTGGCCGCACTCGTGGCCCAGGATCCAGATACCGACACCAATGAGGCCCTGGATGTAGCCATAGGCGATCCAGGCGGCGGAGCGCCAGAGCGAGTTCTCGATCTGAGGGATGTGGGTCAGAGCCGCCCAGCCCAGGGTAAGGGCCATGGCATAGTCGCGGACGACATAGCTCATGGAGCGGGCGACCGTGGGCTGGAAGCAGTGCTCTGGGATCCAACTCTTGATGGTCTTGACATCGGGGAATTCCTGCCCCTTAGTCTCGGCCTCGAGCTTGATCGGAGCGGAGGGAGCAGCCTGGGAAGCATGGTGTCAGTGTTGGTCGAGCTGGCTGTGATGAGGGATTTCCTGTGCGACCAGCGCTGCGCGCGCAATGTTGAAAGGTGCAGTGCGCCCCTCAGTGATTATGGGCAGGGGGAAGAGGCTCACCTGCTGCTTCGCCGCCCTGCTCCTCGTCTGGACCGTGGTGGTTGCGGTAGCCATGATTATGACTTCAGGCCCAGTTTGTCCCCTGTCTCTCTCTCACTGTCTGTCTACTAGACCTCGATGTGGTGTTCCCAAGGCAAGCAGACTCTGACTCTGGACTCTTCCTGGCTGTGAAGGGTGAGAGGAGGATTGTTGCGCAGGCAAGAGAGACAGAATAGTAACTCGTCTCGTCTCAAGAATGAAGGGTCTCAGGGTCTGGTTTGGGGACCAGGGAAGTTTTTTTTCTAGGTTTGGGATCTGGACACGATATCAACAGTTTTTCACCCCCGACCGCTCGAGCGATATCAACAAGTGAGACCCCTGCTGGTGGGTTTGGGACTTGGGACTGGATTGCTTGGACCCCATGGACCCCAAGGACCCTTAGAGGACCCTGAGCCGAACTGAGGATCCCCGTCCCCCGTCCAGGCGTCCGGTCCCCTGAAGAGCGAGATGGATCGAGGAGCAGCCCAGTCCGTGAATGGCCCCGGCTCGGCCCAGTGGTCTCGGCCCCATCCTGGCGGTGAAAGGCGATGGACGACGCATAGACGCTCGCGTGGGTGGATGGACAGATGGGTTACTCGCCAGCAGCGCAGACAGCACGCTGGCGCGCTGGGCACAGGCTGACTCCATCAATCTCCTTTCCTCGCATTCATCCCGTCTCCCCCCTGAGAAGAAGGAGAAGGAAAAACTCTGGAACGCTTCTAGACAGATTGCAGTCTAGATCAACCATTCGGCTACGTCCCATGCAGCTAGACTCGTGCAGGTCCGTGGCCTTGGATTGGAGCTTGGCAGGCTGATCAGGGGGCCAAGACGCCAGGGACGCCCAAAGGGGGTTTTCACATGCAAAACTCTGCCAAGCAGGATTCTTTGTCAGTCTGACTGCGTGGGTAGCTTGAGCACGGAGCGAGCGTGTGGTGGGAACTTGGCACTGGCACTGGTGGGCCGGGGAGAGGGGCGGCGGGAGTTGGCAGTTGGGCAGGCAGGCAGGCTGGCAAGGGCTTCCAATTCAGGGTCCCAAGCTCAGCCCAGCTATTTTTGTGGACCGCTATGCTGGCTATGAGCCCGTGTGGAGGGGGCATCCCTGGCCTGAACTGGAAGCGGCTCGGGGCCCCCACGGGCGAGCAGCCTCACAGCCAACCAGGGGGGTTGCTTTGAGGACAGAGACTGCTCTCCTCAAGGGAAGGAGGCGGGGATAGAGGAAAACCGTTGGGGCCAGTTGCTGGCGTGCGGGAGGGGCAGGCACTTGGCACAAGCAGATGCAATCGTGGACAACAAACACCACAATGCATGTAGTGTACAATTCTGTGGTGGGAGGCGGAGAGAGACAGAGTGAGTGAAAGTTAGGCAAAGAGAGAGGGAATTAAAAAGGAGGCCAATGGTGGTGCACTGTAGTACCAGAGTACTACCTGTTCCTAGACTACTGCAGCATTGCAACGGTGCTCCCATCCTCAAACGGTTAGTCAACCGGCCTCGCACGTGCTATGGCATGCAAGTGACACTCCTTCCTGCCGGCCCAACATGCTCACAGCCCGGACCTTCCAACCTTGATGAAAACTCTCACACTGCCTTGAAGTTACAGCTTGCTCTCCCTCCCACCTGCCGAGAAAGACTCGAGTACCCACTTTCTAGTGCGAGGGTTACTACCAGGGTTACCAACTGCCGGACCACCCTGCCCCCCTTTTGAAACGCCCCTTTCGAAACGCGCCATTGCCACGACCAAAAGATACAGTGGGCTCACCCCAACTTCGCCCGGCGTGGTCACAGTTCAAAGGGGATAATGGTAGCGTCATCAACTTAGCACTGGGCGAGGCTAATGCCGCCTAAATAGCCTGCCCAGGAGGTAAGAGGCCTTGGCGACTGACGCACCATACACACACAGCATGCGCACGACATGTGAAATGCAGGCTCTGCGCTTAGCTCGCCTCCAATGTTGCATTGCAACCCAAACACCGTGATCACGTGCGTCAACAGCATGTCGACAGACTGCCGCCGCCAGTCTCCTGCTCATAGGGTCAGGGGAAGGAGAGAGGTCCAGAAATGTATCAGACCCCTCCAAAAAAGATCGTCGCTAATAGTGATCTTCTTCCCCTAATCTTGATCATAATCTGCACACTTGCTGCACATTGCATATGCCTCGCCCAAGCGTTAGATCTCTCGCTCGCTCGGTCCGCTCAGACCCACTTCCTCGAGACTCGAGGGGTCTGGCCTCTTGATTCCACAGCTCTGCCTACGGCCCTCCGGCGGTGAGAAACTTCGACTTTTAGTCTTGCTTATTACTACCTGCAGAAGTGTGCAGGTACTGCACGAGGGGTTGAAAAGTCTTTTTCTCCTCGGCACAGTTGGCCCCGTCTTGGAAAGATTGGCGGTTCTGGCTGCCTGCGCGTCGCAGGTCTACCAGCACTCACTCCCAAAACGAGTCAGCGTATCTACTGCCCAGGGGCGGCCAAGTTGACGCCTTCACGCGTGCTGAACCGGCCGGCAAAACATACGATATGCCACCTCGTAAGTGGCCGGTCTGTACGAGTATTCGGTGCCTGATTAAGGGACCATGAGACAGAAATAGGGATAGAGAATTCCTGTTGGTCGACGGTTAAAGGCCGCACGGGCGGGTCCCCTAGTCAAAACTTAAATAGACTCGTCGGTCTCTCTATTGGGCAGCGAAGCGATCGCATGGTATACCAAACTATCTTTCTACAGTGTCCTGACATGTTTCAAAGGGCCCTGGCCTCAGCCTCTCCTAGACACGGCCTTTCGCTGAGGGAGTTCCCAAGCCGTCGGGTTTATGGCACACTTGTGTTCATCACTCGTCGGGCCCAGATGCCAATAGCCCAATACGACAGTCAACTGGTCATTCTTTCTGTTAGTCAATGCAGTCCCTCTCGGCAAAAGCTGAGAAAGTGAACTTTCAGACAGTCAGCTCGAAGTCAAGACCGGGCCCTGGATATCATTCAGCACCGGATATCATGCCTGAAATCTTACTTTGCTCATCGCTGCCCTGGCATGCTGCTAACATGCGAAAGGTAAGCGCGCGTACAGAGTGTGAGAGCCATGTGTCGATGCAAGTTCTCGAAGCCAATCTCTGCCTAAGTTGTGTTCGCCCGCAGCTATCGCTGATATTCCCCACAACCGAGCGGGTGCGGGCAGTCTCCATGTGGCCGGATATGCTCCATTGTCGATTTACATGGTACAGCATTAAGGTTTACGAGTATCCCCACGAGCTGACTCCGGGGTTCTAGATCGAGCATAGTTGGGCCCACAGCCGCGGAAGTGTTACGCTAAACATACCAAACCCCTCCTCCTCCTCCTCCTCCTCCTCCTCCTCCTCCTCCCGCAGATAAACCTTATTTTGTTAAGCTTCGCCTGGAGACCAGGCTATGGGCAGGACAGAACAATCACGATAGTAATTATCATAAAGAGGCCCACACACTCATGACCATATCCCGTCTCATCGTTCGATGACGACAGGGAGCCTGAGTCTATCGCAGCATCTTCCCCTCACTTTGCTAGGCGGTAAAGCCCCCCGGAACCGAGGAAGATGGCGAAATTGTTCTCAGCCTGACAATTCTATTAGGCCTCGGCCATTGTGATAGCCTGGTTTTAAAGTAGACTTTGTTACTACGTAGGCTCACTCGGGTACAAGCCGGGTTTGTCTCGTTCTGGTCGTGTTAAGCATTGTGTTTTGAGTGAAACAATGTCCCACGTTGTGAAAACACTTTTTGAGGTCCAGAATGATCGGTTCGCGGACCCGATCTGTCACCCAAGCGAGCATTGCCTGAATCAGGCCCCTGGGCGATGCGAGTGGGCTTGATACCACGATCATGCCGTGTCCTTGCCGCTTCAATCTCCGAATTATGCCGCATGATATCTTCTCTGCCAGTGAGCCCCAGCCGCGCTACCCATGCCCATCTAGGCTGAGCCCTTGGCCGGGAAGCTGAGACGAACCGGACCTCGTCGTTCTTGCGGGAAGATGGGACGTGATAGTTGAGCTCCTATAGTATATAAATAATGGTACTTCCCAGTGGTGACGATAGGAGCTGTATAGTGTACTTTATTTGCAGCTCAAAGCCTCTGTTACGCACTCGACTTGCTCAGCTTAGAGGTCCCAGAGACAACTACACTGGTTCGAGTCCCCTTATCCTACCATTATATCTCCAATCAGACACGAGCAAAGGACTGCCACGCTTCAAGCTGGCTGTGTTTCGTGATTCTGTTCCCAAGTGACAGGAGCCTGGAACAACCTGACTACAAGCCTGTCGATACAAAATGGCGGCCGCCACTCTGATACTAGCAGCGGCAGTGCTAGTTGTACTTTCACTGCTTGTCAAATCGGTGTTAAGCACTCTAAGAGCTATTCGCTCGCCGCTGCGTGATATACCAGGGCCATGGTACGCCCCGCTGACCACGATACACCTCAAATGGGGCTTCTCAACGGGAGAGATCTGGAAGACCGTGGAGGAAGCCCACTCCAATTATGGTTCTATCGTTCGTCTCGGCCCGCGCCAGATCTGGGTGTCAGACAAAGACGCCCTCAAGCAGATCTTGGTCAAGGTGGACCTGCCCAAGGTTGCCATGTATTCTGAAATCTCTCGAGACAAGCTCAGTCCTGGTCTCTTTGGGGAGATGTAAGTGTCACGGGCCTCTGATCTGACAGCTCTCGAGATACTTCCAGACTAACCAAAGCTTTTCGGGACAGCCGGTACGAGCCTCACAAGAAACTGAAGCGCTTCCTGTCACCAGCCTTCACTGTCAACTACATCGACAACCTGGAGTCTTTCTTCCAACACACCGTTCGAGCACTGCTGTCCAAGTACCAGAATACAATCGACCGCGATCTCCAACTTGCCAAACATACCGGCTTCCAGGTGGATCTGATGGAAGACCTCCACAACGTAGCTCTCGACATGTGAGTACCAGCAAGCCGGATTACATCAACACGTAACTGACGCACGGTGATTTGCAGCATGGGAGAATGCTCCTTCGGCAAGGGCTTCGGGCAGACAAACCCAGACCAGACCGAGGTGGAGAACGGCGTGGACGAGCAGGTATGGAAGTCGATCCCGCGCTCCATCTTCGATGGGCTCGCGAAGCGGTACCGGACCGTCTACGTCAAGAAGTTCTTCCGGAAGCTCGGGTGGGACATCAAGTTCGACTGGCCGGCCGAGATGATCACCGCCATCGACGCGGTCGTCCGCCGCCGCAGCGCCAAGGCCGGCAAGGAGGGCGCCGACGTGGAGCGCCAGGACCTGCTGCAGCACATGATCGACGAGGGCCGCAAGCCCGACACGGGCACGGTCATGACAAGCCGCGACATCATCGACCAGATGGCCGAGGTGCTGCTCGCCGGGTCCGAGACCACCAGCGGCACCGTCGCGTGCCTGTTCCTCGAGCTGGCGCGCACCCCGGATGTGCGGGCGAAGCTGCTGGCCAGCCTGCCTCCTCGCGCTGTCATGGACGAGGACATCATCACGTCCAAGACGGTGCGGACGGACCCGCGGTACGAGTATCTCGAGGCGTGCATCAAGGAGAACTTGAGGATGCACCCTATCGCATCCGAGATGGGCCGTCGGACGGGCGGTGAGTGGGTTGAGATCATGGGCTACAGGCTTCCGCCTCACACCGTCGTCAGCGCCAGTTACAGGGCTCTGCACTTGAATGAGGAGCACTGGCCCCAGGCGCAGCGGTTCTGGCCCGAGCGGTGGTTGCCAGAGGGCAAGAGAGAGGGCGCACCAGCTCCCGAGTAAGTCAAATGCTTACACTACGTGTACATGTTCCATCTTGCTGACCATTGTTCCATAGTATGGATGCGTACTATCCCTTCTCCGGCGGGAAGCACTCCTGCATAGGCATCAAGTGAGTGAACAAAACAAAACAAAAGTCCCAGCCCCATGTCCTGATCTCTTCGCTGACCGCGTTGCCTCGTAATTAGCTTCGCCTGGGCCGAGATGCGCATGGTGGCCGCCAACATCTTCAGCCGCTTCGATGCCATCGAGGTGCCTGGTCAGGACATTGACTTCAGGCAGTACATCACAATGCAGTTTGCCAGTGGCCACTGGCAGGTCAAACTCAAGCCAAGGCAGTTGAAGTTTTGATTTTCACATCGCCGCATACTCTGCTTTTCACCGGCCGTTTACTTTCAATAGTGTCCGGCGTCTGGAGCTTACTTGCGTAGAATCATTACGCATAGACCATCTTCATCTAGAATCCACTCACGGATACATGTAGCCATTGGCTCGGCCTATTATGAACACGAGGGGACTTTCATTTTGATTATTAGGTGGGATGAGGTATGATCGGCACCATGCAAATTACAAACTTGGACAGACCTCGGGATACTGGTTCGAACCACTTAGATTTACAAACAAGAAATCCCATGCTGCTCAACAGGATTTTCATGTGTGGTACTCTCGAAGCTTTGTGTGAGCGAATCTCTGTGTGCTTTCATGGTCGGATTACTGATAGTGTGACAAAGATGTACATGTGCACATCCCGCCTTGGTGAAAGGACATAAAAAGAGGGCGAGTCAGATGACGATACTAGTAGTGCTCCTTGCTCAACAATGTTCTAGACTCCGTTCTGCTCCAACAATAAGCATTGTCTTCGACTCGAGGTAGGGTTTCATAGATAAGTACATTCGGTCCAGTCATTCATCAGTTTCAGGACTTGTTTCATTTTACCAAAAGCACTGCACGGAGCGGCCTTCCCGCTTTCAGAAATTTACCAAGCCAGGTTTCCTAGCGTATACAACGCATTCCATAGTCTCAACCGAGCCAGAAACATGGCACGACCATCCAGAAGGGGTCCTGAGGCTCTCGAGGGCCCCTTTGACCCTTTCACGGGTGAGCACACGAGCCAACGGCCCTTCGAATTTCCCGCCCCTCCCGCACTTCGGCTGTGCCAGCCACAGGAGCTCGCCAGGCTGAAGGTACCCAACGACGTTCCCGTTCAGGTGCTGGAGGGGATGCGCAACAGAAGAGGCCACAAAAGGTATGTCAACTACCCAACGAGGCTGTTCCACCTCAGACCGCAGTCTAACCTCAGGATGACTGACGACTTGGACTGGGAGAAGGCTTTCCTCTGGCAGAAGGTCTCCAACCCCCATTGCGATGCCAGCTGGATCCAGGAGTTCCCCTGCCCAGCGCTGGACCTTCCCTTGGAAGACTTCCCGGGGGAAATCCTCAGGCGGGGTCTGGCAATGGGGGCAAGTAAGAGAACCGTTCGTGAGTCGCTCGATTTTGCCGCAGCCGTCCTCAACGCAGCTGGCAGAGACCCATCGGAGCCCGCCCCAGTCTCGGAGGTGCCATGGCGGAACATCAAGGTTATGGCGCTAAATATCATCAGAAGACTCGAGAGGAAAAACAACAGTGAGGCTGCCGTCATGGCCGCCAGGGTCAGAGAGCACCAGAAAGCCAGAGATGACTACCGGTCCTTCTTCCGGTTCCGGGACTCGGACCGCAAGCCCTTCGGCATGGGGTTCCGAGGCACGCGGGACGTCCTGCTGCTCGACGACGAGTACCTGACCGACTTCCTCAGCCGCGCCGGCCAGCGCGGCCCGCTCGGACAGCGCAAAAGGTCCGACGTGAAGCTTGTCTCTTTCCTGAACAGCCTTGACGCGGCAAAGGTGACCACGGTCGCGGTGTCGGCGAGGGCTTTCGGGCAAAGGAAGACCAGAAGGTACCTCTGCTACGCCGTCGTGAGGACCTTCCCCAACCTCCAGCGGCTGCTGCTCACCTCGATCGGCACCACCGACCTGGACCGCGAGCGCCCGTCGTCGACCGCGTCCCAGTACGCCCGGTTCGTCGAGATCCAGGACTTCGCCGACCGTGAGGTCCGCGAGAACGGCGGCAGCAGCTTTGTGGCCCAGCCCCGCGAGGACGCCGCCGCCCACTTCGACGTTGCCAACATGTCCTCGGAGCTTATCGAGGCCACGGGCGCCTACGCGGACGGCAGGGGCAGGGTGCTGGATGGCGATCCCGCGCGGACGCCCCTGGTCGCCTACGGCGTCGCAGCAGGCCTCCTGCACGACCCGGCGGCGCAAGCCCGGGACGACAACAAGTTCGAACCGCCCCTCGTGGATGACGTGCAGTTTTACTTATCTGCCGCGTTCCAGGTCTTCATGCGCCGGAGGGAAGCCGCGGCGCAGGCGACGCGAGCGGAAACACTATCCAAGCTCAACGGCCGTGGAACGATGCTGCCTCGGCCGGTGCGCGGCCCTCCCGGGTCCGCGCAGCCCGTCGCCAGGCTGTACCGCCGTACAGAGGTCATCCCCGAGGGCTTTTTGGAGTGGGTCGTGGAGCACCAGGCCAAGCTCCGCAGGCGCGCGGCATGGGACGAGGATGCTTCGGAGACGGATCCCGAGTCGGAGGCGTCGCTGCCGGCGGCCGAGGTCGGGCCTGTGGACAGGGAGTATGCGCGGGTTGAGCCGTTTTTGCTGGTTTACAACCGAGATTCCTTTGATAGGAACGTGCAGAGTGGGTGGGCGGGATTCGGCCCTGGCGTTGATATGTCTCACTTTGGTAGGGCACAATGAAAGCACTTGAGGAACAGGCAAGTGAGGTAAGTGTGTCGTTTCTGCAAACTCGGTCAATTTCGGTAAGTCTGTTTAGACACTATGAATACAAATATGATTTTAAAGAAAAAACGTCACTTCCCTTCCCAATGGCAGTAATGAGGTGGCCAAAGATATTGTCAAAACACGTCCTCTCCGTCCTCATGGCGTTAGGGTGAAGCATGAACTATTTGGCTGCTAGCATGTCTTCCATGTGTATAGGACCGTAATTGAAGATTATGTCATGGCTTTTGGGCTGGTTCAAGAAGCTGCAAGGCTGATCGACGCTGCTATCTGTGGACCTTAAGCATGCCGTCTTACCTCGTTGCGAAGCGTGTAGTTAGCCTTGAGGGCGTTTGCTTGGACTGAGTCTCACGCTCGCACTGGCCTTCTATGGACCTAATCCCCGGCTCTGTACACTTTACGTTCAAGTTTTTGTTTTTCTTTTCTTCTTATTACAAAGGATATATATACCCTCAAACGAGAAAAAGTACATCAGCCGACTCACAGTAGCTTGGCAGGATCTTTTTTCCGTGAGACTGGTTTCGCGACCAAGGCGAGTTCGGGCGTTGATAAAGGCGGCGGGATCCAACAACTTCGAAGCCGTTGAATCACTCTTTCGGAAGGGCGTCGACCCACACGCATTCAGCACTACGGAAAGCGGGAGCTACAGTATTCAGGCTCTTGCAATTAGCGCTCCCTACAGCACACGGAAAGGCGGGTGCAGTGTGGAGATGATGCAACTTTTGGACAGCTATGGCGCAAGATTAGTTGTCACCCCTAAGGATTCAGCGCCTGTTGAGTTCGTAAACCGCCTTCTTCGCAAAGGCATATGCGTTACATTGGCCAAGATGAAATATGTTCTCGGCACATTGATGGAAGGCAACACCTCGCTTACTCTCCCAGCTGACCTCCTGGAATCATGTTTCGCATGGCACTGGTCGGCAGACCTCGGTGATGTTAGGGAGCAGAGACAAGAGAGACTGAGAATATACGAATACCTGTACAAGCAAGGAGCAGAGTTGAGCCCAGGTCCCCATCTTGCAGCCCTTGTCAATGCAGGTGGGCGGGAGGAACTCGTGCGACAGGTTCTGGCTTCGGGATCCGACATCAACGCGTATTCTTTTGATAATTACGCCTCATATACACCTCTCCAGGCTGCGGCAAAGCGTGGGAATGAAACCCTTGTCTGCCTCTTTCTGCAGCAAGGGGCCGACGTCAACAGTCCTGCACGCGGCTTAAACGGCCGCACCGCGCTACAAGGCCTCTGTTTGTGGGATCCAGCTACCGAGGAGGAGCATCAACGCAAAATTCGAATCTGCCGTCTCCTGATCGATCAAGGCGCAGACGTCAATGCCGCGCCTGCTAAACGCGGGTTGACGGCTTTAGCAGCGGCAGCAACCAAGGGAGATCTGGAGCTAGCTGTGCTTTTACTCCGCGAGGCCGCCGACATCAATGCACCATCGTGCTGGTTGGGCGGCACAGATACGGCCTTAGACATCGTTGCTCACTATGGACGTTTGGACATGGTTAAGTTCCTCCTCAAAGCTAATGCTTTGAGTGGTGATCGTGGTGTAAATGGCTATAAGGGCGCCATTTCGAAGGCTGAATCTTGGGGCCATTTAGCTGTCGCAGGTTTGATTTGCGAACATGCGGCAAAAGTCACGGAAGGGGCTGTGTTCAACCCTGAACTTTGGAAACCGCCAAAAGACTACCGAATGTGTGAGTTCGGCACAGACGAGGAATCCTGATGGGCGACAGATCTCCTTTAAATCGTGACGCTGCAGACATGGGCCATCTGGACCAACAAACATTGACTCAAGCCCAGGAATGTGACACAGACGGACTTGGGAGAGCAAGCCGTTACAGGAGGTGGCGCCATGAGCCACCCAAATCCGGGATTCGTGCTGCCTGGGAAGTATTGGCCAACGGGCCTGGAGGGCGAGCACATACGACCTATCAACACTGCGGGCCCAATTGAATCACGGACGGGAGAAAGTCCTTCGGATTACTGAAGGATTCAACACTATAAGCCATTCAGACGCCGGTTTGTTTGTTCCTGAGGAGGATTAGCAAACGGAATGGAAACCCGGGCATGCCGTTGCCGACCTCCCTGGCATTGTTGACAGGGCTCCTGTGACGGCGCAGCGGGGAGGGACCGGTCTGGAAGGCAGAGCAATTCAACCTTACAATCCGCATTAAAGCTTCTTTTGACTGTTTTTTCCATCGTAGACCATTGTATAAGATTTCCGTCATCTGCTGGAAACTCCATGCTAGAAAAACAGACTACCCTGCTGCTCAGGTAAGGACTAACCAAGCACCAACGCTCCTCAAGAGATATGATCATCTTACCACAGCTGTACACCTCTGGTAAACTAAGCCATATAATTAAGAAACAATTAAGCTTGTTTATCATAGAGCCATTGAGTCTTTAATAAACTATATAATATCTTAATAATTCAATTTTCTTTTAGCTGTGTGATAGGATTGAACACCAACACCATGGCTTTAAAAAGCTTGCAGTCCACACCAGTCTTAAGCATATGACGTTAACTGTGGGAATAATGGGTGTTGTTTGTATGGAGGACTGTTTGGGACTAGGCAGCTTTGGCCCGTTAGGATGCCTAGCAGGCAGCAGCCCTAGCGCTGCATATAAAATAGCTAGCATAATTAGGCCTTTTGCCTTCTTTTCTTTTATAATTAATAATAATTAATTATTATATTAACTAAACGTTATATTATAATATATAACTTAGCTAATATTAATTAATAGTTATAAGGGTAATTATAAATTAATAAAGCTTAAAAAGATAACCTTTTAATTATATTAATTAATATTATTAATATTATAAATTTATATAGCATAATTTATAATGATAATAATATTTAATATATAAAGAAGTAATTATTATAATAAGAAACTATAGTAAACTTCCCTACCCTTAATATATGCATATTTATTATGCTTTAAATAACCTTAATAATAACTTTTAAATTTAATGGCTATAATTAAAAGAACTAAATTAATATTTATTTTTATTAATAATATATTTATTTATATCTTATTATATAAATAAATATAAAGAAAGGAATTAATTTACCTTTTAATAGCTAAGTTATAAAAGTTATTCTTAACTTTTTTATTTTCCCTTAATATTACTTATTTCCCCTTTTTACTACTTTCTTTTTTAAATTAAATATATTTTTATTATTACTTTATTAAAATAATAAGAAATAATAATAATATAATAAATATAATAAGCAATATTATTAATTAAAATGGTTTATTAATATTAATTATAATGAATTATATTCCTATACTTAAAAGCATTATTAAAATACTTAATCCTTTAATATAAATAAATTTCCTAAGATTTCTTAATAATAAATAATACTTAAATATTTATATTTAGGGCTAAATTTAAGCTATAATATATATATTAAGTAATAAGGCATATAAAGCATTTATTAAAGACTTTTATAGTTAAATTAAGCTAATATTTATATAAGTTAATAAAAACTTACTATATATTATTAAGAAGATTTTTTAAGTTAAGGGCATTTATACTTAAAGAGTAAATACCCTAAGGGAATTAATATATATCCTTAAAATACTAAATTATTTTAAATAGCTAATAAATTAAAAGTAAAAATATTATATTATATTTAAAATTAATTAAATTTAAAGCTATAATTTAAATATTTATATTATTTTTAACTTTAATTATACCTTAATAAAAGCTAAGAAACTACTTAATAATAATAATTCTCTTAATCTTAAATTATTTAAACCATTTAGCTTACTTAATAATAGTAATAAAGGCGGTAATTGCTCTTTAAAATCTCTTAATTTATTAAGAAAAGGTAATAACCTTTCTTTAGCTAATAACTTTTATATAATATATAATTATTATACCTTTTTACCTTTAATAAAGATAAAGAACTTTTTATTTAACTTAAATATAATAGCTAATTTAAGTAAATATTATTATAAAAATAAAATATTTATTAAAAAATTATATAATATTCTTAATAATAAGATCCTTTTTTTTTATAAGGCTTATAATAATTTATAAATTTAATCTTAATAATTTAAGGTAGCTTTTTTATATATATTTAAGAAATTAATAAAAATATATTATACTTAAGTTATTAATTAAGAGAATTTATTTATTTAAGTATATAAAAAACTTAAAAATTAATTTAATATAAATAATAATTATTATAACTATTTTATAAATTAAAATACGTTAATTTTCTTTATTTTTTAATAAAAAAACCTAAATAAAAGCTATATAAATATTCTTTAAATGTTTATTAATAAAATATAGCTTTATTATAAAATACTTAAGTATATTACTTATAAGGATAGCCTTTTATAAAATATAATTTTATAAGTAATATAAGGCATTTCTAAGTTTTATTATATTATCTTAATAATGTTAATAAATATTAAGCAGCTTTACTTTATTTTATAATAATATATTAAGGCATTAAAGGCTTAAAATCTTATATTATAATATATAGTTATAAGAAATAATTAATAAGCTTATAAATAAGGTTATATTAATAATTATAATAATTAAAATAATAATAATTTAGCTATTATGAATATTAAAGAGTAATATTATCTTAATAAGCAATATAATAATAATAATTAATACTTAAGGTATTCTTAATCTCCTTTTAAAGGTAATAATTTTTAATTAAATTTCCGCTTAAGCTAATCTTATTAATTTAAAGATAATAGCTATAATAAAAGATTTTATAAAGATAGCTATGGTAGTAAATATTAGCTTAGTAAAGGTAATAATAATAATATTGTTGGCAGGTGCAGGGAATTACATAAGAAATGGTATCGCGCTAAATTCCAGCTAGCTATAAAAAGCTAGCTTTTATGCTTATTTTAAATATTTTTTTAAGAAATCAACTCTTTTCTTTTCTTATATATTTAATGCTTTAATTAAGCTTTTCTTATTTTTAAGAATTTTTAAAATATTTATTTTTTCCCTTTTTTTAATTCCCTTTTATTTTTATCTTCCCTCTTTATTATGTTAAAGCTCCTTTTTAAGTTATCTTTAAAAGGGTTTAGCAAAACTTATCCTTTATTATTTAGGTAGCTTATTTTTACTAATAATTTAGCTTAAGTTAATTTTAATTTTATATATTTTTAATTAATAATAAGAAAAATAAAAAGTTAGCTATAAGTTAGTTATTTATTAATTTTATTTTTTCTTTTATTTTTATGTTAAATATTGCTAAATTATTTTATATATTAGCTTAAAGCTTTAATTAAAGCTTATGTTTATCTTTAACTTATTATAAAGAAGAGTTAAGTATAATTAAATTTATAATAATATTATAAATACCTTAAGATTATTTTTTAATTTTAAAATACCTTTTATGCTTTTAATATTTAAATAAAATACTATCTTAGTTATATATTAATATATTATTAAGCTTTAAATTTATTTTAAATTTCTTATTAAAGATTATACTTAAAATATAATAATAATATAAATTTAAAATTAAAATAATAAATTTAAACTTTATAAATATTATTTAATATTAATTAAAAGTACTTTAAATTCTTAATTAATATTTATTATTATTATTATAATCTTAAGCTTAAAGTAAAAAGGGCTATAATATAAAATTAAAGTACCTATCTTACTTACTTATAAATTTAATAAATAGCATTATATTATGCATTTTTATATTAATTAAATTATATAAAAAACTTAAACTTAAAGTATAACCTTATTTAAACTTTAATTAAATTTAAATTTAATTTATTAAGGGTTTAATATAATATTAATAAGCAAGGCATTAAATATAAATTTAAAAGGCTTTCTTTATTATAACTTTATAATTCTTATTTCTTAATAAAATATCTTTTTATTAAATTTATTTTATTTATTATATTTATTAATATTTTTATTCTTTAAACTTTAATTTAAATATTTTATAATAATATTAAAGATAAATTCTTTAAAAGTAATTGCTTTAATTAAAGATATTATTGCTTTTAAGTTTCTTTATTTTATTATTATTTTAATAAAAATTATTATAATATATATATTATATTTTTAAGCTTAAAGCCTTTTTAAACTTACTTTTATTTTAAAAGTACCTTTAAATCTTAAAAATTATTTATTTTCTTTTACTTAAAGCTAAAAAAGAAATCTTAAAAAACTTATTAAAGAAAAAGGAAGATTTAATTTTATTTATTATTAATTAAAGCATTAACTTTACTTTAATTAAACTTTATAATTTATTATTAATAATAAGTTAAGAACTTAAATTAATATTTTAAAAGTCTTACTTTTTGCTAATATAATAATTTTATTATAAATAGCTTTATTTATAATTTATAATTTAAATATTTTAAAGTTTAATAAAATTAATATTATTAAGATTTTAAATAGCTTTAAGATTATTATTTATTAATTTTCTTATTTAAATAATTAAATCTTAAAATTGCTTAAGCAATATTATATTACTTTAAACTTAATAAAAATAATTAAAAGCATTATTATTAAATAATTTATTTAAAAGAATTAAAAAAAAAAGCTTTTTATTTTTTATAAGTTTAATAATTAAACTTATTATATAAATTTAATTATAATTATTAAAGATATTATTTATAATAATCCTTATAATAATTTAAAAGTATAAAAAGGAAAAATTATAAAATATAATTAAGAACTTAATAATATAAATAATATCTTTTTTATTATAACTTAGCCTT